CCAGTAGGAAGCAGTGATGATGATGCTGGATTAGAAGTGGGCAAATCAAGATCCTAGTCCTCCCTTGGACATGGAAGCCAGCTGGGTGATGCTGGACCCAGCTGGTTCTTCTCTCAAATCAGTCAGGTTCTACAACCAGGGTCTTCCAACTTGGCCCTTTTGTGACTTGTGGACTTCAACTCCCAGAATTCCACACGTGCCTGGCTGAGGAATTCTGGGAGTTGAAGTCCACAAGTCACAAAAGGGCCAAGTTGGAAGACCCCAGTTCTACCACATCTAAAGTTGACTTAGAAACTCTCACCAAACTGTATCCTTCACGTTGCTCTTGGAGAAAAAAACAAGCATTTCCCACAAGAGGCCAACTAGATAAGAGCTTTTTGATTCTGGAGGCAACTACCATCATTGCCCAGTCTTGGCCTAGGCCCGGGGCCTCCAGACTTTGCAACTTTTAAAAATTCAAGTCCCAGAATTCCCCAGCCAGCATTTAAGTACACAAATCTTACAGGTGCCAGCTTTGAAGAGCCCTGGCCCAGATGAAGCCCAGCTCTTTGTGGGTCTGCTAAATGATGGCAGAAGTGGGCCATCCAGATGTCAGAAAGAGCCTCGTTGCCAAAAGTGGGGCGGGGGCTACCACGGAGAAGGCCTACTTCCAGGGTCCGGAGAGAGATATTGTTGAATTGCAAGAAGACGACCACACATATGTATGTGCAGTTTTGTGAACACTCCCTGCACCTTGCAAAAAATGCCATTTATTTAACTGCCCACCTTGCTTGGAAGGGACTATGGGCAACGTGCTCACTAAACAACTAAACAAACAACATAATTGCTGCAGCTGCCCAAAAAGCCAACACAGTGCTAGGCTGCATTAACAGAGGGATAGAATCAAGATCATGCAAAGTATTAATACCACTTTACAATGCCTTGGTAAGGCCACACTTGGAATACTGCATCCAGTTTTGGTCACCACGATGTAAAAAAAGATGCTGAGATTCTAGAAAGAGTGCAGAGAAGAGCAACAAAGAGGATTAGGGGACTGGAGGCTAAAACATACAAGGAACGGTTGCTGGAATTGGGTATGTCTCGTTTAATGAAGGACAAGGGGGGACATGATAGAAGTCTTCCAATATTTCAGGGGCTGCCCCAAAGAAGAGGGAGTCAAGCTATTCTCCAAGGCGCCTGAAGGCAGGACAAGAAGCAACGGATGGAAACTGATCAAGGAGAGAAGCAACCTAGAACTAAGGAGAAACTTCCTGACAGTGAGAACAATTCACCAGTGGAACAACCTGCCTCCAGAAGCAATGAATGCTCCAACACTGGAAGTTTTTAAGAAGAGATTGGACAGCCATTTGTCCGAAATGGTATAGGGTTACCTGCCTGAGCAGGGGGTTGGACTTGATGACCTCCAAGGTCCCTTCCAACTTTATTATTATATTATTATTATTTATTATTATTATGTATCTGTTTAAAGCAATTAAAAAGAAAAATAGTAATTAAAAAGATGGGGAGAATTATTTGCGGTCTGATTTCAGGGAACGTAACGAGGTGAATCACGTTAAGCATTATGCTTTCCCTTTTCATCTCTTTTAGCGTTGACTTTCTCTAGCACACGTTTACCCTGGAGTAAGAGAGGGACTGCCTTCTTCTTTCAGGATATCTGAGGGAACGCCTTGTCCCTCGTTGAAGGCAGACTGACTACCTTCTCCCTCCTGGGGGTCCCTCAGCAACGCCTGCCAAAGCTCTTCACCCCTGCCAGGAGCCACTGAGGAGCTAATGCATTGCCCACCCATCTCTATTAGCTACTCATGTCATTTGTAGTTATTAACCTTTGGCTCACCTTTGAAGGGTGATTCAAGGTTATTTCAAAGGAGGTTTTGAAGTTCTCTGTTTGCACTGCGCCTTGGTGTCAGTTGCTCTAGGCCTATTCCTGACAGAGTAATGCATCCCACAGTAAGTGCCATCAGGTTGCTCCCTGCCCGGAAGGCCCATGGCACCTCCCACGCTGAGGGTGGCGGGTGTCTGCGTGCAACTCCCAACCGGAAGAGCAAGGAAGGCATAGAGACGCCTGTAGGAAGCCCAGAGCAACCCAGAAAGTCAATTGATCTTAGAAAACAAAGCAAACATAGAATCCTAGGGCTGGAAGGATCTTGCAGAAGACCTTATATCAGGAGTCTTCAAACTTGGCCCTTGGATGACTTGTGGACTTCAGCTCCCAGAATTCCTCAGTCGGCCATTTTGATGAAACTGCAGGCTTGGATCCAGACTAGGGGTCTTCAAACTTGGCCCTTGGATGACTTGTGGACTTCAACTCCCAGAATTCCTTAGCCAGGCACGTGTGCCTGGCTGAGGAATTCTGGGAGTTGAAGTCCACAAGTCATCCAAGGGCCAAGTTTGAAGACCCCTGCCTTATATCATCCAGGACAAAGGGATGTCTGACTTCAGGGATGTGATTAAAAAGATGACCAACTTCTTGGCTTAAAATCTAGATTTTTTTTTTTTCCAAAAAAAAAGGGGGGGGAGAAGCAATAAGAATTTGAGAGGGAGAGAAAGAAACTGTTTTGGGTTTTCTAAGTCTCCCAAAGGACTAACAACAAGCCTCCAATCGCAGATCTAAGGGCTGGAGACGGTGAATGTAGAGAAACATTCAGAAAAAATGGTATCTGTTGAGTAAAGTCACCATTTTCAACTAATACTTGCACTTGCTAACAATTCTATCGTCACACATGTACACACATGTACCGGTTGAGCTTCAACAAATTGTTCAATTTGTAAAAAGCGAGCAACTTAAAGCAGCCACACATTCAAAGAAGAGAACAAGCATTCACACAAACCGTGTAAAACCAAAGGCAAACGAATAGCAAAAGGTTTCAATCATTTTTTATTCTGCTGTACACCAAGAAGTATCGCCTTTCAGTTCACATGGTCAATACTAACAGGTGTATTATGTAAGATTTTTATTCATAAATAATCCACGGTAAAAGAGGGAATATGGTATAATTTTCTTGTAATGCGGTATTTTATATAATAATTTAAGCTTAGAAAGATAAAAATGATTTTATACATATTAAACACAAAGCAACACGAGCATTACACACACACCATAATGTATTTCAACTCAGATCTTATGTAACTGGTGATGATGGCTCCAGCCTTTTTTCTAAAGAGAATCAAATTCCCTTCTAGAAAAAAGCAACTTGGTTTGCTTCGTGCCAATTGTTAAAATTACAAAACAGCATGAAATTTCTCTGCTACTAGATTACAAGCTTAGTTGGCCAGTTAGGCTATTTTTTAAAAAAATCGCTGATTTGCCAATATGCGTTCATTTCCATCTCAAACCCTGATGAAGAAGTAATGCCCCTCCCAGTATGAAGTGGAGTGTACAAGGGCCCAATTTAATCCTTACCCCTCCAGGGCCAAAAGGAGAAGACAGCCGAACTGGATCCTCCCCTCTTGCCTCAGTTTCCTTCTGGGACCAGGACTAGGGGAGTCTAATCTCAAAAAACTCAAAAGAGGGCCTTGCTTAGCTTGAAGATGCACTGATATACAGCCAAAAATCAAGTCTCTCTCTGGCTTTTTGATCCTATGGGTTTTTTTTTCCTAAAAAAAAAAAATACTTCTTAAAAAAAAAAGTGGTTGCACTTTTAAAATGAGCACCTTTGCCCCGTAATTTCTTAATTTTTTTTTTTTTAAATCACAAAATTCATTCAGTAGTGATTTTTTTCTAGGACACCCTTGAATATTTATGGAGTCACACACTGCGCTGGGAGAATATCTGCTCTGATCAGCCACTGAGAGCATCCAGAGCATTTTAACAGTAAATGGAAGAGAGTCTGCAGTCATCCCTTAGCCAGGGGTAGGCCACCTTGGCTCTTTTATGACTCATGGACTTCAACTCCCAGAATTCCTGAGCCAGCATGGGGGAAATATGGCCCCCTCATGACTCGCGGACTTCAACTCCCAGAATTCCTGAGCCAGCATGGCTCAGCTTGGAAACCTCTCCCTTGTCCCTCAGCATGGCTGGCTCAGGAATTCTGGGAGTTGAAGTCCACGAGTCATAAAAGAGCCAAGGTTGCCTACCCCTGCCTTAGACTTAGGATTTTCCCAGAGGGGCTCAGGGTCTGATTCCACTCCCAAACTCAATTAACAGAGAAAGCGAATCCATCCGTTTGGCTGGAAAAACGGTAGTTACAGACTGAAGACCAAGAGGTTGGATGCAGAAATCGGTGACAAGGAAGAGAAGGTGCACCGTTAGTTGCAGCCCCCCCCCCCACCCTCTGGGCTTTTTGGAGGACTCTGGAGTGACCCAAAGAGCTTTGAAGGGCTGGATGCAACCAGTTAGGTCAGTGGTTCTCAACCTTTCTAATGCCGTGACCCCATAATACATTTCCCCATGTTGTGGTGACCCCCAAGTGGGTGTGGCCACCAATAAGAGGGAGTAGGACAGCTAGGGAAAAGGAAAAAAAATGGCGGACAGCGTGGTTTGGCGACCCCCGTGAAATGGTCATTCGACCCCAAATGGGGTCCCGACCCACAGGTTGAGAACCATTGAGTTAGGTGGAAGTTTTAAGGAAGCTGCACCTATTTCAACAGCAGCCCTCATCAAAAAATGGCCAACAGAATATGCTTTGCCAGGAAAGGGCCTTCTTAATGTTTTAATGTAGACTGAATAGTATATTCTTTTTTTTACATCTGAACTGGGGCAAAATATCTATAATTTGATTACAAAAGATGAGATACATTCAATTGTCCTGCAAGTATCATCTCACAGTACCAACCGATCCGGCTCTCGGCCATCATCCAGGGTTGCCAGTCAACCCAAATATGAACTGAGATGGAAACCAGAAACTCACCTTCACTTCTGCCTCTTATGGAGATGGAGGCAGCCTAAATCAGCCAACACTGTACCAAAATAACACTATGAGTTTTGGACAGAAATAAAAAAACAATTATTTTCAGAAATAAGGGAAGGGGGGGGGGAAGGCTCGTAAATGCAGCTTGCCATATGAAATGTCACATCTTTCATATTCTGCATCTGAAGTTAATTACCAGTTACTACTCCTCAGACTTTATTTCTATAGCTGAAAATTAATGCTTATTGAAAACACGACCTCTTTCCTATTTTAGGCCGACACGTCTCTAAACCTGTACAACAATTTTGCATTAAAATCCAAGTGATATTTATCCTTATCCACCAGAAAGATATGTGTGCATGTCTATACACTTGTACAAAGGGCAAAGTATGCCTAATAGTATGTATATTTTCCTAACACCAGCTTATCAACCCATAAATACAGAAAGTTTATGATTAATCTGCATTGTCCTTTATGTATCATATAGCAAAGTTAAAAAGCTGTGTTATATTGAGACGGACGGTCGATTCGTCTAAGCCAAGGGTCCCCACTGGCAGCGATCCATAGCATGCCAGAAATTGGCACACACAAACAAGCAAAGCCCCATCCAGGGGATGCAGGCAGCACGTGGAACCAGGCCCCCTCCAGTCCGTGGAAAAACCTCTCTCCGTGGAGCCGGTCCCTGGTGCCCAAAAGATTGGGGCTCGCTGGCTTAAGCTGTAAACAGAGTGGATGCCGCAGACTGGAATTTTTCCAGCTGTAAATGGAGTTCTGGCAATTTCTACATGTAAAACAAGAAGCCCATTACTTGCTTCCGTTAAAAAAAAAAAAGATATATACCATCAGCTATAAAAGTTCTTGTCAGATCTACTTATAAAAGGTACTGGAGTTAAAATGAAACAGAACCCAACTGAAGGACCAATGTGACAGGGTTGAAAAGCCAACTATTTATCTGCCTCTACTCGTGACCGAAGAAAGAAGACCACGTTGTTGGTAAAGGCACTGAAAGTCACCTGAGGGGACAGGAGGGGGCCTGAAAGTCATCTCCTCCCTCAAGACCCTCATAAATGGAATCCACACCTTCTCTGAAGTTCATGCTTGCCAGCAACTAAGCATCCCATCTCTGAGATGCAGCCTTTCTCTTCTCTTTGCTAAAAGATTAACTCGGTTACTAACGCCGTTATGGCCAAAGGGCAGATGAGGTAGCTCCGATCTCCCATCGTCTTGTGTTCCGTTGCCCCTGCAAAACACACAACTGTCTACACGTGATTGCAAAAACGACAATTCCTTACTACATCACAGCCAAGGTTTGGACAAAGGGGAACGGCAGCAATATGGCGCTGGAACGGAAAGCGGAATGGAAAGCTATCACGGTGGCTTCCTTCAGAACAGAGACCAACTTACACACAACGTGAGCACCAGACAACAGAAATCTTAGTATCTACATTATGAACTTAATCACTGTAATGCCTCCAGATGTTGTGTATGCACACAACTATTTCCAATAGCTGCTTCCAGTCTAAAACAGGCAAGGCGTGTTTTAGCTTAGGTGTGGCTTTCCACGTCCTCTGCAACAATGCCAAAAGGGCAAGTACACAGATCTGACAGATGTACTTTGTAGCATGAACTAGCCGCTGCAACCTGACCTGTTGTGAAGTAGAGTTGTAAGAATGTTCAACCTTTTTTCCTTTTGCCCTCCGCAGTGATTCTCTCTGGAATTCAGAGCAGGCACTTGGATAGATAGTAGAGTTGTGCTCCCTTTTGCTAATTTGTCACAGGAATAAGCATGCAATAAAAATTACGGTCCATTTTGCATGCTGTGAAAAGGGCATTTATCTCCAGGGATTTTGAAGTTGCTATGGAAGGTTTTCACTTCTGATCCAAATTCAGCTGCCAACACACCCGTCATGAAACACGTTTCACGAAATCCGCCTAAAAGGAACTTCTAATGTCGCAAGACACTGCTTCCCATAAAATCAATGCGTATCACAACTGAAAGAGGAACGTGAAAATAAATGGGCTAAGTCTGCACCACGCCTGCCAACGGCACCAAGGCCGCAGCAAAAATAGAAAAGGGTGACAGATCTACCAACTGTCAGAGTTTGTAATTTTAATTCCTCCAAACTGGGATCTAAAATATGTTTTCTATTAATTCTGATCTCATGTCTGGTAGGCTGAGGGTGTTTCCGTATTGCAACTCAATTAAAGGAAGGCAACGCAAACCCTGCTTCTGAGCCCTGACAAAGCCTCAGCATCATGATTGAAAACAGGCTCAATTTACCAATTTCAACATCATCTATTTCTGGAAACAGACTTGGAATCACCTCCACCCCTCAGAACAACATAAGCCCCCCCCCCTAAATGCTTTGAAAGGCTGCTTAAGAAAACCTGCATGGAAAAGCTAGCGAACTATCACAGCAGAACAGGCTAGATCAAAAGCAAAGTCAAACTAAGGGAGATACTTATTAGCAGCCTTTAATTCTGGTGATTCTATAGGCCATTTTTATGACGTTTCCAGTATGTTGAATTAGTTATTTCATACCCAAGGTGAAAAATCTCCTAGTTAAGTATACCTATTACATAAACAGTGATTTGGTAGATTTTCTTTTTCACAATTTCCAAGTCGCCTTGTAGCCAGCTGACGTCTGATCTGCAAACTCTCGGAGTCCAGATTATATATCAGTGAAACTGGATAAATGGGTAAGACTTGAGACAAAGATTAGTGGGATTACAGAGGGATGAGAGAATTTAAACACTTTTAAAAATTGTGTGCATTGTTAGCCACATGGTGCAATATATTCTCTTTTTTAACACTGAGAAATCAACCAAGCCAAAATAAAAATGTTCAAGAGGGATTTTTTTTAAAAAAAAAATATGGATTCAGTGCAATTCTACACGTTAACACAAAATAATTACAAAACCAATTTTCATCTAGATTTAGCCATTTCTGAGTGATTTATCAGTGTTGGAGATTTTGCGGTAGAAGTGTTCACTTTCCAAAGAAGAAAAATGTTATCTCTGTGACAAGCAAATGTAACATTGTTTTAAAAGGAGTAGCGATTCCTTTTGCATTGCAAAGCAATTTCTAAATTTATATCACAACTGGGAGACAGAGAGACTAAGTCAACATACCCTACCAGAGAATCAACATCACCGTAGAAGATGGGTTGATATCTTAGAAGATCAGAACGGATTCTATTTCATGGAATGATCCCTAGTCTCTGTTTGGTCAGAGAAATGTCTCCCTAGCTCCAGAAAATTACTTTATCTTTGATTATTTGGAAAACTACCAGACTTCTTCATCTCACCACTACTAAGTGCTGACTAAGGTGCCCATGAGGTCTTATTTAACCGTTGAACTTCTGTGGAGGTTAAATCTTCACTTCTGCAGCTTCCTTCTCCCCCGTTTCTTTGCTCTTCTCCATGACTTCTAGCTTTTCCTCCTTCTGCAGCAGAGACACGATCTCCGCTACTTGCTTGGTGGAGATATCAATATCCTCCTTGTCGATCAATTCTATCACCTAAGCAAACATTTTAAAAAGTTAGGGTTACATATACCACTTATTTAGGTTTACTTCCTAAGTATTTTTTGAAAAACATGAATAGGAAAGTTAAAAAAAAAAACAAGCAAGTTTGTTCCTAAATTCAGCCTTACTCCAGCACAAAATAACATAAAATGCAATCGTTTAGGAACATCACGAGGCATTTCCCAAAAAAACAGCAGCTCCCCATGAATGAATGTTGTTGTTTGGGTACGTTACTTCTCTGACCAACGTACAGGAACACCAACTTTTTTCCTTCATCCTTAATGGTAAATATTTCTAGGAACTGAGACCACGCAGCTGAAGGGATCCAGACTGGAAAGGTGTGTGCCAGAACACATTAAGAAGACACAACTGTCCAAAGACAACTCAGGACACAGCCAAGCGTAACGTGAAACTCGGGATTGGTCCCACATTCGCTTAGGGAAGCTTCTGCCGGGCTTCCAGGAATAGGGAAGCAACGCTCTCCAGTCACCACTGAAATTACTGCCCGAACGGCTGCTCCGTGGACTCACCTTGACCACGTCATCCAGGTTGATCTTGCCGTCCTTGTTCTCATCCAGCGCTTCAGCCAGCTTGTTCAGTTTGCTTTCGGGTATTTCCTGAAGCTGCTTCAACACGTTAATGAGGTCGTGGATGCTGATGAGGTTCTCCCTAAATGGGAAACGCAGCCTGTAGTTGAAGCAAGCAGTTACTACCAAGGATCAATGCGTGCATGTGGAGCCTTTGTAGCACATCTGTAGCTCCTTCCGGGGGAAATCACAGTTATTTGCCATCTGTTTTTTTTTTTTTAAAAAAATTAAGGAAGAGCCCAAGAACGACAAAGCCTCTCCAAGGCTAGGCATCCTTCAGAAGGCAGCCTACTTGTTGTTCCTCAAAGGCTGGTCCCTTCCAACGACACACAAAAAACCCTCCCTTGAATTGGACAGCAAGGATCCTTGCACTACCCACCACTCACCCAATGGGGGCGCTAGCATCTCTCTCCAGCTCCTGAATAATTCTATCCATCTGCCCAATCATTCGGTTCACTCTTTTAGTCAGCCTCTTGCTGGCTTTGGATTCCTCCACGAGGTCTTCTGGCCCGCTCTTGGACAGCTCCTTGATTTCCTGCAGATCCTAAGGACGGAAGGAAGAGAAACCTCTTTACCCCATAAGCCTTTTTGCCAATAAAGAGGGGAGGGGGAGAGAAGAGCCGACGACGGGAGCCATGGCTGGCTTACAGGCAACCCCCTCCAGGCCTACGGAGGCCCCTGGGGCCCGTCGGTCTTCCCGGGGGGCTCCACCTGGGCAAGGGAGCGGTCTCTCCCTGTGACTGAGGCACAACCTGGGCATCCCCCCTGCCTCCCAACCCAGAACCGGCGGCAGATCTGAAGAACGTGGCAAGGCCCAGTGTCACGGTTCCAAAAGACGAAAGTCTTCAAAGAACTTTGAGGCATTGTTTACCTTAAAGAATCTTTAATTGAGCAGCATAGCTTCGGTGTGTACACAGTTGAAGCCAAAACCTAAATTCCCCTCCCCTAAACACATAGTATCAAAGCACAATTCTCTCCTCCAATTAAGTGTCATAAATCACATTCTCCAATTAGCTTGCAATGCAAACCTCCCCTCCAGTTCCATAACCCGGCCATTCCTTATGGTCTCTTATTTCAAACAACCTTGAAGAATACTCTACTGCAGTGTTTCTCAACCTTGACCATTTTAAGGCATGTGGACTTCAACTCCCAGAATTCCACAGCCAGAATGCTGGCTGTGGAATTCTGGGAGTTGAAGTCCACATGCCTTAAAATGGTCAAGGTTGAGAAACACTGCTCTACTGCGATGTTGTTATGTCTAACTAATCCCCATGCACATTCTTCCCTCTCCACCCCCAGCATCATCTAATTCTAACTCTACAAGTATCACACAGGTTAAAGAGAAAATGGCTGCATCTTCATATATTGTCAAAGCGAGAACATCCGATGTTGGCAGCGTTGACACCCAGGAGTGAAGGAGACACCCAGGGGATGAACCAAATGGAGCCGGTGACTCTGGTCCACCCTACGGTGTGAATCTCCAGGCCCTGAGAGAAACAGTGCTAAAGCAGGAGCCTCCAACCGTGACAACTTTAAGACTTGTGGACTTTATTGGTGGGGCAATATTGGAAGAAAGCTTCTTTGCCTACTGTGGAAGAATGGATACTCAAGGTGTCTAATTTAGCAGAAAGGGCAAAAATTTCCGCTTATTTGAAGGACTATTCATCAGAAAGATATATTTCGGTTTGGAGAAGATGGATAGATTATATTCAGAATAAATATGAGACTAAAAAAGTATCATCTAGCTTATGAGTAAATTTTAGATTATTATTAATAGTTTAATATGGTAGAACTTATATTAGTCTTAGTTTTATGGTTTAATTATATTATTATTTTCGTATTGAATTTGTTAATATTTATTTTGAAAAGGAGTTAAAGTATGTTATGGATTTGATTGTTTGTATAGTTGGGTAATGTTAGTTAGATTATGATTGTTTATTTGTAACCCTGTAATCAGCTCTGGGAAGTGGGGGAGGGGTGGGAGGGATTTGGAATATATATTGTATAAAATCTTTAAAACTTTTAATAAAAAAAAAAAAGATTTGCGGACTTTAACTTCCAGCTTTGCTGGCTGAGGGATTCTGGGAGTTGAAGTCCACAAGTCTTAAAGTTGCCCCGGTTGAGGACCCCTGACCTAAAGGCGGCCGTATTTTGGGCAAAAAGGAAACAAGGGCTGCAATTAAAAAGGACCAAGCCAAACCCAGCGCATCTATGAGAGCCGGGAGGGACTTTCCCTCCGGCCTTACCTCGCTGTATTCCTGCACATCGTCCTTGAGGTCCTCCAGTTCCTCCTTCTCCTTTGTCAGCAATTTCTTTTGTTCCTTCAGTTTAGTGCAAGCATCGCTTAGCATATCAATCTCTTCCTTTGTTATTTCTTCGCCCTAAATAAATGGAAAGGACAAAGAATTTTAAGCCTCACTCGTCCTCCACACCCTCCTGCCCGTGCAAAATAAATGATACAAGAGGCTCCACGAGAGAGATCCAGGAATCCAAGAGATCTAAGGGTAAACGGTGCTGCAGCAAGACACTGCGGTCTCTCTGGAAGCCATTCCACGAAGTTAACGTGAATCCTCACTGCGCTGTGTCCAGGAAGAGATCGACATGATTGATATTACACTATTTATTTATTTTATAGATTCACTCTGTGTAATATGCAACCATCTTTCCTATCTATAAATATAAAAGAATGCGCAGGGGTACGAGTGGCACACGCTTGCCTATCCGACTGCAGTCCCAACTGTACAAATTGCAATTCCATGTTTTTCAGAGAATCAAGTGAAAATGGGTAGCTATTCTTGAGTGGTTTCTGGCTGGACTTTCACTCAGGCCTCCCTGATTATTTGGACGAGTCCATGTGGAGCACACGGCTCCTCCGGGTCTTCTGCCATGAATGAGACTATGACCGGGGCGCATGGACCCGGTGAAACCCTTGGGGGGCTGGGTCCTGGTCCAAGAGGGCTGCTCCTTTGCAGCTAAGCTGGGAACGGGTCCCATGGCCACATCAACAGTCCTGAAAAGAAGCGATGGCGCTTTCACCCACGATGGGGTAGCACATCTCCTCTCCTCCTCCTCCCCCTCGCCTAGCCAAGATAGTTTATGTTATTTGTATCCCAGCTTTATTATTTTTACAAAAAACTCAAGACAGCTATCTATCAAACGCTCCCCCCCTCCTCCTCTTCTCCCCACCACCACAATCCTGGGAGGGGAGTTGGGCTGAGAGGGAGGGATCGGCCCAAAGTCACCCAGCTGGCTTTCGTGCCTAAGGCAGGACTGGAACTCACCCGCTCCGGGTGATTGGCCCAAAGTCACCCAGCCGGCTTTCACGCGGGACTGGAGCTCACCAGCAGCTCCGTCTTTCTAGCCTGGGGCCTTCCCCAGCCCAGACCAGACCGGCTCTCGGTCAAGTCTGGTGGGGTGTCTGTCATGGGAAGAGGAAAGGAGCCGCCGCCTTCCGGCTGAATGAGGGCCTGGGTTTAAGGAAGGAAGGAAGGAAGGAAGCTCTGCCCCCAGTGTCTCCCCTCAAGCTGAGCAATCCGAGTGCAGGAGGAGGAGGATCCCATCCCTTGCGGGAGGGAGGGAGGAAGGAAGCTCCCCGGAGGGACCGGGCACGGCCCACCCCCTCCAAGGAAACAGGCTGGGCTTCTGCTCTGGCCTTGCGCACAGTTATGGAGGGAGCCCTTGGCGTGGACGGAATCGAGACCCCGAGAACGGCAGTGTCCGCCGTCCTGCAGAGTTTATGAGCCACTTTTCAGACCAGGCGGGGCAGTCCCAGTAGGGACAAAAAGTGGCAAAGAAGAAAATAAGAAAAAAAGAAGAAGAAAAATAAGCAACAGTTGAATCAGAGCAAACCGAAGTGGTTGCTCACTTATAAAATTTAGAGTCCCCAAAACGATGCTTCAAATTTGTGCGGAAAGGGCAAATTCTCAAGTGAAAGTTAACAAAATTTCTATTTACGCACAAATATCACTTAAATCTGGGTAAAGCTGGAATAACTGAACTTTTCATTAAACTGCAAAATAGTAGACAAACTTATTTGATGCTACAGCTCAATTCCACATACCTTCTTGTGCCTTTCCTGCGTCCTTCTGCACTATACCCTTTCACAGATTGAGTTACAAACTGGCTACCTTAGGAAGAAGTATGCTATGCTACGCAGCGCACTATGCAAGACAGGAGAGAGTTGTAATAAATTATATTATTTGCTTAGACACATTATATCAATTTTATCTGCGCCTACAATAGACACAAAAGTACACAGCCTAGAAGCACTAATAAAATATTTTACCGAGACAGGCTGACAACATGAAGGGGAAAAAGTGAATCTACATTAACTTTGAAAATATTCTGTCCAGTTTAGGAAATCAGTGTAATAGGACGCTTTTCCTCCCCTTCCCTTCAACCGTGTCTGATACTCAAGAAGCTGCCCGAACAAACCCCTGCAGTTTTCTTGGCAAGGTTTTCCAGAAAGAGCTCGCCTTTGCCTCCTTTTTGGGGGAGGGGGAGAGAGGAGAGAGAGGGAGAGAGAGGGGAGGGAGAGAGGGAGGGAGGGAGGGAGGGAGAGGGGAGAGAGAGGGAGAGAGGAGAGGGAGGGAGAGGGGAGAGGGGGAGAGGGAGAGAGGTGAGGGAGAGGAGGGAGGGAGAGGAGAGAGGGGGAGGAGAGAGGAGGGAGGAGAGGAGAGGAGGGAGGGAGAGAGGAGAGGGAGGGAGGAGAGGGAGGGAGGGACGAGGAGAGGGGAGGAGAGAGAGAGAGAGAGAGAGGGGAGAGGAGGGAGAGAGGAGAGAGGAGAGGGGAGGGAGAGAGGAGAGGAGAGAGGGGAGAGGGAGGAGAGGAGAGGAGAGGGGAAGAGAGGAGAAGAGGGGGGAGAGGAGAGAGAGGGAGGGAGAGGAGAGAGGGGGGAGAGGGAGAGAGGAGAGGAGAGAGGAGGGAGAGAGGGGAGAGAGAGGGAGAGGAGAGAGGGGGAGAGAGGGAGAGGAGTGAGGGAGAGGGAGGGAGGGAGAGGAGAGAGGGAAGAGAGGAGAGGAGAGGGAGGGAGAGGAGAGAGAGAGGGAGAGGAGAGAGGGGGGAGAGGGAGAGGAGTGAGGGAGAGAGGAGGGAGGGAGAGGAGAGAGGGGAGAGAGGAGAGGGAGGGAGAGGAGAGAGGGGGAGAGGGAGAGGAGAGAGGAGGAGAGAGAGAGAGGGGAGGGAGGGAGAGGAGAGAGAGACTAGCCCAAGATCACCCAGCTGGCTTTGTGCCTAAGATGGGACTAGAACTCCCAGTTTCTAGCCTGGCCCCTTAACCACTCCCACCAACATGGCTCTCAATTTGATGACACTTTTCTTAATTTTCGAGCCAAGAACTTTCCAACAGATTTTCTACAGCATCCTACAAATGAGGGGTCCTTAACTTTTACACACAGCTTTGTCTGGTGAGAAATCACATCTGATTCTGTTTCCTAGAGAAATTTCTCTCTGGAGGAAACCAGAGGCGAGATTATTTGGATTTTTTAAATAAATGCACCAGTCTGAAGGTGTTATCTAACCATTACTAAATAGTTATTTGTTACGATAAATGGGCACTTGTCAAACCCTGGGAAGTTAAGAGATGCTGTGTACTCTCCCACTTCTGCTTAATGTCTACATCAACCTCCGGGCGGTTGCTTGGGAGACCTGGGCGCTCGCCCACTCAAGGCGGCAGGCCAGCATCTCTCCGCCGGCTCTACTTTCTGTGGCTAAATCGGCGATGCTGCCGAAGTCCCACAGCTAGAAGAGCTCGGAGTGCTCCGGTAAAGAAGATCCATGGAAGAGGGATCGTAGCAAAAGCCAAGAGCATCTTCTTCCCAGAGACACCAAAGGCTCACACAGGAGGCATAAACAGCAAGTCCCACTTTAGGACGAAGCAAATCTCGTTTTATAAAATACCTGGGATGGTTTCCCAGAGAACTGCTGATGGAAGAGGGCACTGTACGTGTGTACTGCCGTTCACAAATTCTTCCAAAGTAGATAAAATTCTGTAGAACGGGGGCCGTTCTGCGCCAACAGCTGTCAAATTATTTGAAGCTAAATTGACAGCCCATCTCCAATATAAAGATCCACCACTGGATCTTTTCTCTACCTGCTTCCTCTGAAATTCAATTCTGGATTATTTAGGCCAATACTTCAGGGGCCACCATGCCCCCCTCGGGCCTCCTTACAACTAAAATTGGGTTTGATAAATACATTTAACTCCTGGCCAACTCATCACTTCTACTCAGTGGGTCTCTCTCTCCTAGCACGGATGGTTCCCAGTGTGAGTGGAGTTACAATACATCCTTACACCATGGCTCCCTTTCCCAAGTTTTACGCCTCCTGGCTGCTTTCTCAAGAGTTATGACCAGGCAAGGCCGCTCCTCAAGAGCACACAGCCTGGACAGAGAACGACAGACTGATTTAAGCGGAGCCCCGATCTCCTTTCATCCAGACGTGAAATGAACACTTGCCCAGCGCCTTACGCAGCTAAAAGTCCCTGCTCACAGAGGAGACTTTGTTTTGGCTCACTGGTGCAGTCTTTTCAGTGCTATTAGAAGAGAAATGTAACACAAAAAGACCTCCCGCTTGAACGTTTGATGCTCCAGAGATCGGGGACCGATAAGAAAGAATTAAGCATGATTTTGGTTCTGCCCATTTTACACCGATATTCACGGCATCCTCGGTTTTTCCAATTACGCCTTGATAGCAATTTTCTTCAGGAACATAACGTAGCACAGACTTGAGGAGTCTGAAAGATCCACGCGGCATTAGATATTGACGTCTTTGTTGACGTAGAGCTACTAGATGTTATTCTCCTTGTACAGCGGCAAATAAAATGGCCTTTGTCCTACTGGTAGTTGGCAGCTATAATACCGTGATCAATTTCATTTTAAGCAGCTTAGCTGAAGATGTCTTCTTACAAATTTTTCTTATATTGTATTCCAAACTATATCTTTAGTTCATGGTGGCGCTGATGCTCTTATCTTATGTAGTCAAATTTTTATCCACCCCAAAGCTGCCCACCCTTACTTTTAAGTATTGTGTAACTGGAACCTTAAGTAACCAGCAGGTAATGGATTAAGTCAGCCCGAGCCTTCTCTGCCTCTCTCATAATTGGATGCATCGGCTAATCTGGATGGAGCAAGCATTAACTTCTTCCTTATTCCCCTGGCAGAACTTGTGCTGTGCTTTAGAGCCTGACGCCGTCTCGCGCCCATCAAACGTTTTACCTTCGTGCCTTCCAATACCGGGGCCGTATCTTTCAAAACCTCTGACTGCAGGGCTAAATTCACACTTGCCAGTTCTCGTTCAGCGGCAGCATCTACAGAGCCTTGGTTCAGAGCTGAGGAATCCAGATCTACTATCACCTCCTTCCAGAACACACAGGAAACACAACAATTAGACACGTTTTCAATAGGGTTTGACATCTGGAATCGCTAGATGGATGCATGGGTTTTTAATGGATGTTTTTGGAAGAAGAATTATTTGGCTTTCTCCCTTTCGGCTCCTTGGGAGGACTTATATCCTGCCATTCCTCCAGGAGCTCAGCATGGCATCCGTACCACTCCCTCCTCAAACCTTAGGCCTTATTTACTCACCCTTTCCGCCGCATGGAGAGTCTCTTTGGCTTTTTCAGCCGCTTCGGAGAGCTTTTCCAACTCTTTCTCCTGGTGTTCTTTCCTGATTGCTTCCTCCTCTTGGAGAGTTGCTTCCAGCCTGGCTTTGTTGTCGATCTGTTCTCCTTCCACCTCTGCCGCTTTCACCTGGGCCTCTTTTGCCTTTTTTGTTTGGGGGGGGGGAAAGCATACATACAGAGATACAGGACTTTTCTAGAGGATACTTTTTTTCACTTACAGATCAAAACAAGCTAGTTCTTGCAACCTACATCACAAGAAACTTAACCCTGTTTTCACCCAGGTATATAACATCTCTTCAACAGCCAGCAGCTTTGAGAAGACAACTAACAAGATGAGAACAGTCCAGAAAAAAAACACCTGCAGCTCTCTATATCAGGGGTCCTGGCTGGCTGAGGAATTCTGTGAGTTGACATCCACAGGTCATAAAGGGGCCATAGTTGCCTACCCCTGCTCTATACTCCCATTGGCTAGCTTTATTAACCGGGGCCATAGTTGCCCACCTCTGGTCTAGAGCAGGGGTCCTCAACCAAAAAGATAATATGAAAACTTATTCCAAAATGACTGAAGGATCACCACGAGCTTCCTACAAATTCTAACACAAAAGTCGAAATAAAGGCGTGAATGTGGAACACAGAACAACGTATTCCCCCAAATGCGTAAAATTCATACTGCTACAAGCACGGCGACTGCTTCAACAGACCACCGATTTGTAGAAAAAAGCCGGCCATGTAAAGCAAAGCGTACCACGTTCTCGGGGAGTATTTGCAAAGTTGTTTTCAACTGGTCAGCCGGCGAGAGCGTTTCCGGGAGGTAGAGAGCTCTGGATAATATCAGCAGTGAAGTTGGGATTTCCTGATTCAGATGCAAGTCTAACCACTGCAATTAAAAGATAAAACATTGAGGGTTTCCAGGGTGATGCAGGGACCCCACTAAAGCAATTATTCCTTTAAGACAGTGGTTCTCAACCTTTCTAATGCCGCGACCCCATAATACAGTTCCCCATGTTGTGGTGACCCCCAACCACTTATACATCACCGGGTGCCAGGGGCGTGGCCAAAGAAAAGGGGGAAAAAATGGCAGACAGCCTTGTTTGACGACCCCCGTGAAATGGTTGTTCGACCCCAAATGGGGTCCCGACCCACAGGTTGAGAACCACTGCTTTAAGAGGTCTTTTTCAGGTGGAAATTAGATCTTAACTGGCAATCATTGTTTCCAAAGGGGACACACAAAATGGGAGGTGCAGTAATTAAAAACTGAAATAGAGGTACTGTTTAATTTGCCTCAGAGCAACATCTCTTCTTAAAGTAAGCTTTTGGGTAGCATAAGGTCAGGGTTGGGAAAGTATTAGCTGTTACAATAGACTACATAATACTATGTAATACTGAAAATATCATCAGTAAGGCCAGCGTAACAAGAACTACGGCATCTAGCTGTTCCACAGACAAAGTTCCAAATTCTGAAAAAGTATTAGGTGGCTAGGAATATCCTGACCTTGATTGTTCTATTGTATTTTTATAAGATTTCACAAGCGGGGGGGGGGGGGGGTTGTGAAAAGTTTTAGGATGCAATTCCAAAAATTACTAGCAGAGTTCATTCCTCTGATAAAATCTCCTTCCAGATTTAGTCAAAGGCTGAGAGTCAAAATACAGATGGGACTGCCAAGCAAAAGAGGCAGAACTAAAGGTTCTGCTCTCTCTCAGTTATTGCTTAAAAATCTGGATGTCTGCAGAAAACCGGCCTTCCCCAGCAGAGGCAGAAAGGACGGGGCTATTCCACCCAGTCAGCAATGTGTTTTCTTTGAGTCCCATTCTGGCATAAAAGGCGTTTTACGCCACCATGTACCTATACATGTTTGTGTATACAGACACACCCCATGCAGCGCCCTCCCCTGCTTAGTTCAAAATGTCAAGCTTGGGTCAGAATTGGACTCTGGCATTTTTTAGCAGAGCTTTGCTAGTTCTTGAGCCAGTCTCTCTCAGGAAGAATATTCTGAATGCTTCTTGCATAATTGTTCCCATCGGGATCCAGTATGAGTTTTGGCCTCGTAACAAAAGTCTTTTGATACTCCCAGCGGATCAAATACCTGCTTCAGCTGATCCTTTAAGCGCTCTTCCGTGACCCCGAGGGCTCGCATGCCCCTCGCTCGGCAGGCTGCTTGTAGCTCTTTCACCGTCAGGCTATCCATGCCTTCCTCAGTGATCAGCTAGACGGGAGAAAAGATAAACATCTACAGCATATAGAAGCGCGTTATCCGAAGCACTCCAAAACAACAGCTATAATAAATAGCTATATTCATTCACAACAATTCTCCACTTGAGCCCTTTCCCTCTGCCTGTCTGGCCAGCGTTTCCCAACACATCCATCGTGATTCTAAAATGAATTACGTTTTCTTTTCCGCGATGCAGCTTCTTTCAATAAACGGTAAACAAAAAAGATCCCCTTACTTTATCGTCTGCTTTGATACTTCTCAGTCTCATTATTAGCTGGAAGCGAAGGAAGTTGTTTGTTCCAATCGACTGAAGTTCCAGAAGTTTGCACAGAGCCACCAGCTGGGGCCGTGTGAGGTTGTCGAGGGTCAGCTCGTCTTCAAACAGTTTAGAAAACCGTAAAATCTCTTCGTTACTTGGCCTCTCACCAGTTTCGCGTATCTGAAGTTAGAAATTGTACGCTATGAAGTCTCAACATGGTCTCTAGGACGCTTTACTCAGAAAAGCAGGGATTTACCCCGGGAAATGCTAACTATTGCATCAGATGGGTCTATTGTTACCCACTTGGAAAACCAGTGATAACATTTAACAACATAATTTAATTTTTTTAAGACAAGTTAAATACCTTTTGAAAGAAGGTTGAGAAATCTTTAGTAGCGTTCCCTTTAGCTGCTTTATTTTTTAAGGCAATCTCTTCGATGGTATCTTGAAGAAATTTAGCCACTTCGAGCTTTACTCTCAGTTCTTTCTTCAACCTCTCTTCCTAATGAGAGAAAAAAAGCATTTTAATAGGAAACGGCTCCAGACGGGCATTAAAAATTAATTCCCTATTATGTCTGCTATGGACACTATTAAATATTGGACAGAATACAATATTTAGCAACATTCTTATAGAAGCTCTTCCAGCCTAGGAACAGTGATTGAAAAACAAGTCCAGCTAAACAAAATGGATTCATTCCCAATTTAGCAGGCAAGCCTGCAGCTTTGCATATGGTTTGTCTAAAGCAGGGGTAGGCCACCTTGGCTCTTTTATGACTCGTGGACTTCAACTCCCAGAATTCCTGAGCCAGCATGGGGGAACTATGGCCCCCTCATGACTCGTGGACTTCAACTCCCAGAATTCCTGAGCCAGCATGGCTCAGCATGGAAACCTCTCCCTTTCCCCTCAGCATAGCTGGCTCAGGAATTCTGGGAGTTGAAGTCCACGAGTCATAAAAGAGCCAAGGTTGCCTACCCTTGGTCTAAAGGAACAGCCACTCTTCATCAAGGTATTTTTTGAGCTAAAAATTAACTTTCCCATTTAGATTTAAGGTCCTTCGCATGCACATTTTCCAAAGGCAGCTTCCCTGAGTCTATTCTCCAAAGCGCCTGAAGGCAGGACAAGAAGCAACAATGAATGGAAACTAATTCAAGGAGAGAAGCAACCTAGAACTAAGGAGAAACTTCCTGACAGCGAGAACAATTAACCAGCGGAACAACCTGCCTCCAGAAGCGGTGAATGCTCCAACACTGGAAGTTTTTAAGAAGAGACTAGACAGCTATTTGTCTGAAATGGTGTAGGGTTTCCTGCCTGAGCAGGGGGCTGGACTAGATGACCTCTAAGGTCCATTCCAACTTTACTAATTATTATTATTATTAAGCTGAAGTGAAAACACATCAATCCTTTATTCCGTGGCTCCCCTTTGAGCATTTAATTAAGCGTACGTAAAATGAACGCCTGGCTATAGGAGAGAGGGATCTGTAGACAGCAGGATCCCCCTTTCACCAGCAGGAGAGGGGGGTCTGAAGCACTTGAGGTCACCTGCTCAGGTGTACAGGCATGCGGGTATTTTAACCAGGGATACCCTCCCTCTACAGACTTTTCTACAGGTGGGTCTCAGTGTAACTGTCACCTTCTTAGAGTTTGTCTCAAATGTGGAAGGAAGCATGCTGGGGAACAGCTTCAAAGCTACGGGAAGCAAGAACTCCATGAAAGGAACGACGATGAAGACGAGAAAAGGGACCAGGCGGAAGAGGTCAGCGCAGATCCGGAGGAACTGTAGACAAAAACAAGTTTCCGCTTATCGCAAGAAGAGAATGAAAACGGTCAACAGCCTTACTCCAAGCATTTTTAAAAAAAATAATCAAAGACTGAAGGTGATATTATCCTGGTGGCTAATTGACCGTATCTTTTTTGGGGAGCTTTAACTATAAAAAAAAAGCTCCACGTGATCAAGCTTATTTCTTTGATATCTTTCCTGCTTTCAACAGAGAGAAAAACAGTATTCACAAACTTGACTGCACAGGAAGCTGCAGTCTCACACAGAGCCAATCGCAGACCGCTCGGCTTCCCTCTCAGCAGAGCGTGCATAAACAGCACCATTAACTATAATCACCATGGAGTAAAAGGGGCTGAGCATCAAGGTGGCGCAGCAGTTAGAGTGCAGTACTGCAGGCCACTTTAGCTGATTATGTTCAGCAGGTCAGCGGTTCAAATCTCACCGGCTCAAGGTTGACTCAGCCTTCCATCCTTCCGGGGTAGGTAAAATGAGGACCCAGATTGTTGGGGGCAATGTAAATATATATATATATATATATATATACACATTGCTTACTGGTGTACACCGCTTAGAGAGTGCTTGCATTTAAAGCGGTATATAAGTCTCATAAATAAAATAAATAAATAAACTGACAGCTGAAATTTTCTCTGCACTAGAGAGAAATTGTAGACTGTGCCATGCCCGAGTCACGTGCTACTTTGCTCCACTTATGTTCACACCACAGCCGCACTTCTTGTTAAAAAAAAAACAACACATTTTTCTTTGCAGTTTTCTGATCTGACATACATAAATTGGCTAGCTTTTAGGCTTTTACAAGAAAAATGAGATAATGAGGATCGATTATTATGTTTACAAGCATGATAGTAAAATCTATACAGGCAGTCCTCGACTTACAACCACAGTTGGCACCATAATTTCTATCGCTAAGCAAGGTGGTTACTAGTCACACCCAACCTTTTTGGCCATGGTTGTTCGTGACTCCTGTGGTCATTAAACGAATCGCACTTCCCCCGTTGCCTTTGCCTCTTGGAAGCTGTCCGGGAAGGTGCAAACGGCGATCACGGGACCCTGGGACGTGGCAGGCATTGTCAATGCCAGGTGCCAAGCATGCAAATGTGACCAGGGGGATGCTCGGTGATTGTAACTGCGAGGACCGGCCATCACTTTTTCCAGTGCCGTTATAACTTCCGCTGTAAGTGGAGGACTGCGTGGGCTGGTATAACGTCTCAACCTCTGTGTTGCTGAATTATTCAAATCTGGTCCTCCTTTCTGCCCTCCCTACTCTACCTTGCAATTTATATACACACTGAATAAAGATGTTCTAAAGGTTTTGTGTGCATACACACACACACACACAACTTCTTTCTTAAATATTACTTCACGTTTAATTTCTTTACTTCTGATGTTTCATTTATTCAAGACAAGAACTGAACGTCTAGCGCCACTTAAACATCAAAATGCCTACAATTGTTTGGTAAATAATATTCCGTTCACTTGAATTCCAAGCCCAGGAAGAGCAGCATGTACCACGCACCTGTCTGCGTTCCCGGCGGCTCATGGAGCTGCCGTGAAGGATCTGCCAGAGCATCCGCGCAGCAATCTTGGAATCGATCCACAACAGCCGAAAGCCGTGGTAGTAATGCTTCACCTCATCGATGACCTTCTGCCCAATGGATTTTTTAACTATGGTTTTTTCTACTGTTGGGCTGTACACAGGCCCTCCTTCTTCCAACTTCTTGCTTTTGTCTTTAAGAGACTTCAGCGATTTTTCTATGACGGAGTCGTCGTTTCTGGATGCTGACGAGTGCCACTTCCTTACTGCAACCCAACAAGGTCCCGGGACCCCTCTGTCGGGGGATCGCCACCAGGAGTCAAACAACCTCAGGGCTACCCCCTGCCTTTCCTCTGATCCTTTTGTCCAAGCATAGCTATCTTTTGTACAATAAACGTAAGGTGAGATATTAGTGCAATATTTAAAATGGGCAGGCCTGTAAAAGAGAAAAAAGGAGGCTTTAGTTAAGAACAGCACGCAATATACTTTTCATCCCATTTATATTTCTACAGTGACCGTACGTTAAGTTGGCCCACCCACGCAAAGGGATTGAGAAGCTTCTATTTGTTCTCCACAAGCTCAAGTGCCTTTCCCTGGCAGGAGATTCACGTCCTGGGAAAATATCTGGGAGTGGAGAAAGAATGGACGGACTCTTTGCAGGTCGTCTGACAAAATGCTCCGTGACATTCTGATCGGCGAGTTAGGTAAATGTGGATTGGAAAAATAAGTGGGTACAAAATGTCTGTCGGAGAGTGAAGGTCAGTGAATTGTGAAGCACAGTTCAACGCATGTATTAGTGACTTGGCTGAAGAGGGGAAGGGATTAGGCGATTACGTTCAGGCAGAAGCTGCGGAGTCAGCTGCTGAGGGTGCCTCAGTTTCTACCTTTACCCTGCAATCCCCTGGCTAGGCTTGGCAGCCTAAGCCCAATTCTGTGATGATTCACTCATATAAAGTGTGCATATAATTAGATGGTCCCAGGCATAAACACTGCTGCTGCTGCTGCACGCCTGAGTCTGTGAAAGCACGGAGCACTATGACAACAGGGAAAAAAATAAAGAGCTGAAAGAGAAAATGCTTCAGTGCTAGAAATTCTGAGTCGGCTGCTTAAACTTTCAGGCAGCAAAGGCAGATGATACACCAAAACGCTTAAGAAAAAGCGTTTAGTAAAAAGGTTGGGGTGAAGGGAGCCCCTGACTGGAAGCAGAGGTGGCTTGGGAGAAAAAAGAGACTGATGTTGACCAGGCTTGTCTGCCAAAAAGGGGAGAGAAGGAAAACCCAAAATTTCTGAGCAAAAAAAAAAGAGAGAGAGAGAGAGAAAATGTTTTTGATCCAGAAAAGAAGAACGGCTGGAGTCATGCAGGCCACGAGAGAGACAGCAGAAAGGATCCCTGAAGGGTTCCAGGCAGCTCAACCCCCACCACCACCTCCCCCTCCCCCCCCCCGCCAAGCAAACAAGAGCTCAATGGCTAAGCAGAGCGAGGCCGGTTCAGAGCCATTGCTCAGCAGGCAAGAGATTCTGCCATCTTTTCACGGGTTCTTCACTGGGTGACTCAATTCTTTCCTGGAATTTTCTCCCATGTGTTGGAAGGATTTTCCCATCAATCTATAATTGCCTCTTACGAGGCTACGGAAAACAAAAATAATAATTTGAGGGCTGGGCTTGGGGTTATTTTTTTAACAGGGCACGGTGGGACGTGGCTTTTGTGGGCAGGTGTGGCGGCTGCTGTGCTGGTGGGCAGCAGTGGGGGAGAAAGAGAGAGAGAAAGAGAGAGAGAGAGAGAGAATTGGGAGAAGGAGATCGGGCACAGGGAGTCCTCGACTTCATTTAGTGACCATTCAAAGTTACAACAATGCTGAAAAATGTAACCAGTGACCGTTTTTCATAATTATGACCTTTGCAACATCCTTGTGGTCACCTGATTAAAATTCGGATGCCTGGCAACTGGTTTGTACTTATGACGGTCGCTGTGTCCCCAGGGCTACGTGTGATCCCCTTTTGAGACCTTCTGACAAGCAAAGTTTACGGGAGGAAGCCAGATTCACTTAACAACCAGGTGACCGACATATCAACTGCAGTGATTCACTTAATAACTGTGGCAAGAAAGATCGTAAAATAGGGCAAAATTCACTTAACAAGTGTCTTGCTTAATAACAGAAATTTTGGGCTCAAATGTCGCCATAAGTCAAGGACCACCTGTTTGGCCTTTGCTGTCATAAATAAACACAAAAAACCCCACTGACCGACTCTGGGGAAAAACTCAGGAGACACACACCCCCCCCGACTGTAAAAGAATCCACAGTCTCCTTTTGACTGTGATGAAAGCTTGGAAAAGAATTTTTCTAATATACTCTATATACAATGCGTTTCATTAAATAACTAGGTGACTTACACTTGATGTATAGGCAGGAAGGCAGCATATAAATATGGCATTTATATTGCACACATTTTTAAATCTCTGTGTGCAAAAGTCTATTACTTCACTATTACTCCTAGCTTCTGGTCAGATAATTTGCATGAAAGAAACCTAATTCTATGGACATCGTTCTCCTCTATTAGAGAAAAAAAATGATATATTTTTTTCTGTGATAGTAAGCTATTCTCATTATCTGAACTTACGTGTGCACTTATGACACACTGATAACCATTCACAAACCAGAGTACCCCCAACAGCTTATTTGAAATTATTTTTCTTTGAACAAAACTTTTTAAAAAATATTCTTAAAAGCATACTTGCAAATTAAAAAACGTAAACCTTACAGAATAATTGCTTTAATACCAATTAGTTTTAGCTTGCTGAATGTTATTAACATTCAATATGAACCCCTTCCTTCTATATATTGGTTTTATCGTATGATATTTCAGTTACTTATAGACACCATAAGCAGGATAAACATTTTCTACTGGAAATAATCACATAGCTTCCTGTAAACTCCCCTCCCCTATAATTCTACAATCTTCCAAATAAGTGATAATTATTTCCATCCTTCCTATCTTCAAAGAGAGGGAAAATCAGCTTGTCACTCTCAGATACTACCGGTACTAGACAACAGCACCAATAATCTCTTAGGCCACCAATAATTCTGTAGGCCATGTGGCTACAGATGATGAGAGCTTGAAGTCATAAATATCTAGAGGACTACACTTCCATTTTCTGTCTTTATCATGGCAAAATTACTTTGCCATTTCTTTTCTGGATTGGATTTTTGGAAACACATTTCAAAATTATTCTGCTTCTTGCTTTGCACTGCACATTAGAAATACTTAAAACGACAACAACTTTACTGTTCAAATTTAAGCCTGTCTGTACTAAGCCAAAACAGAATAACAGCCTTAAGACAGATATTTTATTTACTCAAAATATGTCCACACCTCTTAAGAAAAAATAAGCAACATCCTGTGCGGTGCCTAGCTTCTCACCTTATCAACCTAAGCTGACATCCAGGTGAGATCCACCCTGCAAAGTTCCTCCTCTGGAATAAACGTGGACACATCTCACATTTCTATGTGAGCATATGAACATACGCATCTCCAAACAAGTTTGCCAGAAGTTATATTCCAGCAAAGGGGAAACAAAATCCTCTAATTAAGAACTACTGACTAAATTGTACTACCTATAAAATAAGGTATCTCTTCCATGTTAACAACAAACATTGTCAACATAGGTACACCCCATTCATTATCCAACACAAACAATAGAATAAAATAATGGGAGAGGAATGAAATAGTGAAAGGGAAGGATCCATTAAGAAGAAACAAAACTGGATGAATATGGGCAGTTGTAACTGAACAGAAATGGAGAACAAATTGAACAGAAAGACCGATTTTGGTACTGTGAAAAGGTAAAAGAACCACACAAGTTATCATCTCCTAATCGAAGGCTAAACTTTAAGCTACACCTCAAAGCAGTGTTTCTCAACCTTGACCATTTTAAGGAATGTGGACTTCAACTCCCAGAATTCCACAGCCAGCATTGCTGGCTGTGGAATTCTGGGAGTTGAAGTCCACATGCCTTAAAATGGTCAAGGTTGAGAAACACTGCCTCAAAGAACGTTTCAGTCTTTTGTAATTATTTATTTCTTCAAACATGTATATACACCAACTATTATAAAGCACAGGTACTTTTCAGAAGATTCCTGCATTATGTAAACTGTCAAAATAAGCAGGTTACCAGTAATAATTGTGTTACAAAGCTGTATACTTACAAGTCTTTTGTTAGCCTCACGGAGGAACAGTTAAGACAAGCAAGGTTCTCCAAATGACCTACAAGCAGAACAAACGCAGTCTTGTGTAGGCAACCAGAAATAGATAAGAACACTTTTACTTGTGCCAGTCTGGTATCAAAATAACTTTGTTCACACACACATTCAATGCTTCAGAATGACAGACTTTTGGGGGGGGGGGTTTTCCAGGGAGCAACGGACAGGCTTTTGGGGGAGGGGCCCCGAGGGCTCCTCCCGGGAGGAAGGGAAGCCGCCTTCAGGGCTTCCCCCCCCCGGGGCCTTCGAACCGCCCCGGCTGTCTCCCAGGGGTCCGCCTGGTTCCCCCCCCCATCAGGCCCTTGGCCGGCCCTTCTTGCTTCGAGCGGTGTCCCGGCGGGCAGGCAGGCGGACACCCCCGGCAGGCCTGGATAAGCCTCTCAGGGAGGCATCCGAGGCCTTCCCGGCCCTCCTCATCCCAGCAGGCGGGGGTGACCTGAGGACACCCGGGCACATCCCATAATAGCGCCCCGGCCGGGGCGGGCAGAGCTCCGAAGTCTCCGGGCCAGCCGCTTCGCCTCTCCCGGCCGGGCCTCCCGCGGACCCCCGCCCTCGCCCACAGAGCCGCTTCCCCTGTTGGACGCCCGCCTGCCGCCGATCCACGCCGGAGGCGGCCGCGCCTCTCGCCCGCCGCCCCTTCCCGCCCGGCTCTCCCCGTCCTCCTCCTCCTCTGCCGGGCCTTCTCACCTGGCCCGGCGGCCTCTCCGCTAGCCGGCCTGGGCAGGCCCGGCGCCCTCTGCGCGCAGCGCCTCAGCAGCACGAACGCCGCCATGCCTGGGCCTGCCAGCCGGTCTGCGCCTGGGCGGGGGCGGAAGTGGCCGCGGGGCACGCCGGGAGGTGGAATCTTCCGGCCGGGGGGCACGTGCTGCGCCGCGTCTCCTCAGAGAGCGGAAAAAAAAAAAAAGGCGGCGCTTCCGGGCAGCGCTCGGAGGGGTCGCTGCCCTGCAAAGGGGGGGGCAGGGTCGAGAAAGGGACACCGGAGGTCCTCTAGCCCGGCCTCCTGCTCAAGCCAGGAGACCCCCACAAAACTCCAGACCAGCGGCCGCCCGGTCTCGTCTGAAAAAGCTCCGGGGCTTTGACGCCGTCTGTTCCACAAATGTGATACACCCCTGTGTGTTGCGTGCACAACCACACTGGGAAGCCGCGCTTGGAACGAACGGTTGCAGGTCGGGGATTACCTGCATAAATATGAACAGACTCCAACAGAGTCCGAAGGGGCCTTGGAGGTCTAGTCCAACCCCCTGCTCAAGGCAGGAGACCCTATTCCATTCTGGACAAGTGGCTGTCCAGTCTCTTCTTAAAAACCTTCAGTCATGGAGCACCCAGTTTCTGGTGGCAAGCAGTTCCACTGATCGATTGTTGTCATTCTGAGGAAATTCCTCCTTAGTTCCAGGTTGCTTCGCTCCATGATTGCTTCTTGTCCTGCCTTCGGGTGCTTTGGAAAAGAAGTTGAGCCCCCCCTCTTCTTTGTGGCAGCCCCCCAAATACTGGAAGACAGCTCTCATGTCACCCCAGGTCCTTCTTTTTACTAGACTGGCCATACCCAATTCCTGCAACCGTTCTTCCTATGTTTTAGGCTCCAGGCTCTTAATCATTTTAGTGCTCTTCTCTGCACTTTTTACAAAATCTCAACATCTTTTTTGTAATGTGGCCAAAACTGGCTGCAGTATTCCAGGTGTGGCCTTGCTAAGGCTTTACAAAGTGGTACTAATACTTGACGTGATTTTGATTCTATGCCTCTGTTAACGCAGCCTAGGATTGCACTGTTTTTTTGGCTGCGGCCTTGGGATACAAAGGCGGCTTTTGGCTTGTATGTGACAGGCCCAGCCCAAAGACTTACTACTGGCAGTCCTCAGCATGGAGAAAAGTGACTTGGAACCAATTTGCACACTTGTGACCATTGCAGCATTCCCCGTGGATCATGTGATCAAAATTCACATGCTTGGTAACTGACTCATACGTACGATGGTGGCCGTGTCCTGGGGTCACATGATCCCTCTTTTGTGACCTTCCGACAAAATCAATGGGGAAGCCAGATTCTCTTAATGATCGTGTGATTCACTTAATTGCAATGATTCAGTTAACATCTGGCAAAAAAAGGTCATAACCTGGGGCAAAACTCACTTAATAACTGTCTTGTTTAGCTATGAAAATTTGGGGGGGGGCAGTTGTGATTGTATGTCAAGGATGAGATGTATACAAGGTCCTTGAAGCCTCTGTCTCCCAGACACTCTTCCCAAAGGCAGAAAATTCCTTCCCCCCCCCCTTTTTTTTTTTGGATTTTTATCTACCCAGAGAGATCCTGGAAATTCAAAAGCTTTTCAAGTAATTTAGATGTCCTAGAACAGGGGTCTTCAAACTCTGCCCTTTTATGACTCATGGACTTCAGCTCCCAGAATTCCTCAGCTAGGCATGCTGAGATCCCTGTCCTAGAAAAACTGTAACCATTTAAAAGAAACAAGGCAGGCCGCTTACACAGTAGGAATGTAGGCCACTGGCTTGACTTTGTGGTTTGTTATCATTAATTTGTAATTTTCACCCTGGGAGAAAGGAAAAAAGTTAAGGCGTCTATTGTTCCAGGTCAGAACAGGAAAAGAGGCCTCCCTATGCATTGGTTAAGTCTCTGATTTTTTAATAAGCCGTGATTTAGCTGTGACTCAGGCTCAATCCTGACAAGACCGAGTGGCTTTGGATGTTGCCTCCCAAGGATCATGTCGACTGTCCAGTGTTGACTCTTGCGGGGGAAAATATATCCCCTTCGGAGCGGGTTCGCAACTTGGGTGTCCTCCTTGATCCACAGCTGAATTTGGAACATCAATTGACGGCTGTGGCTGGGAGGACCTTTGCACAAGTTCGCCTGTTGCACCAGTTGCGACCCTACCTGGACCAGGAGGCTCTCCTTACAGTCACTCACGCCCTTGTCACCTCACGTTTGGACTACTGCAACGCACTCTACATGGGGCTACCCTTGAAAAGTATTCGGAGACTACAGTTGGTCCAGAATGCAGCCGCGCGAGTGATACTGGGTGCTCCTCGATACACCCACGTTACACCTATCCTCCGTGAGCTGCACCGGTTGCCTATTGGTCTCCGGGTCCAATTCAAGGTGTTGGTCATTACCTTTAAAGCCCTATATGGCTCAGGGCCAGGCTATTTGCGAGACCGCCTACTACCTCATGGTTCCCTACGTCCGGTTAGATCCCACAGGCTGGGCCTCCTTCAGGCCCCGTCGGCCAAGCAGTGCCATTTGGCGGGGCCGCGGAGGAGGGCCTTCTCTGTGATGGCACCCACACTTTGGAATCAGCTCCCCCCGGAGATTAGGACCGCTCCCACCCTGTTGGTCTTCCTTAAGCTACTTAAGACCTGGCTTTTCCGGCAGGCCTGGGGTTTATAAAACCTTACCCCTGGATGATTGTTTTTGTATTGTTGATTTGTTATGTTTTATGTTTTTTATTGTTAGCCGCCCAGAGTCCTTCGGGAGTGGGGCGGCTTATAAATTTTAAAAATAAATAAATAAATAAATTTAACTGTTATCTGCTGAGCTACAACTGGCTTCAGAAATAATAAATTGTAACACACCTAGCACACAAACCAAACATGCTAATCAAAGCACACAGTGACCCAGAAGTGAGTTACTTTGTCATGGGGAAAAAAAGTTTGCAGGCTTAAGACAAAATTACAATTAAGGATTGTATGAAAGTCAAAAGCGGAAATAAAAGAATCTGATATGGAGAAGAAAAAATGGGAAATCCAGGACAAAGGACATAGTCCTCATTTTGTGCTATCTCCACACTTCTGACGTAAATTATTTATGCATTTTTATTAAACCAGTTTCTCCAAGGGAGATTATTATTTATCTATTTATTTATAATTTTATTGGCTGCCCATCTTATCACAGGGTAAGTCTGGGAGGCTTACAGTCATACAAGTATGTCCATACATATATAATGAAAACAAACAAAAAACATTAAAACCTAAGGACATAAGCGGGGGAGGGGTGGGGGATGGGGATCTGTTCCTCAGGACCACCAGCTGAGTCACAGCTTCAGGCCCTTACAAAAAGACAGGAGGGTTGGGGCCAAACCCACATTGGGGAGCAAGGGGGCAGTTAAGAAATAGGAAATATAAATAAAGCTTAGGTGACCTCTGGCAGCTGACAACATGAAACCCCAGCCCAAGGAAGCAATTCCAGGATGAAGCAGCCATTCTTCTGAACAAGGCCTCTTTTTTTTCTCAAGCAGCCTTGCCCCTCCCACCGAGAGAAGAGCAGACAGAAAACCAAAAGGAACTACAAAGACAAAAATCCTCTGCCATGAAGTGAAAAGGGGAAAGCCCCAGATGAGAGGAATCACCAATGGTCAATTCTCCAAGCAGGCTTTGCGGCCAGATTAACTTTACGAGCACCGAGTATAAAATGTAATACAGGCAGTCCTCCACTTACAATGGTTCACGTAGTGACCGTTCAAAATTACAACGGCACTTAAAGAAGCGACCACCATTTTTTCGCACTTACGACCACTGCAGTATTCCCCAGGTCACGTGATCCAAATTCACATGCTTGGCAGCTGACTCATATTTGTGACGGTTGCAGCGTCCCGGGGTCACGCGATCCCCTTTTGCGACCTTCTGACAAAGTCAGCGGGGGAACCAGATTCACTTAACAACTGTGGCAGGGAAGGTCGTAAAATGGGGCAGAAATTCACAAATTTCTCACACAGCAACATACATTTTGGGCTCAATTGTGGTCGTTAAGGGGAGGACTCTCTGAGTTGGGGAGGGGCGTTCTCTGCTAGGAAGATGCGAGTTTTAATTCCCAGCCCTGCCCTCCCTGCCTTGATCCCTGAGGCCGCTGATCCCTGATACCCCAAGCAAGATCTCTCTTCCCGGCCTCCGTCTTCGGGAACCTTATCGGCCACTCCTGCAGGTTTGCTTTGGATTTCCCCCCACCGGCCTTCGCCTGGCTGTCCGGAGCGCCTTGGAGATCAGATCCGGAGTCACTTCGGTTTTCCTGGTTCTGGTTTTTAACAACGCCCGGCCGCTCTTTTCCACCAGCCCCCCCCCTCGGCTTTAAGAGGACCGAGGTGAGAGCCGGGCCGGGGATCCCGAGCGCTGCGGTTCCCCGGGACGGGGCTCGGCTCCCGGTCCAAGACTTCCAGCCCTCCCCGCTGATCTCCCCCACCGCCGGCCCTCGTCTCCGGGGCAGCCATTGCCGAGCCTGCCCGGCGCCCCCTTGGGGGGGGGACGACTCCCCTGCCCCATCCCGGCTGCGCTGCTCCCCCTGCAAGGCGGCCAGGAGCCCCGGCCCGTCAGCTGGGAGTAACGGGGGGCTTCTGGGGGAGGGCAGCCGGCCCACCCTGCCCGGGGGTCCCTCCGGGGCCTTTGTGTGCAACAGGCGCTCTTTGTGCCGGGAGGCCCGGCCGGAAGGGAGGGGGCTGCCCTGCTCCGCGGAGATGTTCAGCCGGGAGCCCGCGGGCGCCAGGCTGCTGCTGGGGGACCCCGCGGGGCCAAAGCTTCTGGGCTGGGGGCGCAGGGGGGGCGGCGCCTGGTCCCGCGGGCGGCCCAAGGGGATCCCGGGCGCCCCGCTTCCCCTCCGGGGGCTCCTTCGTCCTCCTCCTCGGGGCGTGCCGTCTCCGGGCTGTCTTTCCAGCGGGAGCGGCTCCTTCGCTCCTGCCTCCCGGGGCCCGGGTGAGCCGGCGGGGGCTGAGCCGACGGGGGGCGTCCCCGTGGGGGGGGGCGGAGGCGCCCGGGCTCCGTCCTCGGCGGCGGCGCGGCGGGTTTGAATGGGGCGCGGCGGGGCCTCCGGCGGCGCGAAGGCGGCGGCGCAGCCAATCAGCGCGGGGCATTTTTCGCGCTGGTTTCGGCTGGCGAGGAGGCGGGTCCGCGGGGCGGTTGGGCGGCCGGCCGGGGCGGCAGCGGCGGGAGAGGCGGCCAGCGGGAGCAGCCAGGCAGCCCAGCGCCAGGTCAGTGCACGCCGGAGCCCCGCCGGCCGCTTCCCTCCCCCGCAGCCACCCCGCCCGGCCCGATGCGCCCGGCGCTCCATCCCTGCAAGCGGCGGGCGGGCGAGGCGGGGGTCCCCTCCTCCCGCTCCTGGGTCCGGGGCGGCGGGGAGGCCATGTTGGCTGCCTCCTCCGGCTGGCCTGCTGGATGCGGGGCGGGGAGCGGAGGCGGCCACGTGCGGCGGCGGCGCTTTCTTCGCCCGGCCCGGGGGGCGCCGCAGCCGCAGCCGCCACGCGGAGCAATGGCCAGGCCGTCCCGGGCGCCCCCGGCGGCGACGGGGCAGAGGCGTTGCGCGGCGGGCCCGGCCCCGCGTCCTCCCCGAATCCCCCCCGCCCTTCGCCCCGGTCCCCGAGGCCGCCCTTCCGCCCTCCTGGCGGGGAGGCTTCCTGCCCGCCGCGCAGGGTCTCCTCCGCCGGGCGGGCGGGCGGGCGGCCTCCCTGCCTGCCCGGGGGATCCTGCGGGGCGTCCCCGGGGACCGGGCGCCTCTCCGGGTGGCCCGAGGCGCGGCGGGCTTAAAGGCGCTTGCGGCGCTGTCCACCCGCCCTGCCGAAGGCGGCTCTCCGGGCTGCCTTTCTGCCCGGACCACGCGGGGACCCTCCGGGCTTCCCGGCCGGGCCGATTTCTTCCTCCGCCGGTTTGGATCCCGGGCTGCCCGTCCTCGCTTTCTCCCGGCGAGCTTTCCGGAGCGGAGTCCGGGCTTCTCTGGGACTTGAAGCGACGATGCTCGGATCCGCTGCGTGCCCGTCGGGACCGGGCTGGCCGTCCGTCCGTCCAACCGGCGGTTTGCATGCTTCGTCGGGACGAAACCAAAATAATAATTGCACCGGCTCCGCATCGCGTCTCCAATTTAAAAAGCAAAAGTTCCGCCTTTTGCAGCCTCCGACGAGTCTCCCGTGCGGCGCTTGCACCGGAGCGCGTCCCCGCTGGCCGGGGTGAAATTCGGGCAGGGATCGTCCCCGTGTTTGTATCCGGCTGGGTTCTCGGGGAAAGATGCGGCTGCTTTGAAGAGCCGCTCCTAGCTGGAAGCGGCCGGCGGGCCCCATCTTGGTACCCATCTTGGTGGAGCTGCGGCTGCTTTGTGCCTGAGGGTGGCCAGCCGGCCTGGTGGTCGGTGGGGGCGTCCAAAGGGCCCCAAAGCTCTCCGCATTTTAACTGCGTCTTCAAAGAAATATTTACTTGCTGTGGAGGTGACAGCAGGCCTCAGATTCTCTTTGCCTTCACGATCATTTGAATTCCATGGAAATGCTGAGCATTGGGGTCCGGTTTGGCCCGGTGGCATGATGCGTGAACCTAGCCCCCCCCTTCCCTTTGTGAATTGTAGTTTAATGGTTTAACAGGTGTGACCCTTAAGCCTATGTGGTTGATTCAGCCTTTGTTTATTGATTGATGTGTCTCCAACCTGTGGTCAATGGCTTTGAGGGCCCGTAAAAGTTTCAGAAATCTCTCACAGGCATCTTTTTGTTCTTCTAAAGGGAGGGTCATCCAGTATCCAACAAAACACGAGTTTCTCATCCAATTGCTCCTGTAAAGGAGACTAACAAAGAGCCAGCAGCTTTATCCCCAAGACTCGATTTATTGGTCTGATTTGGGCCATTATCTTAGTTACAATTTTAAATGGATAAAAAAAAATTTCTATCAAAGTTGGCATTCTCTCGCCAGTTTTGATAAAAGTTAAATCTGTGCACATTTTTTTAAAAAAACCAATTTGGAATTAATCTGTGCTACTCAGTAAAACAGGGTGACTTATTTATGTTTCTCTATTAAATTCATATGCTACCCTTCTCCCCCAGTAAGGTGAAGTTTTTTTGGAGAAATTGTTTGTTTGTTTTTCAAATCTGCAAATCAAGATGCTGTTGCTTTAAAAGTTAACTTTGGTGACTGGATCCCTTGAGCACCAGCATTTTTTAGGTTTTTGGAAATTCCTGAAAAAATATATGTTACTTTAATTAGTGGTTTGGTCTCGCACAGAGACACAAGGTTCAATTCACGTCTTATGAATCATTTAAGCACATATGGTTCTTTTTTCCATGTACTCGTCCAAATTATTAATAAAAAAAATGGTGCAGGACAGTATAAGGCCCTACACAAAATTGTGTGGTGCCATAGTTGATGGTACTTCAGTTTCACGGGAATTGCTGATTGTGTGGATTGTAAATTGACTCTATAGTAGTCCTTTAAATTATCCCATCATCTAATCAAGGATCTGCTAAGGAATCAAGAAATAAGATAAGGTTGGCCTCAAAAGATTTGTTTCTGACTAATCCTTCCTGATTACTAATGATTGCTGTGTGATTTTCAAGCTGTTACAGATTAATTTCTTTTATGATCTGCAGATCATCAAGTTTCTTTAATATTCTAGCCAGTGTTTCTCAGCATTGGTGACCTTAAGATGGCTGGACTTCAACTCCCAGAATTCCCCAGCTGTGCTGACTCAGGGGATTCTGGGAGTTGAAGTCCAGCCATCTTAAAGTCGCCAACGTTGAGAAACACTGTTCTAGACTGTAGTTTACCTGGTCCTAGAGATTTAGAAAATAAATAGGTATTGTGTTTTCCTAAACAAGATTGAGCCTTTCCTCTTCATTCTTCTTCCATTTATGCAACCATTTCTCCAACATGGCTGCTACTTCCATTTCCTCATCTAAGGCGTCCCTGAACAAAGTCTGTTTGATTGCTTGTATGTTATTCTGCCTTCTGAGGGAGAAAGTTCAGAGCAAGATAAATTGGGAATTTCCTGAGAGGAATTTGTCTTGCAGAAAGGGTGGTCCCTGAGGATGTCAAGATAATTCATATCTTCCACCGGTGTTTCTTGGAAAGACCAATGCTTGCTGGTGGAAATAGTGGAAAATAGATGCCAACAACTGTGTAGGTCAGTGGTTCTCAACCTTTTTAATGCCGTGACCCCCACCGGTCGTAAGTCGAGGACTACTCAACCGGTCGTAAGTCGAGGACTACTCAACGGGTGCAGCACCGTTTGCAGAATGGGACTTTTGGCAGGCTCAGCAGGACAGAGACAGCCTGGACAATTCCTATTGGCTTTTGAAAGCCAATAGAATTAGACTCTATTCAAGAGAGTCTATTCGATTGGCTTTCAAAAGCCAATAGAATCAAAGGGAGTAGCACAGCTAAGGAAAAGGGGAAAAAATGGTGGACTGCGTTGTTTGGTGACCCCCGTGAAATGGTCGTTCGACCCCAAATGGGGTCCTGACCCACAGGTTGAGAACCACTGGTGTAGGTAGTGCTTGACTTAAAACCGTTCGTTTACTGACTGTTTGAAATTACAGTGGCACTAAAAAAAGTGACTTTTTTACTTACGGCCATTTTTCACACGATCGTTGCAGCATTCCCATGGACATGGGATCAAAATTAGGTCCTCGGCAACCAACTCATATTTACGATGGTCGTGGAGTCCCGGGATCACGTGATCTTCTTTTGCGACTCCTCATAAGCAAAGTCAATGGGGAACCCAGATTTGCTTAACAACCATGTCACTAACTTAACAACTGCAGTGATTCATTTAACAACTGCAACAAAACAGGTCGTAAAATGGAGCAGAGCTTACTTAACCATCTCAATTAGCAACAGAAATTTTGGGCTCAATTGTAGTCGTAAAGCGAGGACTACCTATACGCCTTTTAATGTATTCCTCCGCTTCTCTCAACCCCATGGAAATAATCAGTGCAGTAGGGATGGATTTAAAAAAATACAGGTACCATAAATGCCGGCGTACAAGGCGACCCGGCGTATAAGACGACCCCCGTCTTTATAGCCGGGCCACATTCCTAGAACATCATCTTATTCGCCAGAAACTACCAGTATTTCTGGCGTATAAGACGACCCCCGTCTTTGGCGCCGATTTCAGCACTCGTGGAAGTCGCCTTATACGCCGGCATTTACGGTAGTCCTCACGACTGTAATGGAGCCCATCCATTACGGCTGTAAGGCCTTATGGTCATCAAATGGGTTGATTGACATGATTTTGCTTGAAACTTGATTTTACTTCTTTTTTTTTTTTTTTGCGTTGGTTGTTAAAAGGAACGTTGCGCTCATTAAGCAAACTCATTTCCTGCTGTGCTACAGTTTTGCTGAAAATTGGAAGTGCCGGTTTTGAGTAAAACATGGTCACGTGACTACAAAATCGGCGGTGAAGGCGGCCATGTTGCTGAGCGTCTGAAGTGCAGGTCACATGACTGCAGAGCCTCTGATCTGGGCCACAAGTTCCCTGTTTCCGGGTAATTAATACATTTGGACAGTTGCTGAGTGACAAGTCATAAGATGAGGACTGCACCTTCTCCCTTTTGTGTCTTTCAGTTCCTTTCGTGTAGCTTTCCTTTTCTTCCTCATCCCACTGCTTGCAGCTAATCACGGGAGTCAGATTACACTTAGTGATTCTCACATTCTGGTGCTAGAAATCCGGGTGTATCTTGTTTGTTGCCTCTGCTTTCAACATTATTATTATTTATTACCCATAGTTTGTCTGTCCTCTTCCTCAGTAGCTTTTGAGGATTTTTGGCCCTGAATAAAAGGTGGAGGCTTAGTTGAAACCCTCCTGATCCCGGTGGCCCACATTTTGCTAGTTCTTGTGGTCTCAAGGCGTCTGCCCTGCCTTCCTCTGGAGAATTTGAATCGAGGAACAGGTTTTCCCAACTGATATCATTTATACAGTCTAAGGTACCAATAAAGGAGAATACTTGTAGCTCGGAGTCCGAGTTGAATTGTGGGGTCCTGGGTGCTTTCTGAGCTGGCTTGTTTCCTTGCAGACGTTTCATGACCCAGCTAGGCAACGTCATCAGTGTTAGTAAGGAGTTCTGGCTACAACTGAGGATGTTACCCAGTTTAGGTAATGAGATGTTTGCAAGGAAACAGCTGAGCTCAGAGAGCATCAGGCACCCCTCCTTGTCTCCTGTGCAGGGAGTCCATGACTTACAACAGTTCGCTTAGTGACTCTCTCAAGTTACAATAGCACTTAAAAAAAGGGACTTAGGACCGTTTTTCACACTTCTGACCGTTGCAGCATCCCTCAGGGTCACGGGATCAAAATTCAGACGCTTGACAACAGACTCGCACATTTATGACAGTCACAGCGTCCGGGGGTGTGTGTGTCACGTGATCCCCTTTTGCGACTTTCTGACAAGCAAAAGTCCATGGGGACGCCAGATTCACTTAACAACCGTGTCACTAACAACTGCAGTGATTCGCTTAACAAACGTGGCAAGAAAAGTCGTAAAACGGGTCAAAGCTCACTTCACAAATTTCTCACTTAGCACAGAAATGTTGGGCTCCGTTGGAGTCGTAAGGCGAGGACTGCCTGTAGCTGCTTAAGTTATTACCTTCCAGGGACAGATGGGCTGATGGAGACATTGTGCCCCAGACTTCTCCCTCTAGTCTAGAATTCCCAAGCTCCCATGGTGTTACACATTTTTGTCCTCTTTTTAATACCATTTTGTTCCTATAGGAATTAGCAGGGGGGGGGATTATTGGCAGGGGGCTCAGTAAGTACTGGAAATTGTTTTGTCACATCCTTAATATTTGCTCCTGGCAAACAGCGTGTTTCACATACCGATGAATGGAGTTGGCACAGATTTGTTGTGAGTCACCAACTACCACGAGCTTCAGTTGACTTGGTGCAATTACAACTTTTCTGCCTGTCAGGGATCCGTCATCCTGTCTCCTGTTCATAATCATATTTGATATTTATCTTTTTTCTTTATGGATAGACCAAACTTGGCTACCTTTGTGGCATAGCATTGGTTATGTAGGCCTTGCGGTGATATGTTTCTGCCTTGTTAACATGCACACATCATAATGAAATTAGGCTGGGCTGGAAAGCTTTTAAAAACCGTACTTTAAGGCAATGCATTTTAAAAGGAGGATCTAATGTCTTCTACAATATTCAAATATTCCTTCTTATTACTGAAATAGACTCTTGCTTTTGTGTTTTGATTTTGTTTTTTGGTCACAATAGACTTGGATTCCTAACCTTGGCAATTTTCAGACTTGTGGGCTTCAACTCCTAGAATTCCGCAGCCAGCTCTGCATCTAAAAATCTTAAAAATAACATAAACAGATAATGAAAATGGTTAAAAAAGCAAAATAAGAAACCTTAGGATGAAGACAGGTGTACTCCATTTGCAATTTTTTTCCTGTCCTTTTGTGTCCACTTCAGACATTCTGGTCAGAGAATTGATGCCAAAAGGGCACTTGCTGTGCTCTTTCACAGTCCAGAAAGAAAACTTGAAAGTGGGCAGAGAAGACTAACAAAGATGAAAAAGAGTCTGGAGGCTGAATCGTATGATGAACGGCTGAGGGGACCTGTTCTCCACAGCACCAATGGGCAGGAGAAGGATGGATGCTGGTGGTTCAAGGGAGATCCAATCTGGAACTAAGGAGAAGCTTCCAGATAGGGAGAACAATCAATGGAAGTGCTCCATCACTGGAGATTTTCAAAAAATAGACTGAACAGCCATTTGATTGGGATGGCATAAGGCCTCCTGCCTTGAGAAGGGATTGGACTAGAACAGGGGTAGGCAACCATGGCTCTTTTATGACTCGTGGACTTCAACTCCCAGAAAAGAGCCAAGGTTGCCTACCCATGGACTAGAAGACCTGTTAAGATCCCTTCCAGCCCTTGGATTCTATGATGGCTATGGTTTGTTAGTTCAAGGTTTAACATTTGTGGGAAAGGGAAGAAAAATATACATGCAGTAATTTTTACCATCCTTTTTTTTTAGACAGAAAGCTATTTTTGTTGAATAAAATTCATTACAGGTAGTCCTTAATGGGAAGACCATACCTGTTTAGAATGAGTTCAAATTTGAACTCGTGAATGCTTAGATATTCGTTTTATGGAATGTCTATACCAGTGGTGGCAAACCTATGGCACGGGTGCCAGAGGTGGCACGCAGAGCCCTCTCTGTGGGCACATGCGCCGTCGCCCCAGTCCTAGGCCTTCAGCTGGGTTTTATAAAACCTTTTCGCTTTAGGCCTCCGCCGCCGTGTGCAAAAAAAAGGTTCAATCAATCAGTCAATTTCAACTTCTCGCAGGGAAAAAAAAAGATCTTGCAAAGTTGGAATTGATTGAACTTTTTAGTCCCACCCAGTTTGCCGTTACCTCTACAGCCACGCCCACCCAATGGGCCACACCCACCCGGCATCCGACAATGCATTAGTGGGTTTTGGGTTGCAGTTTGGGCACTCTGCCTCTAAAAGATTCGCCATCACTGGTCTATACTGCTGCCATCGTGATACAGACAGAGTTCAAGGGGACATAATCAGCAATATAATAAACTGCAAAAATATAACGCAGATCCAGAAAAATACTGCATATTCCCAATATACTAGATGGCCTCACACTGTGCTCAGACCACATAATGTGCGTCTTCTTTGTGGAGCGAGCCTGGAAGGGGGGGAGGGGCGGCTTTTGGGTCAAGCTGAGTGAACATTTAAGACCTGGTGAAGGGCTGGACAGCTGAGGAACTGCAGGTGGCTTCACAAAGGGAGGAAGAACCCAATTCGAGTCCAGTCTGCAAAGGCCAATAGGTGAGAAAATTCTAGAGTGGGTCCTAAAGACACAGAGTTCATTCAGTACTTGCCAAGCACCGGGTGTGACCTGGTCAAGAACAAATCTGTTCAGTCTAACCTTATCTCCACTCTTGATTGAGTCATTTCCTTAGTAGGTTGTGAGAAGAGAACGCTACAGATACCCTGACAAAGCACCCCATTACAGGACACACTGATTAATAGGCTATTTAAATGGGGGGAGAAGGGGGGAAAAATCAGCTTTTATCAGTGGCTCCTAGTTAAAATTGGAGAAAAAGTATTGAGTGGAAGGCCGTAAAGTTAAGTTGAGCATCTTTGATAAATAAATGTGTGGACACGTCTTGAATCCTGAATTCTTCAGTACCGTATATGCCGGCATATAAGGCGACTTCCGCAAGCGTTAAAATCGGCACCAAAGACGGGGGTCGTCTTATACACCGAGTCGTCTTATACACCGGAAATATTGGTAGTTTCCGGCGTATAAGACGACGTTCTAGGAATGCGACTCGGCGCCAAAGACGGGGGTCGTCCTATACGCCGGGTCGCCTTGTACGCCAGCATATACGGTATTTTTTTTTGTTATTGACTGGTCTAAAGCAGAAGGAAGAAATTTGGATAGCATAGCCAACCATGCAGAACACAAATACAATTTTTACTGAACTATAGCGGGCTAATAATCTCAGAATAAAGTTGGGGAGAAATTAATTGCAGTAAGGAAACAAGCATCAAATGCAGAGGTGTGGCGTCGTCATACAAGTAGTTTTCACTTAAACCCCTAATTGGGACTAGAATTTTTGTCACTAAGCAAAGTGCTTGTTAGGTGAAAACATCACATGACCCCCCACTGCTTGGGATGACCCTTCTGGTAGTCCCAGTTGTGGTTGGGACCTCCCATCCATCTATCTCACCTCACCTCTTGGCTGCCCTGCATTTTACCACCTCCACCCCCAGTTGACTTTTGCCATAATATTTGGCTTCATGAGAAGAAATAATGGGGAACAAGTATATTTTGCCCTGGTCAAAGTTTCCCTTGAGTATTTTGTCTAACCCTAAGCATTGCATTGAAGGATTTAGCAAAAAAAAAGGTCAGAGGATGAGAAATTAAATCATAAGAAAAGATATTGAAGGGGTTGGACCAGTTCAATGGGAATATTATAGCGCTCTTCATATACCTGAAAAGATATTGCAAGACGTTGGTCAAAACTCTTATTGTTTCAGAGTGCAGGACATCCAAGCATGCTTTGAAGTTATGGGAAAGCAGATTTTAATAGAATATTATGAAACACTTGTCTTATGGAACAAACTTTGCAAGAGAGATGTTGGGCTTCATTTCTTTGGCTAGATGCAGACCTTGGATAGCCATCTATGTGGGACCCTTGAATTTGGATTCTGCACTCAACATGAGTTGGATTCAATGACTACTCTAACTCTGATTGTGTGGACATTGGCAAAAAAACCCATGAATTTAGTTTTTACCAGACAACCCGTGTCCCCTTGCCTCATCCTTTGAGATATTTCCTCACCTGATTCCCCCCACACCTTCAACAACGTTGGAGCTTCTAGTGTCCTTCCTTCACTGGAAAAGTTGGGATAGATTCGGAGAGGGCATCTGGCTTGACCTGTGTAGCACAGTCAAACATCAGCACAGGAAATGTTTTCATGCTATGTCATGAACTGTTTTGTGATCATTTTTCTGTTATAACACGTTTTATAAAGTTTCAATTTCACAGGCGTCATGGGTCCCAGATATTGGACAGATTCTGAAATGAGGCACTTGGGTTCAAAACATTTTACCCCATAATGCACTGTTCTGCCTATTAAAGCTTAGGGGAAAGGAGGTTTTAGTAGTCAATGGATAAGTCGTCATCATCCTCAACAACCCTTTTGTAATTAGATCCAGGTAACCGAGAACCTCTAATTAAAATCACAGTAAGCCCACCATAATTACATGTTGCATTGTTCTTTAAAAGGGTTTAGATTAGCTTTTCATGACTTAATGCTCCAGTCAACATGGACGTAGCTCAGAAGTCGGGGATATCCACCTATCCAGTAGCTGATTATAGGGTGAGGTCCTTAGGGTCCTTCTAACAGGTTCATTGATGCTTGGCGATTGGATCAACAGTTGTTTTCTGTTGGAGAGAGTGATATCTTGTAGGGGTTTTTCCCGCCCCCTCACTGGGCATTTTTGTGTGTTTCTAGGGCAGGGGTCTTCAAACTTGGCCCTTTTATGACTTGTGGACTTCAACTCCCAGAATTCCTCAGCCAGGCACGGCGTGCCTGGCTGAGGAATTCTGGGAGTTGAAGTCCACAAGTCTTAAAAAGGACAAGTTTGAAGACCCTCTTCTAGGGCTTAGGATATTTTCTGCGAATTGCTTGTTTCAATAGTAGATAACCGCACCAGTGGTTTTCAGCATTTGCGACTATTGGATTTGGATAGCGTATTTGCTATCCGTATATATCACATACATATTTCAAATGTTTGGAATATTTAGTATTCCAAAAGAGCTGTGGAGTCCCCGTAAGCTGTGGGCTCTGGGCCTACGAGTGGTCCTCTTCTGATTTATGGATTATGTAATGAGTTGCTGAATGGAATTTCAGAACTTTGATCGTGAAAGCAGTGGTTGGTTCATTTTTATCCCCATGTGAACATCAGTATTACCCTAAATGCCGGCGTATAAGGCGGCTTCCGCGAGCACTGAAATCGGCGCCAAAGACGGGGGTCGTCTTATACGCCGAGTCGTCTTATACGCCGGAAATACTGGTAGTTTCCGGCGTATAAGACGACGTTCTAGGAATGCGGCCCGGCTATAAAGACGGGGGTCGTCTTATACGCCGGGTCGCCTTGTACGCTGGCATTTACGGTATTTAAAAAAACAACAACAACATTGGAAGCTTTATTAAAAACAAAACTTTTCCACTGGAAGTGATCCACCATTCGAATGTAAAGCTGTATTTGTAAAGGGGAAAGGTGAACTTGCTTTATTTTGTAGCTGGAAGATGAATGTTTAAATTGTTTCCTAGCTTGCACTCGGTTAGATCAATTATTTAATTGCTATAAATACCCTGCAGAATGCAAGCTCATGTGTCAAGATAGGTCAAGATTGGTTTGTCAAAGAGTTTGATACAGTTGCTTTGTTTCTTTTCCTGCATGTAGCCGTTGCAGCTCAGCAAAACAATATAATTTTATATTATGTCCTGTTAGTAAATCTAGATACAGAATGAGGCATATACCTAGATATCACACAGCAAGATATATCACAGTTGCATGCTGATTGTTTTTTTAATTTGACTTTGTACGTATATTTCCAATTAAAGGGAGCTCCAGGATCTTGCGGTGTCCTTCTGCTGCCTTGACCATGTTTCTGATGATGATGGTTGGGAATTCATCTGGGAGGACCCATTGGGGAGATTTGCACGTTCAGAAATGTGTGCTTATTTGTGTTATTTAAGCTTGTGGCCCTGGGCATGTCTGAACATAGTAGGGATGTTTGCAAGTCTTCCATCTGGCTAGCTTTCATACAGGCTTGATGGATAGTATCACTATGGATTTGAACATTTCATACCCAAATCTCCTGCTGTCTGCGTCTGTCCCGTTGCTCTCTCTTGACCTGGTTACCTGGTGCCATCCTCTCTGCCTCAACCCCTGACGCCCCTCTGGGTCCACCCAGCAGGCCAGAGTGAGCAGGGAGGAAGAACCGTTGGCCAACTCCCCTCAGTCTCCCCACACACATACACACACACCCCGATTGCCCTCTTGTTATAAACATTCTCAGGCCTTCCGCCTTTGATGTGTGGAGTTCACCTGGTGGAGATAAGCAGACAGATGGAAGGATTCAGCAGGAGCCTTTTCTGAAATTAAAAAAAATTAAGTTCAGCTTCCATGGTTTTCAGTCCTGAACTTAACATTTGTTGCATTTATCAGTTGCAGAGAGTCCTCAACCTACGACGTAATGGAGACCTGCCCGTTATGCTCGTATATCAGGATGGTTATAAATTGATTCCATCGTGTGACTAACCAGTCATACACTCAAGGATTATCTGCACAACATGCCACATGCAAACCATCACTAAATCATTCTGCATTTGCATCCTTCTGTTTGTCTTTGGCATTTTACCCCCAAAGAACCGCCTGTCAATCTCAGCTTCCTTGGGATGAAAATTTCTCAGAGGTTTCCCCGGGAATAACGGGGCAAAGGCTGTGAGCCCGTCGCTTTGACTGGGTCGCCTGATTTCTAAATCCTAGCAGTTGTAAGTCCGAGGCAAGTTTGCAACTGGCATTCAGCAGCTTTTGTGCTACGAACAGGAATGAGTCATTTCTATCCCACATCCTTTAATTTCCTGTCAAGATCAGCCTCTTGTTTATTTGCAGCTTGTTTGTGCTTTGATTGGATTTGGATGGAGCCTTGTTACTAGCAATCGTCCTTAGCTCCCGTATTTTTTTAGACCTTCGATTCCTTCCTGTGTTTCTTAGGTACTTTGGTAGGACGTTTTAATGCGTCCTACAAAATTGACCAGCCAAAACAATGCCTGGTTAACAGGAGTAGGAATTCTCTCTCTCCCCTTCTCCCCAAACAGAATAGGAATAAAATACAATTCCAAGTAAACAACTCAAAATAATACTCTCTGTCTGTGCTTGTTCTTTTATTGGCGGTCTTATGCTGTAATGCTGTAAAATAGCAAAATGTTTGTACTTGCCCTTTTTCAAAATGCGTATTGTCTCGCTCTGAGAATTAGCTAGAACAATTCGATGTGATTTTTAAAAGTAGGGAACGTGAATATTTTAGAAGTTACGCTGCGCAGTCCGTCTCAGATATTTGGATTATATTATTTTGGTAGCTTATTTTGGTCATATTATGCCCAGTACGCAACCTCCAGGACTAACAATACAATTTTGTTGCTTTGTTCCTTTATTTATGCAGAAATATAAACAAACTGGAAACACCTGTGATGGATTTCAAAAGTAAGCCACTGCTGCTCCCCAAGAAAGGAGCCAACCACATCAAGATGAAGCCGGTCCCTGAGATCCTGGGGAATCCCACCGGAAGGCCCCCCAGCTGTGAAGTGAGCCGAGAGTGCTCTGTTTACCTGGGCAAGGCCCACCTTTCCGCCACACTACAGGACGATGTCGTGCCGAAATACAACGGCCGCGACGGCCTCCCCTACATCCCTGTGGAGAAGCTCCAAGACCTCACCTCCCGCGTCTTCAACGGGGAGTCGGGAGCGCAGGAGACCAAACTGCGCTTTGAGTCTCAGGAGGGCAAGGAGACTGGGACGCCCCCCAACACTACCCCGGCCAAAAACGGCTCACCCGAAATTAAACTGAAAATCACTAAAACGTACATGAACGGGAAGCCTCTCTTTGAATCCTCCATCTGTGGCGACGGCGTGCTGGAGGCCGCTCAGGCGGAGCCCAACCCGGCCAACAAGGAGAAGCGGAGCAGGAAGAGGAGCATCAAGTACGACTCCCTACTCGAGCGGGGCTTCGTAGAAGCGGCGTTGCTGTCTGGGTCGTCCGGTTCCTCCTGCGACAAGGTACTACCGCGGGTCCCCTTGGTTCCTTGCGACCGTTGGGCGATCAGAATTTGCAGTCTGTTGGCTGTCGAGTTTTCAGATTTCTGCTCCAAGGATGAGTATGTCCCTGGTTTCTGAAAATGTAAACGCACCCTTGGTCAGCTTTGGTAGGTACAGAATACAGGGAGTCCTCGGCTTAACGCAGGGGTTCTCAACCTTGGCAACTTTAAGACTTGTGGACTTCAACTCCCAGAATTCCTCAGCCAGCAAAGCTGGCTGAGGAATTCTGGGAGTTGAAGTCCACAAGTCTTAAAGTTGCCAAGGTTGAGAACCCCTGGCTTAACGGCAGTTCGTTTAGTGACAGCACTGAAAAATGTGACTTGTGACCGCTTTTCCCAGTTACGACCTTTGCAGCCTCCCCAGGGCCATGTGATGAAAATTCAGAGGCTTGGCAACTGGTTCACATTTACGACGGTCGCGGTGTCCCGGGGTCACATGATTCCCCCCCCCTTTTGCAAAGTCAGTGGGGAAGCCAGATCCACAGAGTACTACTAACTTGTCACTGCAGTGCTTCATTTAACAACTGTGGCCAAAAAAGTCATAAAATGGGGCAAAATTCAACAGATGTCTCACTTAGCCACAGAAAGTTTGGGCTCCATTGTGATAAGTCGAGGACTACCTGTATGACCATACAATTTTCTAGCAGCAATATAGAAGTGGCTTACTGTTGCCTTGATTGGGGGTAGTTTTTCAGCTCCCAGGCTGATATTCTTAACCTAAAATAAATCAAGGGCAGCTATGGCCCCTTTACCACCTGTGGACTTCAAATCCCAGAATTCCTGAGCCAGCCTTTGCTGGCTGAGGAATTCTGGGAGTTGAAGTCCACAAGTCATGAAAGGGTTGTAGTTTCCTCATGCTGGCTGAGGAATTCTGGGAGTTGAAGTCCACAAGTCTTAAAGTTGCCAAGCTTGAGGACACCTGCTCTAGAAGATGTGCATCCATTTCCAGAATCATTTAGGTCCCCTCCCCTTGTTTCTCCCATCTGATACTCCTTGTGTAGGTGTGAATGGTAGGATGTTCTCCTGGTTCTGCTCTTCTGGAACAGGAAGGATGGGGTCCAGAGTAGATATAAAACCATCCAGAAGATTTAGACGTGATCGTGACTTCAGGTTATGCTGCTTGGAAGTTATGGAAAGAGATGTATTTTCCGCTGTGTTGCTTTTTTTTTTTTAATACATTGAGCAAAATTTGCTTCGAACATTGTGAAAAGGAGAAAAAATAGCTCTCAAATCAGAGAATAATAATGCTAAATCAGAACCAGTCATGTTAATAGTGTACTATTGGATGTTGAAAAGGTTTGGATCCAGATGTTTTGATGTACTTCTGGCTATTTTCAGCAATATGATGCTTGTCCAGCTCTGCTGGTCATTTTTCTGTCTGTACATTGATGATCCTAGAGAAAAGGCCGGTAATATTTCTGCAGTCACTTGCAATCTTTATTTCACTCTTGAGATTATTCATTGCAACTGCCTGGAGAGCATCACTGAAAAAAGTAAAATAATTTTGAGTTTTAAAATAAAATGTCCGATAAGAGTCAAGGAGAAAAAAAGTGCAGGAATTGTCTTAGTTCTGGTGTCAGGCTCAAATCATTGTCACACGTCCAGATTTCAAACTTAATTCCTTATCTTCCAACTACCATACATTAATTTTCTAGTCTACAAAGGTCATACTTCTGACTCCCTACCTTCACGGCTATTTGGAGATGGCACCCTTAAGATGTTCCTAAGTTTTGAAATGTATTCTTGCTTATAAAAAAATGGGTTTTCAATATAAATATATCAGTATTAGAAAGCATGAAAGGACGCCATGAGGCCGAATAAGTATGGAAGGGAAGGAAATGGTGGGGTGGCACATCTGGGTGTCCTGGCGAGGCTTCCTTCCGTCCCAGTTTGAACCACAGCTGATACCAGATCCCGCCACCACCTCCCCGCCTGGTGGTCAGAGATAATGAAAGCTGTGGTTGATGAGTAGGCCTAGTTGGGAGAGTGCTGAACTAGACAAGGAATCAGTAAATAGTCCTGATTGAATGCATGGCTCCCTGTGACATACAATATTAAATATGTGGGGATTTAATATTAAATATATGAGGAATACATGTAGAGCAGTGGTTCTCAACCTTTCTAATGCCGCGACCCCATAATACAGTTCCCCATGTTGTGGTGACCCCGAACCACTTATACATCACCGGGTGCCAGGGGCGTGGCCAAAGGGGGAAAAATGGCGGACAGCCTTGTTTGATGACCCCCGTGAAATGGTCGTTCGACCCCAAATGGGGTCCCGACCCACAGGTTGAGAACCACTGATGTAGAGTATGATCATAAACCTAAGTCAGTGCAATGCTTTTGTACTATGAAGGGGTGAATTTCGCTTCCCCACCCCCCCTTACAATCATTGGCTGTGTTAAAAACAGAAATCCACCGAAGGGCTTGTCCCTGGAGAATGCCGTTCTCCTCTGTCTCTCCGTCCTTGTTCAGGACAGGAGCCAGTTAGAATTCCCAGGATTCCACTCCATTGAAGCGGAGGCGTTTGGCCTATTTTTAAGTTCAGAGTACCCCAAATGTAGGACAAAGCAGAACATTCCTCAGCTGCCCTCTTGAGATTGAGAACCCGCTCTTAAGTTTTTATCAAAGGAGGGCTTTGCCCCAAAGGTGCTTTTTTGGTCTAGACCGAACCAAGAAGGTCCCGTTTGGGACAACCATGATCTGGATGTCTGAGAATCTCCGTAGACAAAGTAGGGCTTTGGTCTTGTGTAAAACGGAACTCCGAGGACTCGCTTTGGACCTTTCTCCAGAAATCCTCTGTCAGGGCCCCCTTCAAATACATGCTAAGCCCAACAGGGCCAGCCCAAATGTCAGTTCTGGCTAAGGAGAAGAGGGTTGCCTTGTAATTTTAGACATATCGTTTCTGGGTAGATTTATATTGGGATAGGAACTGCTTTGGTTAAATAATAATAATAATAATAATAATAATAATAATAATAATAATAATAATAATAATAAAGTTGGAAGGGACCTTGGAGGTCATCTAGTCCAACCCCCTGCTCAGGCAGGAAACCCTATACCATTTCAGACAAATGGCTGTCCAGTCTCTTCTTAGAAACTTCCAGTGTTGGAGCATTCACCGCTTCTGGAGGCAGGTGGTTCCGCTGGCTAATTGTTCTCACTGTCAGGAGGTTTCTCCTTAATTCCAGATTGCTTCTCTCTTTGGTTAAATGACGCACTCAAAGAGATTAGATGGAGGAAGTGTCAGCCTGTCAGTTCTAGATATTTTGGCTGTTTCCAGGACCATATTCCATATGGACCATGTAGTAAAACTGGACCTTAAGAACAGTGTTATGATGATTTGGGTTGTTCCTGTGAGCCCATCTCCAGAAGGTGTAAGGCTGCTGGACCCCTGAATGTTAACCCGCAGGCTTTCAGATGGATGCATCTCATCCCAGGCGGTGTTCAACATCTTCTGAAACGGTTCTGCTTGCTAGAGATTGGAAGGTCACTAATAGGTTCATGAAGCTCATCAGAGCCATTCCTTCTTGCTCTCCGATTCCAAGGAAGCAATCGGCACCGTTGAATGCTGTCCAAGTTTGAGAATAAGTTGCATGAGAAAGAGCACTTGGAACAGTCAAGATGTGGAAGAGATGCTGTAGGAAATTAGATTTTTGATTTGGGCTTGTTTGGATGGATTTGTACTTGGAATGTATTTGTATTCAGAGGCTGAAAATAGAATAGGAACAGAATAGAATGCAGAATAGAATAAATATAGAATAGAACAGAACAGAATAGAATAGAATATAGAATAGAATAGAATAGAATAGAATAGAATAGAATAGAATAGAATAGAATAGAATAGAATAGAATAGAATAGAGCTGGAAGGGACCTTGGAGGTCTTCTAGTCCAGCCCCCTGCTCAAGCAGGAGAACCTACGCCATCTCAGATAAGTGATTGTCCAGTCTCTTTTTAAAAATCTCCAGTGAGGGAGTGCCCACAATTTCTGGGAGCCAGCTGTTCCACTGGTTGATTGTCCTCACTGTTAGGACGTTTCTCCTTAGTTCCAGGTTGCTTCTCTCTTTGATCAGTTTCCAACCATTGTTTCTCGTCCTTCCCTCTGGTGAATAAGGTGACCCCCCCTCTTCTTTGTGGCAGCCCCTCAGGTACTGGAACACTGCTATCATATCACCCCTATTTCTTCTTTTCTTTAGACTGGCCAAACCCAAATCCCACAGCCGTTCTTCATATGTTTTGGTCTCCAGGCCTTTGATCATCTTAGTTGCTCTTCTCTGAAATTTTTCCAAACTCCCATGGTTTTGAACACAATGCAAAGTGAACAGGTTGCATGTAAATTCACTGCTGTTTGTAAAACCTTTGTCAGAGGAGAGTTAGATTTAATAATAAGCGTGTCTTGGAGTTTCCCACGTTAAATGTGGCAACGTGCCCGTGCTTTTCAGACAGTGTTGCTGTGGTGTTGACAGTTCAGTTTCTTTGATGGAAACAACTAAGCAGCTTTGATTTTTAAGCTTGGCAGATTTCCAAAAATGTGCACTGCACACCTCCGTTTGGGAGAAGCCTTAAGCTGGAGAAACATCTTGAGAAGCTTCCTGCTTATTCGGGACTGTTATGGTTTGTCCATGTATTTCTTGCCAACAAGACACGGTCCATTTTCATCAGGGCAATGGAGCCCAGTCCTTAACCCCATTGTGGGCTCCTCCTAGCTTCCCCCCAATACATCTGACTCATTGATGCCATTCTCAGAATGATTCCAGCTGCTGAGCCCTCTTTGTTGTTGTTGTTAGTTGCGAAGTCGTGTCCGACCCATTGACTATGCGCACTCTTGTTGGCAGGGTGGCGTCTAGATTTGCTGTCTAGATTTGCCATAGCTTTCCTCCCCAGGAGCAAGCATCTTCTAATTTCTTGAGCCCTCTTAAGAACGGTCATCTCCAAGAGGACTCTAGATGTGTCTCTGTAAGATCTGGAGAAACGTAGGCAGAGCTGCAACGTCAAGGATTCCATTTATCTTAGGAATTGGCTAATTTAAAGCCATAACCCACCTTGGAAGTTCCTATCTGAAGAAAAGTATATGGCCCCAAACCCTTAATTCCTACTGAAGCCAAGTTAAGAAGCTCTCCTCTTAAGATATACAGGTAGTCCTCGACTTAATGACCGCAATTGGGCCTGAAATTTCCACTGCTAAGACAGGTAGTTGTTAAGTGAGTTTTGCCCCATTTTATGACCTTATCACAGTTGTTAAGTGAATCACTGCCGTTGTTAAGTTAGTCACAGGGCTGTTAAGCCAACCTGGCTTCCCCGTTGACTTTGCTTGTCAAAAGGTTATAAATGGTGATCGTACCATTCCCGGGACACTGCAACCATCGTAAGTTGCCAAGCATCTGAATTTTGATCAGCTGACCGTGGGGATGTGGCAGTGGTCATGTGAAAACGGCCGTCAGTCCCTTTTTTTCCAGTGCTGTTGTTGCTTCAAACAGTCACCAAATGAATAGTAAGTTGAGGACAACCCGTAGGCCAGGGGTCCTCAACCTTGGCAACTTTAAGACTTGTGGGCGGCAACTCCCAGAATTCCTCAGCCAGCTTTGAATTCTGGGAGTTGAAGTCCACAAGTCTTAAAGTTGCCAAGGTTGGAGACACGTGCCAATAGGCTACCTCTTCATTCCTAAAACTCAGGCTTTACCTGATCCTTGAAGATCAGAGGATTTTGCGTAGCGTTGGAAGCGAAGTTCTCCTTGCCTTTCTCACCTGTTTTCCTAACAGCCCAGACTACTCAAAGGCTGCACACTCAACAGCTGGAGATTAAGACTGATCTGAATAGGTGAAGGTGCTTCACTGTTGGGTCAGCTGTGAAAGTCTTCTCATTGCTAGAATCTGGGTCTCTTCTCTTCCCCCCCCCCTTCCTGAAGTTTTCTGCTCAAGAAGACTCACCTATGGCGGCCGAGAAGGAGGACCGGACGCAGGCCCTGAAGTACGGCGTGGGAGACGTGGTCTGGTCCAAGGTGTCCGGCTATCCGTGGTGGCCTTGCATGATCTCCGCTGACCCTCTTCTCCATCACTTCACCAAGCTCAACGGTAGGTCCTTCGGGGGGGGGCAAGGGGCCGCTTGGCTCGGGACAGGCTCGGTTCCAGACAGCAGCCCACGAAGCCAAATATTCAAAACAAGAGAAGTCAGCCAATAATAATCCTTCATTCACCACACTTGTGTTGGTTTTAACGACATGCAGAGGGTGCAAAGAATGCAGACTTTTAAATGTACATTACCGATAGTCCTTATGACTAATGACCAGACTTTCAGTCATATAATAATAATAATAATAATAATAATAATAATAATTCAGAATTCAAACAGACAAGCACCTGCAACATAACACCCCAGACTTAACAATTGTCGATAAGAAAGACAAAAAAGTCTGGATAGTGGACGTGGCAGTGCCTGGAGATAGCAGAATAGAAGAGAAAGAACTGGAGAAGATAACAAAATACAAAGACCTACAAATAGAAATAGAAAGACTGTGGCAAAAGCAAGCAAGGGTAGTACCAATAGTCATAGGCTCCTTGGGTGCAATCCCAAAACAACTGGAGCACCACTTGAACACCATTGGCATTGACAAATTCCTATTAGTCAATTGCAAAAGGCGGCCTTACTAGGAACTGCTTCCATCCTGCGACGATACCTGTAATACCATCAAACATCCACATCTGCCTATCCCAGGTCCTGGGTAAGGACTCGATAGGTAGACAAAATGCCAAATCCAGTCTGAACATCTGGCTGACTGTGCGATGATCGATAATAATAAAAAGTTGGAAGGGACCTTGAAGGTCATCTAGTCCAACCCCCTGCTCAGGCAGGAAACCCTATACCATTTCAGACAAATGGCTGTCCAGTCTCTTCTTAAAAACTTCCAGTGTTGGAGCATTCACCGCTTCTGGAGGCAGGTTGTTCCACTGGTTAATTGTCGTGGTCATATATTGTCGTGGTCATAAGTGGAGGCACCCAGAACGACCACACCTGATCTGCCAACCCTATTTACGGCAGTCATTTAGCGAACCACACCATTGCTGAGCAAATCCATTCTCTCAAATGGGCGTCTTGTTTTTATCCAGGTGGTTTTGTGTTTGGGGGGGGGGGTTAACTGCAGCCCACCAACACTCAACACTGCAAAAGCAGGCAGCTTTCCGAACAGAGGACAGCCTCGCTGACCCTCGCAAGATCATTTGTGAAGGCCTCAATCGCATATCGCGTATACGCCAAAGAGTGGGAGAAACCATTGCTTCAAGCCTACATGGCTTGAAAGATGGAGGCTTGGAAGTGGGCCAGTTTAGGTGTTTGTTAATTAAATCACCTGTTTCAGAAATGGTTTGGTTTTGCTCTACCTTAGGGGTCTTCAAACTTGGCCCTTTTATGACTTGTGGACTTCAACTCCCAGAATTCCTCAGCCAGGCACATGTGCCTGGCTGAGGAATTCTGGGAGTTGAAGTCCACAAGTCATAAAAGGGCCAAGTTTGAAGACCCCTCCTCTACCTTAACAAGCCTACACAGCCAAAATGGGCAACGCCAGGTGGATTCATTCATTCATGCTAAATTTTATTTTGCTTTATTAGCTTGTTGAACAAGTTGTGGTTTTGCTGATTCCAGACACGGCGCTAAGCCAAGATATAATTCATCGCCAGAATGGCAGCTGAGCAAGCCAACCCTCCGCCAAGAGTTTTATGTTTTACTCTGATAGGTGGGACCCCTTCTCAATCTGGTTATTCTTCAAATGTTTGGATGTCAGCTCTCAAAATGCCCCCTCCATCCTGGCTAGTACCAAGAATAGAGACACCCACCCATATCTAGGATGCCAAGCTGGTGTTGAACAACTGAACTCAGCAGAAATACTGGGAAAAATTTTAACTTCATACAGTCCAGTGTTATTTCATCTTTGCACATAGCTCTGTTAAGCTGAGACCCTGAATTGGTCAAATATGCTGTCTATATTTTCAGGACAGAAAAAGAGTTTTCGCCAGTATCACGTACAGTTTTTTGGGGATGCGCCAGAACGAGCCTGGGTGTTTGAAAAGAGCCTTGTAATGTTCAAAGGAGAGGAGCAGTTTGAGCAATTGTGTCAGGAAAGCGCAAAGCATTCCATTAACAAAGCAGAGAAAATAAAGGTAAGATTTCTGCCTGTGCTGTTTTGTACTTGCTAATACTTGGGCCATTTTACCTGCTTGCTAGTGGCATCTTGTTATGCGTTGATATGAACGAGAAAATATTTTTTTCAAGATTCACCAGGTAAGGCTTTTCTGTTGTTAGCCTAAATTACCTCTTTTTCCTATGTTTTTCCTCCCCCCTGCAGATGTTAAAACCGGTTTCAGGAAAACTGCGTCCCCAGTGGGAGATGGGGGTCAAGCAGTCCAAAGATGCCTTGTCCATGTCCGTGGAGGAAAGGAAAGCTAAGTACACCTTCATTTACGTCAGGGGCAGGCCGGTCCTCAACCCCCAAGTGGCGAAGGAAGCCGGACTCGTAGTTAAGTCTTTGGAAGAGATGGATAAAATTTATTTGGACGAAGACCTTTCTCAGACTCTGAAATCGAGCAAAGAATACGACGTCCCAGCCAAAAGGGGGAGAAGGACCAAGTCGCTTTGCGCAAGTGATTCGGAAGACTTCAGCCCCAGGCCTGTCCAGGGCCCCCCTTCCGGAAAATATCTGGAGGAGAGAGAAGCCAGAGGAGGCACGGGGGGGTCCCCTTTCGGTAGGAAGAAAGCGATTGCCTACGCTCCCCGAAACCGAAAGAGCGATGGGGTCCCCCAGTTCCTGGTGTTTTGTCAGAAGCACCGAGATGAGGTTTGTGTTTTCAGAATTCGTATCGTGGCGCTTCATCCTTCCTTTTTCAGGTGTCTGGATGGGTCCCTTAGAGCAGAGGCCCCCAATTTTGGGGCACCAGGGACCGGTTCCGTGGAGAGAGGGTTTTCCGCGGACCGGAGGGTGCGTGGTTTTGCGTGCTGCCTGCATCCCGCGGATGGGGCTTTGCTTGTTTGTGCGGACCAGTTGTGGCATGCCACGGACACGGGGGTTGGGGACCCCTGCCTTAGAGTCACAAAGTACGACACCTGTGTGTCTTCTCCTCACACACTTAACGCTCATCCAGGTTCTAAGAAGCACTAATTCATTGGGCTTCTCTTCCTGGCTTTTTAAGATAGCAAATCTGTGAGTGAGTTGAGTCTAAACTGAGAGACAGACAGCTGTAAATACTGACCGTCACATGATTGGGGAGGCAGCCCTCAGGATTTTAGAACTGGGTCATAAGTACCTCTGGGGTGGCCTGTCATGACTTCAGACGGCCACTAAACGAGCAGTCGTAGGTCAGGGCCACCTGTACTGTGTGGATGTACCTGCCAGTTGCAGGTGTTGTTCGTGACATTGTTTTTGCACGCTTGAAATCAAGGCGGGGCCCTTGTTTTTTTGGCTGAAGAATTTCAATGTTTTTGTCTATTCTGTTAATGGAGTTGCAGGACATTTTTTTTTAAAACAAGATTTGTTGTTTTTTTCATTTTACAAACAAGTGCTTAAGAATCAACGTGGTGGCAGGGCAATCAATTGTCCACAAAACAAAGTCATACTCATAAAGTTCAGATTAAATCATTAAAAAAAACCCTCTCTTTTCCCTCTAGTAACATATTATATTCAAGTTAATATATTTCAATACAACTAAATCAATCATAACAATCCTCAATAACCTTTCATCTAAATAGATCCACAAATCCAGATCCTGTGTTAAGCTTAATTATTTCAATTGCTATATTCCATATTTCTAATCTAAATACATAATTAACTCTTCGGGTGTCTCCCCATTACCTTTTTCCTTAGCATATTCAATAATATTGCAGGACATTTTAAGGGACGCAAAAGATCCGGGTCCTATAGGAGAATCGAAAGATTTTTATTATTATTTTTTTAAAGAAAAAAAACTTGGAGAAAACTTTAAAAACAGACCGTTTGTCTTACTTAAATACAGTAGTCCTCGATTTACAACAGTTCCCTTAGTGACCGTTCAAAGTTACGATGGCACTGAAAAATGTGACTTGTGACCGTTTTTCATAGCTACGACCTTTGCCCCATCCCCAGGATCACGCGATCAAAATTCGGACGCTTGGCAACTGGTCCGTACTTACGACGGTCGCAGCATCCCACAGGGGTCAAGTGGTCCCCTTTTGCGACCTTGTGATAGGCAAAGTGAGTTGGGGAGCCAGATTCACTGAACAACCGTGTTACTAATTGAACAAGTGCAATGATTCACTTAACAACCGTGGCGAGAAAAGTCAGAATCCGAGGATTCTCTGTACTGAATATCGGCAGCTGAGATTAAGCGGTTCTCGGGGTGAGTCCACGTCCGCCCCACCTGGGGGGATTCTCCATCATGCTTGTCCCAAAGGTGCTTTTGCAAAAGGCAAGTGGACTTTGTTTGTTTTTCTTTTCCGTGAAGACGTTCTGCTTCTCTGAAGTCATAAAGGAAAAACCAGGAAAAACATTTTTGGAAAAAGCGCCTTTGGGGCAACAAAAAAAATCAAAATAAGGAATGAATAAATTGAAAACGAAAGCAAGAAAACAAGCAAAGAGCGAGCCTGGAAGGGCAGACAGGCTGGGGGCCTCTGGGTCTGTCTCCTCCATCCAGTCTCTCTGTTTCCTTCCTGTTTGTTACGTCCAGGTGGTCTCTGAGCATCCCGATGCCTCGAGCGACGAAATAGAAGAGCTGCTGGAGTCACAGTGGAACATGCTAAGCGAAAAACAGAAAACACGCTATAACACAAAATTTGCCCTAGTGACCTCTCCCAAATGTGAAGAAGACACTGGTAAACGTAAAACTGTGCTAGTATACTCTAACTAAGTTTAATATATGTAGCCATGTTTAATTAAGCACACAGTTCACAGCCTATAGGGGAAATCAGCTTTCACTATTTCTGTTTCTAATTTTGGGATGTCGTGCCGATAAGCAGTGAATGCAGTCCTTTTCTTTTCCTTTTCTTTTTTTTTTTATTTATTTAAACCAGAAAAGTTAATATTGTCTACATTTCTTGCTCATTGTTCTGCGAAGTTGCTCTGTGTAAACCTGTTGTAGATAATGCTGGTGTCTCATTCCCTTCCTGTCTCCAAGCAGCAGCCACTGCCTGTACCCCTGTCAGCGAAATGGGAATGAAGGAGATCGAAAGAAATTAAGCTAGAATTTAAATTAAAGACATTCGCTCTGAGCGTAACTCTTGTTTTTAAAGTCGGAGCGGAGGTTGACTCCGTGTCCCTGTGTTGGCAATAATTAAGACTGTGTGGATGTTCAAAGACCCCACCCAGTGCTTAAATTTTGTGTCCAGGACAGACAGGGCTGTAGCTAGTGGTGGAGAATATTATTTGAATCTGCAGGAATCTGGCCAGATCTCCATCTTTATAAAGCATTTAGCTATAGATTTGGAAGAGTTGATTATGCCTAAAGGGGAAAAAAAATTAAAAAGCCATATTTTTTGTCTCTCAGTGTTAATATTATAGTCTGTATAACGTTGTTGGATTACAACAGAAATTTTAAGATATCAGGTTGCTGCTTTGGACAATGAGAAGAATGAGAGTGTGTTGGAAAGGTTTCTCAATTTTGGACAAAATGTATTAAAACTGTAGTCAGTTTTGTTATTTGTGTGTGAAATGACAACTTGTGGGGAAAGTTGAATGCTTTGTCTCGATGTATAAAATATGTGGGTGTCGATTTTAAAAGCAAACAAGACAACATTCTGTATCTCTCAAGGTCCGGCCGCGAGGAGCTTGAGCAAGGCCACACGTAAAGTCTTTCAAGGATCACGTAAACGAAGACCAAGATCCAGAAGTAATTTAAATTTGTGCTGTGTAATATTGATTTTAAACTAAGCAACCCTTTACTTAAGTGTGCCTTTCATGTAACTGCTCCATCCTGCCTTTTCCTCAAAATGTTGTGCTCCTTCAGTTTTAGCGTTTTTATGGATCTTGAATTAAATATTTGAGTACTGTAGTACAAAATTCTGTCCAGCTTTATGGAAGTTTCTTCTTACGATCCAATTAAAATGAATCTTGCTTCCTCAGTTTGTTACACCTCTATAAGATGACTTTCAGATCTGGGCATGCTTAGGGATCTGTGAAAGACCGTTTTTGCACGTCGCTATAGCTTATGTCAAAATCTTGGCCCTAGGCCATAGCTTTTCCCAATAAACTTAAACTTCACCCTTGGCATGTGGAAACGGACAGTTATCCACACATTTTTAAAAGAAACATGTTGTAAGATAGGATAGTAAGATGTTTTGAGGCTTGAAAATTTAATTACCAGCAAAAGAATATTGATTTTTTTTTTCAAACCATTTGAATGAAGTTCTGTGGCTCCAAATTAAGTAATAGCAATTTGGTCCTAGGCTAAAAAGTATACTTGGGGAATAATGAACAATAATTAGGAAGTTTTGTTATGATCCAATAGGGGATTTTGGGGATAGGGAATAGAATCTTTACATATAAAGGAGAATTGGTGAAATAGGTTGTATAAACTAGTTGTAATCTTCTCTCTTAAAGTTTGTAACATGGAACTTTATTATTTCAAATTCAGACCCACAGGTTTCAGGTATAAATATGCAAGGTGCCTAAAAACCTTTTTTCCCCACTATCTTTGTCTAAAATATTCCCCCCCCCCAACCTACCCTTGGTCTTTATATGAAACAAATTCACTTAATACATGTAATTGCCTTATATTTTCCAAGCCTTAGGGTGATGGTCTATCATATAATAATTTCAGAAAATGGGATAATTGCTTTATATAACACTAGTGCGCTTTTTAAAAGAAGTTACTTCAGAAAAAAAACTTCTGGTTGTAGATCCATTATAAATTGAAAGGAGAAATTAATATTAAATGTACAGATAGGTGTAGGATGTTTTTGTATATAAGATCTGCTCTCGTGGGTGTGTACTGCAAAGCTAGTTTTAATAAGAGAAGCTGGGAGTCACAAGATGTTTAGGGTTAATAAACATTATCAAGCTGTATTAGAACAGTAACGTAACTGCTTTGGTTCGAGATAATTTCTACATGAGCTTTAAGTTTCCCCATCCCTACTCCAAGGTAACTTATATGGAAATAAAAGGAAACCTGTAAAGAGGACAAGGAAACCCACGGAAGATTTTGAAGTTCAAGAAGCATCTAGAAAAAGGCTGAGAATGGATAAGAAGAACTATCAGAAGGTAACTATGTTCTTGGCTTATTTGGATCTACTGTCATGGCAACCGACATGATTATTATTTGACTTTGTTTTATCAAAATAACATGCTGCTTCACTGGAGCAGATGATTTAATGGACAGGGTGATCAGCTGATGGATCGACCCGTTAAACAAGTAGTTAACCAGAGAGCTCATTTTGAAACATCAGACTATGCAGTGCCCCTAAAAGCATCTTTGATGTCATATTTTATATTCGTGGGTCCGTTTTCTGAATATTTCCGTCATAGTAGAGGTACAAGTGAACAGCTGAGAAAGGAAATCAGCTGCACCTGGGGGTCTGGGGGGGGTTGGGGGTTTCATCTGGAAAAGGGGATAAAATGCCCTTTCATCTGTATTTTTCAGATGGCCAGTCTCACTTTTTTTTTCCATCTTGAACTAGTTGTTTATTTGCATCCAACACTTCACACATTTAGGGTCAAACAAATGGATTAACAGGTGCGGAAGCAACAATTCACGTATCTGGAAATGTTAAACATCCAGTGGAATTGTGTTTGTGCAGGGAGCCCTTGACTTACAACCGTTCATTTAGTGAGCGTTTGAAGTTACAACGGCACTGAAAAATGTGATGGGACCGTTTTTCACACTTTGTGAAAAATGACATCCCCATGGTCACATGTTCAAAATTCGGACCCTTAGCAACTGGCTCATGTATATGATGGGTGCAGCGTCCCCCAGGATCACGTGGTCCTCCTTTTGTGACCTGACAAGCAAAGTCAATGGAGAAGGCGGATCCACTTAACAACCGGGTTACTAATTTAACAACTGCAGCAATCCACTTAACAACTGTGGCAAGAAAGGTCGTAAAATGGGGCAAAAGTCACTTAACAACTTTCTTGTTTAACAACAGAAAGTTTGGGCTCAGTTGCGGTAAAGATTCCCTGAATAGATATCCTCATTTTTTTTGAATGCCTATTTTGTGAACTCACAAGCAACGTCATTAGCGCTTAGAAATATTATTTTTCTTTCTTTTCTTTTTTTTACACCTTCACCAGTAAGGTATGTCAACTGTTGTTAAAAGAAACGTGGACTTTAGGTCCTAAAGCTGATTCGTTATCTCAGCTACTGTAAAATAGTTGCGTGCAGCCTATTCTGTTGGCCCTGAATCAATGGATTCCCGAGTAGATTGCAGCTTCCGTTCATGTTCCCTCGTCTTAATCCGTGGGGAGGAAGCGGAAAGGCCCACCTGTTCAGGCAGCACCCTTGAAGTGAGGCGGGTGTGTGTGTGTGTGTGTGTGTGTGTGTCTCTCCTGTCTTTTTCATCGCTTTGAGATATCGGCACGTATCAAGCAGGGTGTCTTAACCCCGTGGTCTGGCGGTTGCTTCTGTTGAGTAGTCGCCCCAACTAAGCCACATTCTCTGGGACACCTTTCCTTACCTCCTTTAACAGGGCTCCTTTCTGCTAAAAGTCACAGATTTATTTAGTTGGGGATGACTTGATCAACTACTTTTACAGGTAAGCTACCTGTCCATGTGTATCTATGAACCGACAGGGTAAAAAAAGAAAACCCTTTCGCGCGTAACTTCCCCGCCATCCTCATAGGAAGCTTGGATAGCAACGCTACCCTTGACCAGGTAGATCTACGACTGCTTTTGGGAACAGAGTTTAAGTTGTAAGTCGAGGCACCCATGTGATCAGACCCAATTTTACAACCGACAAGCCACTGTCTCGTGACTGCAGGATGCTGCAACTAGTCATAAACGTGAGTTGGTTTGCCAAGCACCTGTCATGCCGTCCTGCAGCTGTTAGGGTGAGGCATGGCGTGTTGACAGCCGGAAATGCTGTAAAGAATGTCCTAACTCTGAATGATCAACCACTTGTAAGTCAACGGCTACCTGTACTCGTAAGTCCTTTTCTACTGGAGATGCTGCTATTAAATTTGTTTTTAATCTTCCAGCAAAACTAAGGTTTGCTTAGTAACTTATTTTTTTCCAAACTTACACCCGATCAGGTAACTAAACCACATCTTCAGCAAAAGATGGTTCCCCAGTGGGAATTTTAAATGGACGCTCTAATTAGTCCCATCACAGAAGTCTTAAAAGTGCTAACTTTAGACATGATGTTTTAAAATTAAATGATTGTTTTAATAGCTAGTATTTCTATTTAGAGTCTGCTTCAATGAGGTGATTATTTTCTTCCAGTATTTTCTTCCCGTATTTATCTAAATTAGGAAGGCTCTTGTGGTTTTTTTTATTTCATTTTCTCTCTTCCTTTTTTTTTTAATAACAGAGAGAGAGGAGCAATGACAAAATGGCAAAAACAAACTTGGCTAAAGTCACAGAAACCTCACAAAAGAAGCCGTCAGGTAATGTAGCCAGAACAAGCTTGATGCGTCTTCTAACATTAACCAGGTTCTACGTTCCGTGGTTTAAAGTGGCTGCTGAAATGTGGGGAAATAAGCCATGGCCCTGTTTGAATGCTGCTGTAAGCTTGAGAAGCGGGACACACGCCTTTTATGTGTTGAAGGTGTGGGGTCCTAATTGTTACCTTTTCCCCCTCCCTCCCACACTGACTCAAACCAATCAGGAAGGGATGGGAAAGCCCGGCGGGATTCTTAGAATTGGTAAATGAAATTCTCTTCTGTAACTAGATGGACAGACAGACAGAGATTAATTGATTGATGATAGAAGATAGAGACAAATAGACAGACATATGAAGATAGACAGATGGATACATATAGATAAGGATAAGCAGAGACAGACGGTTAGAGAGAAAGAGACAGATGGATGACAGACAAGACAGATATCCACTGAATGCAGCTGGCTTTATTTACAGCTGTGTTTTTTAAGCCTCATTGAGGAAGCCAGGCAATTAAATGTAGTCTGGTTTAACCTAAGTAGCATTAGCCCCCATAAGTATTTAAAAAGCTCTGACCTTGTAAAATTGATTTGCAAATCTACTATAGAAACATCAATAATAAATTATTGACCAAATCCATCCAGGTCACATCTTCAGAAAAAGATGGGGATGCCAATGGAATGCTAGACTGCAAACATGCTACGTGCATTGTATTTTAACTATTCTGAAGTGTGGTCTATATTTGCTTCTCTATCTGTATTTCTAATTCCATTCCGTGGGGATCTGAAAAGAATATTCTAAATTCTCGATACATCAGTCAGGCGGTGTTGACTTCAAGGAAAGGCCCTGGGACTCTTAAGTTCACTTTGTAAACCAAAATTATTTTACCACAACGGCAGGTCTGTCCGATGCATATAAGCCATTGAAGAAACGAAATCGGGCCCCGGGACCAGACTCTTCGCATCTCCCTTATAGCAAAAGTTCATCTCCTTCAGCGTCCTTAACTGAGAATGAGGTAAAATACAAATGAACAATGGAAAGCAGATAAAAAAATATGCAAGCAACTTAAATTTGGTTTCTTTAAAGCAGTGTTTCTCAACCTTGACCATTTTAAGGCATGTGGACTTCAACTCCCAGAATTCCACAGCCAGCAATGCTGGCTGTGGAATTCTGGGAGTTGAAGTCCACATGCCTTAAAATAGTCAAGGTTGAGAAACACTGCTTTAAACAGTGGAAAGGAATAACCTTTGAAACAGGGTTCATTTGCTGTTAGGAAAACCTCCGTTCACCTTTCTCTGTACACAGAGTCTGGTACGTTTATCTCTGTAGGAGAAAAGAGGAAACGTTGGTGAGAACTCAACCGGGTGCCACACGCCAGCTTTCCTGAATGTCGGTTCCACACAGTATTGTGAGACATTAAAGTCGGGTGCTGCGAGGATTTTAAACATAGAATAGGCCAGGGACACTCAGGCCATCCAACTATCTCAGATACCAAGTCTAAATTTGTGATGCTGGCTGGGCCTACTTCAGACTCTCCAAAAGCTGCTTAATCCCAAATATTTCAACCAAAGCTTTTCTTAAAATGCTTAGGAAGAAGCACTTCGGCCAAAAGCATAAAACATGCAGAGGTTAAGCAGGCCCTGTTGGCACAGTTAAACCAAGATGAAACAACGTTCAGTTCAGCTCAGGCCACAAGCAGTATAAATGAGAGGGAAAATACCCTTTTCTGGTTATTGGGATTCTTTTTCTCCTTAAAATCCACTCAGACTCTGCAAGGCTTGGGACAGGAAGGAGCAAATGGGCTTTTGGGCCAGATGTGGCCGTGCAGGTAACGCCTGTCAACCACTCGTTAACTGAACATCTTCCTCTTGAGTCCTTTGATTTTAGAGCCCCACACAGTCCCGATGTGCGTGCTCACATGGTGCATATCTTTTCTATACGGCAACCTCAAAGCTCAGAGCAATACAATTGCAACACACAGCGCAAGTCTTTCTACAGGTGGTCCTCGACGGTCGCTTAGCAACCATTTGAAGTTACAACAAAGCCCGAAAAGGGTGTTTACAACCTGGATGGCCGCCTTCTTCCACCCTGAGGTCACATGACCACATTTTGGGAGCTAGGCAGCCTCCCCCCTGCCCCCCATTTACGGCCGTTTGCAGACTCCTGCAGTTACGTGACCACAATTTATGACATTTTTGCTAGAAATTGAAGTTTGCTTCCAATTGCCATCAAAAAATGTCCCGTAGTAAACAATGGGTTTATGACCCTTTTGTGGCAGTCATTAAGTGAGTGCCACAGTTAAGGTGGCATTCACTTAATGACTGCCACAAAAGGGTCATAAAATTTGGTTAGCGTGAATCCCCTTCGTGATCGTTGGTAATAAATATGGATTAGGGCAGGGGTAGGCACCTTGGTTCTTTTATGACTCATGGACTTCAACTCCCAGAATTCCTTAGTCAGCAATGCTGACTCAGGAATCCTGGGAGTTGGAAGTCGATGAGTCATAAAAGAGCCGAGGTTGCCTAACCCCGGATTAGGGCAATGGGACGATTTATCCTATAGCATAAACCAGTTTCTGCTATGAGATCCTTTTTCATCACATTGTCTAAGAGAACGCAGCAATCGGTAAAAAATGGATCGCCAGAGCAGAGCAGAGGTATCCCTCGACTTGCTTGGTGACCGTTTGAAATTACAACGGAAACCAAAAAAAGTTACTGAGGACCCAGATTTGAAATTCTGACCACTGGCTCTGTTACCTGATTGTAAACATTGTACATAGGAAACCAAGGATCAACAACAGCTGCATTAGTATATAACTTGTAGTAGATTACAGCTAACTTCCATGGTATCCAAGCCAGCAGATTCAGATGTCCTCATTGTTGGACCTACAAGTGATGTGGCCTTCTCCACCAGACATGCATCCATCTTCCAGCCTCTTGATGCTGTCAGTCAGAGCTTCCGTTGCACTGCATTTATTTGAGACAGCAGAATAGCCGGCCGGTTCAGCGTAAGAGCTACAGTGCAATGTCCACCTCAAAGGAGAAGACGGAAGGGACTGAAGCTCAGCAATCCTTCACTTCATGAGGCTGAATTCTGAGTTCATCCACAGGGAACTAAGCTCATCAGCAGAGAACAACCGCTGTCTCAGCTGCGTGACTTTCCTCCGTATGTCATCCATGAACCCAGGCAGCTGTGTATGTGTGATCAGACCAGGACTGCCCTCTGCCTGTGTCTTTCACAAGTGAAAGTGTCACAGATCCTCCAGGCAATTCTCAGCTCTCTTAATTCCACAGTAAGTGCGGCCTAGTCCAGGGGTTCTCAACCTGTGGTCCATGGGCCCCTGGGAGCCACGACGTCGTCACAAGGGGTCCGTAAAGGCTTGAAGAAATGTTATGATTTAAATCTTGAGTTAAGGCTTTGGAGTCCCTGGCCACAAAAGGTATTTAAAGAGGATCCATGGTGAAGAAAAGGTTGAGAACTGCTGGCCTGGTCCATCAGGAAAGGTCTACCAAAAACACTGGCCGTGTCTAGCTATTTTTCAAAAAGGCACTCGTGCTGGACAACGGTCCTGTTTTTCCTGTGTAAAATGATGGCCGTATTTCCATTTTTCCTCTGAGTAAAAGATTTGCACTATTGCACAGTGACAGTCACTGCATAATATGAGTAATAATAGGCTGTAGTTGTCTGTGCGTAAGTGAAACAGTCTTTTCATCCAAGGTGGATGGGCAAATTTTGTGCGCTGAACTCTTCCACTTTTTCTGGATACAATAGGATAATTCTCTGACCAGGTCCCAAAGGTGCTTTTTCAAGAGGCAACTGGACTTCCTATGCTTTCCCTTGAAGACGTTTCGCTTCTCATCCAAGAAGCTTCTTCAGGTCTAACTTTATTGAGAACCGATGAAGCTTCTTGGATGAGAAGCGAAACATCTTCAAGGAAGAACAAAGAAAGTCCAGTTGCCTCTTGAAAATCATGGGACAACCATGATCTGGACGATGGAGAATCTCCGTAGACATCTCCCTAACCAGGTGTCTTTCTAACAAAGCATCTTCAGGATATCACATGAACTAGGATAGCTTCCCTATCGCCATCTACACACAGCTGGTGTGTAATGACCTCCATGTAGCCAGTGCTCAGAGTCCTGTAACTGATAAAGGCGTTCTGTGATTCTCGCAGGTTTGCTATGATGGGGACAGAAAAAGTGGGTTTTTTTTCAATGCAAAGACTCAAGGCCGATTAGCTGAGCCCTCCCTGCAGAGCGGACCCTTTGAAGAGTTTTCCCATCTCTGTAGCACCGTCTTATGCCTTGACTTGGTCTCAACACTTGTTTTAGCCAGCAGACGTCCATGCAACGTGTTCTTTTATTATTATTATTATTATTAGTTTTATTCATTTGTAACATAAAATGTGAAAATGCAAAAGCAAATAGTAGGGGATAAGAGTATAGAAAGGAAAAACAAAAAAAGGTGTGAAGAAACAAAAGGCATTGACTTCCAACTCTCTCTGTTGCAGTAAAACCAGACATTAAAATCAAACCTCAACATTTTACATGTCTATCGTACATTTCTGTGACATGTTCACGCGCCCATGTAAACCACCACACACCTGTCTTTTGGCAGAGCTGTGTTACCCTCTCCTAAACTAACAGCTGGCCTTTTATTTGTTAACCTCCGGTAGCAAATAAAGAGGGAGGCACCTGGATCGCAACACGGAAGAGTAGCTTACCTGTAGTGTTTTGTGGTTTGTTTTTTTTAATGGTCATCTTTACATGCTCACATTTTGCACACCTTCGGATTCTTGGTTTGTTGAGTACAGGTGGTCCTCAACAACGGTTCGTTTAGTGACCATTCAAAGTTACAACGGCACTGAAAAAAGTGACTTATGACCGTTTTTCACAGGTACGGCTGTTGCAGCCTCCCCTTGGCCCTGTGATCAAAATTCAGGCACTCACTTGGCAACTGACTCGTACTTATGACGGTCACAGCGTCCCGGGGTCACGTGATCCCCTTTTGCGACCTTCTGACCAGCAAAGTCCATGGGGAAGTCAGATTCACTTAACGGCCATGTTGCTAGCTTAACAACTGCAGTGATTCACTTAACAATTGTGGCGAGAAAGGTTGTAAAACGGGGCAAAGCTCACTTAATAACAGAAAATTCGGGCTCGGGTGTGGTCGTAATTCGAGGACTACCTGTAGTCGGCTTCCAGAGCGGCTGCATCTGTTGGGAAACTGAGGAAAGCTGACAGCTGTGATTAGACCATCCCAAGAAGGGGGGGAGGGCTTCCTGCTGTAACACGATCCAGTCAGAGTTCCTGGTCAGGTATAAAATTCACCTGTATGAACTCGTTGCTGACCCCCAGGCAAGCAGCCTCCTCTAGAAATTACCCGTGCTAGAATTAATTCACCCGCTGACTATGCAACAGGCCTGTCACAAATGAAAGTTGGCAGAGAAGAGTTTGGGGGTCTAGTTGCTGAAGAAGAAATCTAAGGGCTCCAAGCTGGCCGGGGATGCTGGGATCTGTAGTTCAGCAACCCCTGGAGAGCTGAAGGGGTTAATGCAGTGTTTCCCAAACTTGACCATTTTAAGGCATGTGGACTTCAACTCCCAGAATTCCACAGCCAGCATTGCTGGCTGTGGAATTCTGGGAGTTGAAGTCCACATGCCTTAAAATGGTCAAGTTTGGGAAACACTGGGTTAATGCATCGTAGGGTTGCCCCCCCACACACACACAGAAGCAACCTTACGTCAGAATGCGCAGAATGTGGGCAGCTCTTAATTCCTCCTGTGGTTTTTAGATTTCAGATGGTCCGGGAGACGAGAGGTCAGAGTCTGCCTATGAAAGCGCCGACGAGGGTCTCGGGGAGGCTTCTCAGCTGTCCAAGAAGTCGGACCGAGGGGCCACAGCCCGGAAGGAGTACGTCTGCCAGGTAAGAAAGGAAGGGGCAAACTCTCGGAAAGACCAGGTCAGGGAGAGATCGTGGTGGGGAAAATGTATCTTGCGTGGTCACTAAGAGTCAACACTGAGGTGACAGCAGACCATCAGTGCTTGCCAAGGCAGCTTTTTGCTTGTAAATCTGAAAATTTAACATGAACAAATATGTTGAAATATCCATGGGAAACTGTCACCAGAATCGCCTTCCAGTACATCTAGGTCAGGGGTAGGCAACCTTGGCCCTTTTATGACTGGTGGACTTCAACTCCCAGAATTCCTCAGCCAACATGGGGGAAACTTTGGCCCCTTCATGACTGGTGGACTTCAACTCCCAGAATTCCTGAGCCATCATGGCTCAGCTTGGAAACCTCTCCCTTTCCCCTCAGCATGGCTGGCTCAGGAATTCTGGGAGTTGGAGTCCACTAGTCATAAAAGGGCCAAGGGTGCCTACCCCTGCCCAAATGCCTGAATTTTGATCACGTGACCTTGAGGAAAAAATATTTAAATATTTAAACCAGGGGTCTTGAAACATGGCCCTTTTATGACTGGTGGACTTCAACTCCCAGAATTCCTGAGCCAGCATGGGGAAACTATGGCCCTCTCATGACTGGTGGACTTCAGCTCCCAGAATTTCTCATCCAACCTGGCTCAGCTTGGAAACCTCTCCCTTTCCCCTCAGCATGGCTGGCTCAGGAATTCTGGGAGTTGGAGTCCACTAGTCATAAAAGGGCCAAGGTGGCCTACCCCTGTCCTAGGTAGACTTTCAACAAACCTCATGACTTGGCCCTTTAAACATGTCATTTGGGGCAGAACGAATGTTCCATTTGTATGTGATAATCTAAATGGGGACGTTCTTTTGTCAGTATCCAAACAATCATGTTCTAAAGCTCTAGTATTACAGACTTTGCCAATTAGGATAATATGAATACTGCATAATCTAAATAAAATGAAAACCAGAAACAGACAAGGTCTGTAGGGGAAACTAAACGGTCAAAATCTTATCTGCTGTAGACAATTTGCGAATCTCAAATATCTATCCGTTATTGGACGTTGGATCTATGCCAAGTCCAACTGCATTTGTCAGAATGTGCATTTTAAAAAAACATGTTTTGAGCTTGGAATTAATCACTCCCACCTGGGACTTGTCTTTTTGGGGGGCGGGTGGGAGGGGAGAGAAGGGGTTCTGTGTCCCACTGCTCAGCCTAGATAAAAATTGGCCAAGCAAACAGTGGGAGCCTTTAAGCGTGCTTGTTACAAATACTGCCTAACCTTCATAGAACAGAAGTGAGGGAAGCAGCAGTAACCGTGAAGTTGGAGAAAAGCAGCCTGAAGAAGGTAGTCACAGGCAACAATACATCCATTAGGGCTTGGCTTCCCCAACTCACATACTTTGCCTTTTTAGGCTGATAGCTTTAAAGTGTCACAACGCAGTTGTCATATTTTGAGCACACAGTCATATGTGGAAAGTGCAACCCACATGCAAAATACCTGGCCACTTGGAAACTCATTGCGGTTCTATCTGTGATACAGTACTTGGGTGTGGTGGAATTGTTTATTTGCTTGACAAGGAGCGCAGCTGCAGAGATGCTACTACATCTCTCGAAGCTTAACTTCCTGTAGTAATCCAGTTCCAAGATGGCAGCCAGTGGCCTTCTCCTGCGTAGCAAGCAGATTGTTTACCGATTGATGCTGCAGTATTGTGGAGCTCTCAGACCCGGCGGCCCTCCCTTTGGCCAGGCCCCACTGACCTCTGGAGCCGTGGTTTCACTAGCTAGGGACGTTCCTTCGGGTGGGGTCTGTGGCGGTCCCTGGTCCAGAGATAAGGAGATGGATGTGGGAGGTCAAGAAATAAATCGACCCCCTCATCACCGTCCAGCTTCCGGAAGTAGCTCAGAACACCCCGTTCTCTGATACAGGCAGTCCTCAACTTACGACCACAATTGAGCCCAAAATGTATGAGACATTTGTTAAGTGGATTTTGCCCCATTTTACGACCTTTCTTGCCACGGTTAAGTGAATCACTGGAGTTGATAAGTTAGTAACCCCGTTGTTAAGTGAATCCGGTTTCCCCATTGACTTTGCTGATCAGAAGGCCGCCAAAAGTGATCACACAATCTTGGGAAGCAGCAATGGCCCTAAGTAGGAGCCGGCAGCCAAGCCACTGAATTTTGATCACGTGACCCTGGGGATGCCGCAAAGGTCGTAACTGTGAAAAACGGTCATAAGTCACTTTTTTCATTGCCGTTGTAAACTTTCAGCAGTCACCAAATGAACCGCTGTAAGTCGAGGGTTCCCTGTGCTAAAAAGGGGTCTGCAAATGCTTCTTTTCTCCACCACAAGAAGCCACGAATGTTCGCCTTCCGTGGAAGCTCCCCGTTGAAGCCAGCTCTGTGGCTGCAGCTGCTGCCGGAGGCGTCCTCTTGGCACACACTCGGACGAGGCTGACCATGGACCCTCCTCTCGGGGAATCTGAATTTTTTTTTTTTTAAGGAGCCCCGTGCCCTTAAAAAAGACGGCAGCCTCAAGGGAGAGGGACCCTCGATCTGGCCCTTTAAGGCTTAACTTTTTTTCCCTTCTCAAGGTCTGCGAGAAGCCCGGGGAGCTGCTGCTGTGTGAAGGACGCTGCCTGGGGGCTTTCCACGCCAGCTGCAGCGGCCTCTCCGGACGACCCAAGGGGCGCTTCAGGTGCAGCGAATGCACTTCAGGCAAGTCTCGCTTCCCGGGGGGGCGGGACAGGAGCCTCTGCCCGCTCTGGACCCTCGTTGCCGGGGGATGGAACCCCGTGCTAACCTCCCGTCTCCACCTTTCCTATTGGAAAGGATTTGGTCCACTCTGTGGAATATTTTGCAGTACAGCCACCCTTCCATTTCCCCCAAATTTCCTTACTGTTCTCTAAAAGACATTTACAAAGTTAGACATTTAATATTGAGAGGAAGATGCTTATGGGGGGGACAGGCCTGTGAAAAATGATGTATTTTTTATTTATTTTTTATTTTTAAAAAAAGGTAGCTACTTTTCATTCCAAGCACTTTGTTGGCTCCAGCTAAGCATGAACTTGGCTCTGTTCTATTCTTGAGCAACCCTGAAAGGATGCTTTACGTTTTCATCAGGGCTCCACGCCTGTTTTGTCTGCAAGGAGAAGCAGTCGGAGGTCAAGCGCTGTGCCGTCTCTCACTGCGGAAAGTTTTATCACGAGGCCTGCGTGAAGAAATCCCCCCTCACCGTGTTTGAGAACCGGGGCTTTCGCTGCCCTCTGCACAGTTGCGAGAGTTGTCACATTGCCAACCCCTCCAACCCCAAAGTGTCCAAAGGTACCTGCTCTCTACTTCTTTCCCCCCCCCCTTTCTTCTTCCCTCTGGCTCTCTGGGTGCCGCCGGGGGCTCTTTCCCGGAGGGCCCAGAGCACCGGGGTGGGCGGCCATGATGCGGCCGCTGCCAGGAGCACAGAGAGGCGCCGCGGCCGCCTGCCACAAACGCAGGCAGTCCTCCACTCACGGCCACAATAAGTTAGTAACCCAGTTGTACAATGAATCTGGCTCCAGCCCCCCACTGACTTTGCTTGTCAGAAGGGGATCACGTGACCCCGGGACACACTGCGACCGTCATAAATGTGAGCCAATTTTCAAGCCTCTGCATGTAAATCGCGTGACCGGGGAGGGGAATGCTATAACGGTCGTAAGTCTGAAAAATGGCCATAAGTCTCTTTTTTTTCCGTGTTGTTGTAACTTTGAACAGTCACTAAGCAAACTGTTGTAAGTCCAGGACTAGCCGTAGTCTTTTGTTTGTTCGAAGGTGGGCGTTCTTGAGCAAAGAGACGCCAGTTTCGTGATGAAATAAGGGACGCTCCTGTTATGAGCCGAGCTGTTAATTTATGAAGGGTTTTTAAGGTCAGGATTTTGCCGATTAAATAAATAGACAGCCAGACTTCTTTTCTGCCTGGTGATAGGCTCACATGGATTAGTCATACCGTCCTTGTGAGTCCGAGGTATCACAAATGGTTTACACAACAGAGTAAGCTCTTCCATCCACAGCAGGAGAGTCTACTAGCTATGAAACCGAAGTGGGGGAAAAATCATTTTGAGGCGAGCGTCTTCCGGTCAAACAAGGGCCTTGGCAGGGTTTGGTAGTTTTTGCTGTGAAATGTTTGATTCATGTCTAAATGCCCATTTTAGAGATGTTTTTCCCATCTGCCCTTCTCTCTGTAATTCCCCACATTCAGCCTCATTTTTGTGTCCGTGTGCCTGCATGTCTCTCTCAAGATGACGCTCTCCCGTACTTTAGAGAGCAGTTCATGGAAGCTTAGGCCACAATCCAGTGTTGCTCAACTCTGGGATGTGCGGACTTCAACTCCCAGAATTCCCCAGCCAGTGGACTTCCACAACTGGCTGGGGAATTCTGGGAGTTGTAGTCCACACATCTCAAAGACTGAGAAACGCTGCCATACTCCCCTAGCTAGTTATGGATTTTGGTGCGCTCTGCTCCTTTTTAAGTTCCTAAGCATTTTTGTCAATATGTTGACAGGCAAAATGATACGGTGCATTCGCTGTCCGGTGGCTTACCACGTGGGCGACAATTGTGTGGCTGCCGGTTGTGCCATGCTTTCCTCCAGCAGCATTGTGTGTACCAACCACTTTACTGCCACAAAGGGGAAAAGCCACCACGCTCATGTGAACGTCAGCTGGTGTTTTGTGTGCTCAAAAGGTAAACAACTGACTTAATTTTATTCGAACGGTTCTTCGGGGCTGTGATGGGTCTTCATGGTGGGTAAGGGGATTTTGTTGTGGCTGGTCAGACTTTTTATTAAGTTTAAAGCCCCTTTATTTCGTGTGTGTGTGTGTGTGTGTGTGTGTGTGTGTGTGTTGCAAAAGTATTTAGAAAAGATAGGGGTTTTGGTTCTGAATGGAACTGAAGACTTTGCATGTCTAAATATAAGAATGGGAAGAGTTCTTTTATAAATATGAAGTTAGCATATGCTAACCTGCCTGCCCCACCCCGCATTGACTCCTGAAACCTGCTCCAGAAAATTCTCTTTTTGAGGGCAGGTATGGGAGAAGAAATAGGTTTCAATAAGAAATGCGGTTCTCAGCCACCTCATCTGTGCCTTCAGTCCAAGAAAAGAGGACCCAAATCAACCTTTTTCCCATTCATTGCGTGAAGACCTTCAGTCTTGGTGTGTGAGTCAAGTCTAGCTTCAAATCCATGTTTAAATTGGGTAGCCTAGATTTAAAAATGTGTGCTGAAAGAGTCAGCAAGCCATCATCCATGGACGAACTTGATGTGGGGAATATGACCCACATTTTAAAGCTTTCTGTCTTCGGATAGCATTTGTAGGCTGTTTGTCCAACAAGCGTGGTTCAAATGTTGTGCTTCCAGCTTTTCTTGGTCACAAAGGGAGGTGTAGATAGTAGGCACATCTCCCAGTTTACTAGGAGTTCGTTCTGCTGCTGTTCTCAAAATAGAGCCTAGCAAACACTGTAATCTTTGCATAATTCCTTTTTGCTTGCATGGACTTGAGCTTTAATCTTTACAGAGAAACACATTAGCATTTTTATGCTCAAAATAAAGCCTTTTTTTTCTTTTTCCTGTCATTGAGGGTTGTTTTGTGCCTTTTGTTACAGGGGGAAGCTTGTTATGTTGTGAGTCTTGTCCTGCTGCGTTTCATCCCGACTGTCTAAACATTGAAATGCCAGACGGAAGCTGGTATTGCAATGACTGCAAAGCAGGGAAAAAAATCCATTTTCAAGATATCATTTGGGTCAAACTGGGAAATTACAGGTTTGGATTTATAAACATACCTTAAATATTTTTTAAAAAATCGTTGTGGGTCTATATCAGTGGTTCTCAACCTTTTTAATTCCGTGACCCCCAGCCGGTCGTAAGTTGAGGACTACTCAACTGGTGCAGCACCGTTTGCAGACTGGGACTTTTGGCGGGCTCAGCAGGGCAGAGACAGCCTGGACAATTCCTATTGGCTTTTGAAAGCCAATAGAATTAGACTCTATTTAAGAGAGTCTATTTTATTGGCTTTCAAAAGCCAATAGAATAAAAGGGAGTAGCACAGCTAAGGAAAAGGGGAAAAAATGGCGGACTGCGTTGTTTGGCGACCCCCCTGAAATGGTCGTTCGACCCCAAATGGGGTCCCGACCCACAGGTTGAGAACCACTGGTCTATATGATGGTGTCTCTTCCTCAGAGCTCAGAAAAGGGGGAATTTGTAGGTAGAAAGATCTTTGACGGGGAGTTGTATGCATTAACACAATCTCTTCTGTATGAGACTGATGTTCATTTGTTTCTGAGAGGACGCTGGCCTCAATTTCTTCCTTTCGTTGGGTTGTTTTTGTGGTAGGTGGTGGCCAGCCGAAGTCTGCCATCCCAAAAACGTCCCCCCAAATATCCAGAAAATGAAGCACGAGATTGGAGAATTCCCTGTGTTTTTCTTTGGCTCTAAAGATTACTACTGGACCCATCAGGCCCGCGTGTTCCCCTATATGGAAGGAGACCGGGGAAGTCGGTACCAGGCCATTAAAGGGATCGGGAAAGTCTTCAAAAACGGTAAAATATTTCGCCACATTTCAACTCAAAGGCACTCTTGCTAGGCGATCAGCTTCTGTCGCGTAGAATCAGAATCCAGTGCAGTTCACCCAGGAGTTTGGATTTCAGTATTTTACTTGGCTGCGCCTGGTGACGGCGCCTAGTTAAGCTTGACTTCAGAAAAGCTAAGCAGGGTCAACGAGGTTGGTAACTATATTATAATTATTGTATACGGGGAGTTCTCAACCTGTGACGAGTTGTTTGGCAAACATTGGAAGTTACAACAGACCCTCTTGTTGTTTTTTTCCAATAAATTTTTTTTTATTTTCCATTTATTCATCATACAAAATACAATTTACATGATAAAATAAATTCATAACCATTGGTACCGCCTGCCTATTCCCCCCAGGCTGCGTCCACCCTCTCTAGTACCTTCCCTACTTCCCTCCTCTTTCTTTCCTCCCCTCCTACTCTCTTCCTCCCCTTCTCCTCTTACCATCCTCCTTCCTCCCTACACCTTCCTCCCCTCTCATCCCTCTCAAACACATGAACACAGCATAGGGGAAGTGCCCAAGCAGCACCTCTCTCATAAACTACCATATCTATATTATCCTTACCCACCCACCCACCCTCAACCCTCCCCTCCTCACTTCCCAGAGCAGAGTACAGGGTTATTAATGACAAAGTTAACAATAAAAAGGAAAGGAAAAAGAAAAGGAAAGAAAAGAAAAAAAAATATCATACTTAGCCTTTAACTCCCCTTAAATTACATCATAAACAAATCTCTACAACATTTACTATAAAATTTACTCATAAAATAAATGAAACTTTGTAGTCCCATACTTTTTCTGAATATAATCTATCCATCTTCTCCCAGACCCTATTGGTTTTGAAGGTCTGAAGGTCCCTCCCCTCCAGTGTCACGTGACCGAACTTCAAGCGCTTCTCAACCGAGCCGCATACATTGCAGCAAAACCACCCCCAGCAAACCATTCGCTCACTTAATCACTGTGATGATTAAATGGGTGACCTTCGCAAAAAATGTTGCAAAATCAATACCAGTCACTCCCATTACAGTTGTAAGTCAAGGACTACTTGTACACAGCTGTGTGAAATCACAGCTGCTAGTCCCTCAACTGGGGTTGGCCTTCATAAGCATCACATTCTTCTCAAGAACCTGAGATGCTGTAACATATCGATATAATACAATGTTTCCCTGAAAATAAGACTGGGTCTTATTTTTTTTATTATTATTTTTTGCCTCCAAAAGAGGTACCAGCTCTTATTTTCGGGGTAGGCCTTACCTCACCTCTGGCACTGACAGCCCCACCCAGCCGGTCCACTTCTTCTGGGGCCGAAGTTCTGCAGATGCATTCAGGCCTGCATTTTGCAATCAGGCCTTCCCGGAAGGTCCATGCAGCCAAGTACCGAGCCATGGATTCAATCCATCGCTTGGTGCTCAGCTAAAGAGGTTTTCAGAGAAATGCAGGCCTGGCTGCAGAAGAAGAAATGGGCCAGAGAGGAGAGGCCTGGCTGCCAGGTGAGCGGGTACAGAGCAGGTGGGCCTTAGCTTGATTTTTAGGTGTGTGCCTCGCCCCAAAACTAGGGTTTATTTTTGGGATAGGGCTTATATTAGGCCCATCCCCAAAAAATCAAGCTAGGGCTTATTGTTGGTGTAGGCCTTGCTTTTTGGGGAAACACGGTACATATGCAGATCCAAGCAGCTAATGAGGTTGAGGCCTAATTCTTATAGGGAATATTTGTAGTTGTAATTTTACCAATTCTTTTTTTAAAGCTTTGCAAGACGCGGAAACACGCTTCCGGGAGATAAAATTTCAGCGGGAAGCCAAAGAAACTCAAGAAAACGAACGCAAACCTCCCCCTTACAAACATATCAAGGTGAGATGCTTTGAAGGACGGGTCTGGTCCCTCTCTGACCCCCAAAATAATCGGTCCAGGGATGGGCCCAGGATGCTCTGGGGTGAAGGAGAAGAGGGTAGCTGGGGATGAAAACTTTGGAGTTTTCATAGGTCAGCTTTAGCCTAAATGGGGTTCTGTGTTGTATCAATCGTCAGAGGAAAGGACCATTTTTAAGTACAGGAGTGAGAGATAAAGGGCTTTAATTGTCTTTTTGTTCTAGTTTTATTAAATAAAAATTGCTAGAGAAGGGATAAGATATTTCCAAAGGATTTTAGTTCTAGTTGACAAGCTGAATGATAATAACCAGATATTGGATCTACAGTAGAGGAGTGTTAAACATATGGGAAACAGAACTGAGCAACTATAATTTAAAATAAATAACTACCAGTTACTTAAAGGGAAATATTTGTGGCAGAATAATGTTTTTTCAGAATGTTCATCCATAAAGTATGACTTAATCATCTTCACATCCAAAAAGCATTCAATAAATCTTCTGGATTGTGTGTTTTGCTAGGTCGAATTGGTAATATTTTTATGCATTTCTGTATATGTGTAATTACACACAAAAAAAAAACCACTCAGAGAAGAGGTGTGCTTTCTTTAGTTCCCAAACTCGCCCTTCCATACAGCAAAGAATGCTAAAGCTGGGGTCTGGCCTGCCTTTTCTCCCACCGCTACCCAGAATATCTAGGGATCTCCTGGCTTCTTTTGCCCCTCAGACTACCCTAACCCAGTTGGTTGTTCTCTTTCCCCTTGGAGGAGGCAGCTAGCTGGGTTAGGATTAGCAGGGTTTCGCCCTCCTGTTGGCCGGATAGAGGCCCGTGTGGGGTGCTGGGGAAGGAAGTGGAAGCAGGCGAGGCTGGCAGAATCTGAAGCCCCCCCAGCTGCCATGGCAGCCTGCCCCTCGGTGCCTCTGAGCAACAGGAGGAGCCGCCAAAGTCTTCGAGGTCCCATGAAAGCCGAGGGGGTGGGGGGGTTAGAGTGCAAGGGATGCGCAAAACACACGAGCGCAAAGGACGGAAGTGGGTCGGTGCGCTTGGGTCGGGACCTTGTGGGCCTTTTGGGGGGGGGCGCCCAGTCAGCGCCTGCTTTGGTCTTTCGTCTGCAGGTCAACAAGCCCTTTGGGAAGGTCCAGATCTATACGGCGGACATCTCAGAGATCCCCAAGTGCAACTGCAAGCCTTCGGACGAGAACCCCTGCGGCCTGGACTCCGAGTGCCTGAACCGGATGCTGATGTACGAGTGCCACTCGCAGGTCTGCCCGGCTGGAGGGCGCTGCCAGAACCAGTGCTTCAGCAAGCGCCAGTACCCGGAGACCAAGATCATCCGGACGGAGGGCAAGGGCTGGGGCCTGGTCGCCAAGAGGGACATTAAGAAGGTGGGGCTGCTGACCGGCGGGGTGTGTGTGTGTGTGTGTGCTTGTGGCAGCACCAGATGGAGGACGTGCAGCCGGGGGGGGGGACTCCCAAGGGGCCTTTCGGCATCATAATAATAATAGTCTCTCCCTTCGGTTTACATCCCACCTTTCTTTCCCCCTGTGGCTCAAAATGTCCACACGGAGAGTCCTCGGCTTTTACAGCAGTTCATTTAGTAACCATTTGACGTTACAACGGCACTGTAAAAAGTGACTTGTGACCGTTTCTCACCCTTCGTGACCGTTGCAGCATCCCCCGTGGGTCACGTGATCAAAACTGAGACGCTTCGCACTGACTCAGAGTTATGACGGTCGCGGAGTGTCCCGGAGTCACGTGATGATCCCCTTCTGTGACCTTCTGACCAGCAAAGTCCACGGGCAAGACAGATTCGCTTAACCACTTGGTTATCAGCTTAACTGATTCACTTAACAACCGTGGACAAGACCGGTCGTAAAGTGGGGCAAAACTCACCCTTAAGGAATGTTTCAGTGAACCACAGAAAAGTTGGGCTTACCTGGATCGTATCAGCCCAAGAAAAAGGGAAATTGGACAGAGGCAGCCTTTGGGGCCAGGCTTGATTCTTACACCCAGGTCTGACGGTTGTGCAAAGGCCCCCCCCCTCCCTTTCTCCTCCCCCCCCCCATTTTCTTCTCTTGGCTGGTTGAGCAGCTGCGCTTTCCCCTCCCTCAGGGCGAGTTTGTGAACGAGTATGTGGGCGAAGTGATTGACGAAGGGGAATGCATGGCGAGGATCAAATACGCTCACGAAAACGACATCACGCACTTTTACATGCTCACCATTGATAAGGTAGGGTTCTTTTTATATGGCTTAGCTTGACCTTCGTCTTAACCCTGGTACCTATAAATGCGGTATTTATAAACTGGCTTTTTATTCAGCAATAGCAAGACTCTCAATTCTCACAGTGGGGGGAAAAAAACCTAGCACAAAAGCAACATCAGTAAGCCTACCGATCAACACCGTTTTAAACACCGAGTTTAAAACGCCTCTGTAGAAATTAGGGCGACAGGAAGTGCTAGTATTTCTTTGACACCCTTTTTTTGAGTTATGTTTAAAACTGCAATCCTGTATCCACCTATCTTGGTGAAAATCCTCTTATGTGTAAATGGCATTCCTTTTTATGTAGACGTGTATTGGATTACGCTCCGAAGTGAATATAGTAATTATTCAATAATAAAAGCTGAATGGAAGAAGAGAAGGTTGCATTATGTGACAGTTCTGTACCTTTCACCTACAAATGCTTTTGTCCAACAAAGCTGAAGCTTCAACTTCTTCATCTACTTTGGAACTAGGAAAAGATAATTTCTGACTGATCTAGGAATTCTCAACTTCTACACCAGGGGTCTTCCAACTCGGCCCTTTTATGACTTGTGGACTTCAACTCCACACGTGCCTGGCTGAGGAATTCTGGGAGTTGAAGTCCACAAGTCATAAAAGGGCCGAGTTGGAAGACCCCTACTCTACACGAAGAGTTTTGCTTGTTTGCTTACCCTTCTGTGTTCCCAGGACTGGAAATACTTAATGGCAATATCTCTATCCTCCCTGCTTTTCAAGGAAGGGATACCAAGGTTTGTTTTTTAAAAAAAAACCAGAAGAAACCCCATTTCTTTGCATTGTCCATTGAAGATCCAAAACATTTTTTTCTCTGTCTAATCATCTCAAGACGAGAAAAGAAAGAAAACACATCTTCCTGACCCAATTGTTCCAAACCGAGGAACAATTATATTTCTTTCACAATTTTGTACGTTTTCCAGGTATCTTAATTTAGCTAGGTGATGAGACATTACTGTAAGGCAGAATTAATCAAATCCAGATGTAGAGCTCTGAAATTCTAGGTTTCTCTTAAAAGTGTGATAAAATTTGCACAGATTACAGATTTAAGTCTGTCGAGGAAGAATTAAATATACCAGCTGTGGGGGGGGCCAAGGCTCTGTTTCTGTTGAAACGGTACAGCTGTACCTCAGATTTTTGCCTGACTCCTTTGATTTCCAGGACCGCATAATTGACGCCGGGCCGAAAGGCAACTATTCTCGCTTTATGAATCACAGCTGCCAGCCGAACTGCGAGACCCTGAAGTGGACGGTGCATGGCGACACCCGAGTAGGCTTGTTTGCGGTGTGTGACATTCCCACAGGTACAAGCTGCTCTCCTCCTCCTGTGCAAGGTTTTTTTTCTCTTAAAAAGAAATCAAGCCTTAAAAGCCTGCTCAGAAAACTTCTCACACTGATGCAGCTGAAACATCTTTCAAGTGTGGGCTTAACCTGCCCTCTTAATGCAGCAGAACAAACACAAACAAAAGAGGAAAAAAATATTTTGTTTGACAAAGCTGCAGAAACTGGGGGTGCTGTTTCCAAGCTGACCTTGTTCCTGTTGTAATGATGGTTACAATAAGCTTTTCCTCTTTCATGGTTGGAGAAAATGACTAAAAAACAAATAGACTTTAAACCAGAATTATTTTTGTTAGGAATAATAGGAGGTAATTATGAGAAAGATTGCAGATATTTAATACCACATGTACTAATGGCAGCAAGAATGGTATTTGCCCAACATTGGAAAAATGAAAACTTACCAAATGAAGAATTAGTTAAGAAAATTTTATAGTGTGTAGAAATGTGGATAGATTGACTTTAAAAGATAAAAGAGAAAGAAGGCTCGGTGTACTTTAGAACATGGGATAATTTCTATCCATGGCTAGAAAAACGAATTAGAGAGAAAGGAAGGTGATACGTAATTTGGAATACATATTAGCAAGAAGAAGGCTATTGAATGATTAATTAGCATATTGTTTATGATAATTAACTATTTTCTATTATTGTTGGTTAAATACATAAACCCAGACATTATGCTGTTTGCTAAATATTGAGAATGTTACTTGGAAAAACCCCAACCTTAATCCTAACCCTAACCTAAATCCCGACCCCATCTTTTTCCTAACCCCATAAACATTAATAAAATCAATTTGGTTTCCCCCTCAGGAACAGAATTAACCTTCAACTACAATCTGGATTGCCTGGGCAATGAGAAGACAGTGTGCAAGTGTGGGGCTCCCAACTGCAGCGGCTTCCTTGGGGACAGACCGAAGGTATGTGACATGCGCCAAGAAGAGGAATCTCTCTCCACGGGCGACTACAACGCTCGCCGAGTGGTTTCTGAGGGACCAATTTTAGGGGGCAGAAAGGGGCAGCCTAAGGCAAGGCCTTTTGAAGCCAGGCACCTCAAATGGACTAACTCACAGAATGTGTCCGGAATCTGGAACCCGTAACTCCCAACGAAATTTGGCCAATTTTGAAAAACTTTTTGTGATGTTAAAAAAAAAAAAATCATCATAAAACAATTGTCCAATTATTTCTAAGAATACCTCTGGGTCCTTCTCCGTCATCCAGGTCACGGTTGTCCCAAAGGTGCTTTTTTTTTTCTCAAGAGGCAACTGGACTTTCTTGTTTTTCTTTGAAGACGTTTTGCTTCTCATCCAAGAAGCTTCTTCAGCTCTGACTGGATGGTGGGGAATGGAAGGATTGATATATCTGCATGAAGCACAGCTCCCACTTCTCAATGACTCTGACTCAGGACAGAGAAAAACCTCCAAGTGGCTTCAGGGTACAAATGACCAGCTGTCTGCAAGGAGTGTAAATCCTGCCATTCTCCCAGCATCCAGTCCAGAGCTGAAGAAGCTTCTGGGATGAGAAGGGAAACATCTTCAGAGGAAAACAAAGAAAGTCCAGTTGCCTCTTGAAAACAGCACTTTTGGCACTACCAAGAGCTGTTTTTTTAGTGGAGGAGCATTCAGTAAAATTACAAAATTAAATAGTCTCTCCCCGAGGAAGGTAAGAGTGGACGATGGTGGCATTTTGACCAACAATGCTTCTCTCTTTAGTTCCGTCTTGCGTGGCCATTGTCAAGTCACCACACTGGAAACATTTTGCAAGAGGATTCCCAACAAGTTTTTATAATTTAAAATGGCTAAAAACGGTGGGGCAACTCCTTAAAGGCTGCACTAATCTCCTAATCTGCAAAACGGAAACTTTTCTTTTTCTTTTTTTTTTCTTTTTTTAAGAATTCATCCTCCAACGCCTCAGAAGAGAAAGGAAAGAAGACCAAAAGAAGGGCAAGGAGACGCAAAACGAAAAATGAAGCTAGGAAAAAAACGGAGGACTACTGTTTCCGCTGCGGAGATGGAGGGCAGCTTGTCCTGTGTGACCGGAAGTCCTGCACCAAGACCTATCACCTCTCCTGCCTCGATCTGGTAAAACGTCCCTTCGGTGAGTAAGAAAATGCAGATTTTGGACCCGCGAGGATTGTAATTGAAAAATTGCAAGTTTAGAAGGAGTCTGTTTTCCTCCGCTGCTCCCCCTTCGGGGGGGTCAAGCTAAGAGTTGAGTCCGGGGTTAACCGTCTCCAGCCAAGCTGGTCCACGGTAAAGCAGTGAGAAGGGAAAGGTTGGTGTAGTTTTGTTGAGGGGTTTGACCGGGCAGAATTGTTCAAGCTCCTCCTGGGCGTCTGTGTGTGTGTGTTCCTGCATGCCAGCTCCGTGGGAGAGGTGGTGGTGGGCAGGAGAAGGAGGCTAGCAGCCATTCTGCTCAGCAGGGCCACGTTCATCTGCCTGGGGTCTTCTCTGTCCCAGGGAGAGGGACATCGTCTTCAGGAGTCGTCCTTGGAAATGATAAAGCAGCAGGCTCATGGAGAGGAAACCAGATTCCAAAGTTAAACCGTACATTGTTAAGCTAATTGTAGTTTATTCAGCGGGAAGGAAAAGTCCTGAAAGAGGCCCTCTCCAAAAGTGTGTTTCTAGCTTTAAACACTTCCGGTTGTGTTTGCTTAACAACATGCTGACTTTTTTATTTCAAGTTGTTTTTAATCGGTTCTTGTCCATTATTTTGATAACGGTCAAGGAGATAAGCGAACGTGTGCATTGTTCAATAGAGTGGCTGCCTTTGTCCGGTTCATTCAGGCTGGAGGGAAGGATTTTGGTGGATGTGTGGACATCGTGGCCCGTTTTTCTGAGTTGATATTTTGTTCTTTCCCCCCCCCCCCACACGGCAGGCAAGTGGGAGTGCCCTTGGCATCACTGCGACGTTTGTGGCAAGCCCTCCGTTTCCTTCTGCCACTTCTGCCCCAATTCCTTCTGCAAGGATCACCAAGAGGAGGCCCTGCTGGAGTGCAACCGGAGCGGAGAGTGGTTTTGCCCTGACCACCCCGGGGAGAACTTCACGGAGAAGAAAGCCAAACGGCCTCCCAGGAAACTGATTTCGGTCAAATGTAAAGGGCAAAGGAACAAGTGGAAGAGGACATAATGTTGAGAGGAACAGACTCCCCCCCCCCCCGCCAGTCCCACTGCCAAGGTTGTCTTGTAAATAAGTTGTGAATAGGATCAGGGAAGGACACCCATTTACTACACATCTTGCGCAAGAACTGGCTTTGGGGGCGAACGATTTTTAACCGACTGAGCCAACCCCGCAGCTGGGCGCCCGCTGCATCTGCACTGATCATGAACTCTGGCCTGCCAAGTTCAGACATTTCAGGACAAACCAGGTTTTCTCTCCAGAAATAAATAATGAGAATACTTGAACTGTTAGGAATGGAACAGTTCTTCCTTCCCCGGTGCTTCCTGAACGGAGGTGTGTTGATTTTTCGGCCAGCGACGGCGTATATGGACGGTCTCGTAGCCTTTGAAATAGTAATCACCCCTCGGAAATGTTTAAATAGAGGGAGAAAAAGAGAGAGAGAGAGCTCGACTAGCTTTTGAAGCCCAACGTGATGAGGAGATCCGCTCAACAGGATTGCATTAAATAAGAGGGTGGGGGAGGGGGGAATGTGGTACCATGGCTTTTGATTTTATTGTTTTAATTGTAACAACATTCAAGACGCTGAAGACAAGGAAGCAGCACACCTCTTGAACCCGTGGCAAGCTTTGGAAGAAGAGTCCAGTCAACTGTGCCTCAGGTCAACTGTTTAGTTCCCATAAGCAAAAAAGGGGAAAAAAAATGCATTACCAGTGTCCTCCTTTAAATGGATATTAAAATCTGTGCCCAATTTTTAGATCGTATTTGCATAATAAAAGTATTTCAAAATCGAACCTATTTTGAGACTTCTTTTGAGAAGCAGACTGAAATAAGTGTCAAAAGGATGCTGGAAACAAAAGCAACTCTTGAGCTGACCTCCCTGAGCAGACGTCCCCGTTTTTTTGTGTTTTTGTTTCTGGCAACTTCTGGCTAAAAATGGGATTGGAAGCCCAACCACAAATAGATGTTTTTAGTGACCAGGAAGCAGGTGGACTAGTGCTGTCGTTAGCATCTCAAGCTGCTCCTAGTAGTTGCTTCTCCTTTGGGGATGCATTGCGGGAATTTCGTAGGTCTTTTTCTCCATGGACCCTGACTGGATCCAGGCCATTATTTTAACCTAGTTCTTCTGCCTGCTTCTCCCCTCACACCCCGTTTAATCCCATTCTCTTCTGTTTTCAAGAGATGCTGTGCTGATGGGAGGGTGACTGAATCCCAGCTTCCTTTATATAAGTTGTTTTTTTTAAAGGGTGTTCCTGCATTCTTCGTGAGTATGGCAAAGATGTGAACAGAAGTAATGCATTATACAGTTTTACCTGTGATGTGGAGTGGATGTTAATAAAAGTTCCCGATAGAAATTTTAGGAGGGTCACGTTATGCCACATTAAGTAAACTACAGATTGCCTTTTCAGATTACAAATTTTGTTTAAAAACATGAGCTTTCATCAACTGCATCGCGCCTCCTAAAATACTTGGAGCGTGGTTGAATAGATGTAAGACTTTAAATAGAATCGGGACACAAGCGTCCTCACCTCAATGCTATATTTAAACTTTACGCCCATTGAATTGCAGCAGTGACCTGGTAGTTAAGTGCTACCATTCATTCAGCTTGCTCGGTGGAGTAGGGTCTGAGAACATTTGCCATTTAGTTAGCACGTCCTTAGGGCCTGCGCCCGGGAGCCCCGTCAAGGACGAGCAGATGCCAAATAATACCACCACTGGGGCAAAAAGAAAAATGTACTTAGAAAAATCTGAACTTTATTACAGATATGATGCCGAAAATACGTACTCAAGGAAAATGAGGTCTTGCATTTACATCTGTACAAAAAAAACAAAATAAGATAGAAAACATCTGGCCTGCTCTACTAGATAGGCAACATTTTACAAAACAACATTGCTTGTTAAAAAGGTACCAGAATCCCACGGTCTCAAGAGTTCATCTCCTAGCCTTGCCTTTTCTCTCCCCTTCCATCAGTCGGGGAGGGGTGGGGGTGGGGGGGGGCACAGGAAGGGAAGTCCCAGGGCTGCCAAGGGCTTCTGGGCTTCTGCTAACTGGTAGGGCAGGAGGGAAGTTGCGTGGGTTTTTTTTTCAGCAGTAACTCTTCAGCTTGTCTGATGCTTATGGATGCTGGATACTACAAGTAATCTTACAGCTAAAATTAAACTCTTAAAATATCTCCCCCCCCCCCAGATTAGAACTGTGGATAGTACCGGTCACTTGCCTTTTTCTGTCAGAATCAGAAGAGTCCCTTTTAAGCCAAGCAGGGCCACACGGAGAGCCTTGTTGCCCTGGACAAGCTGCACCCATCAGTCAGGCTGGCTGGCTGCTTGGGCCGCCTGCTGCCTCCGCCTTTCCAGCCGGCCTTTGCAGAGTTTACTGCCAGCTCTCTCTGGGCAGCCAGACCGCAACCACAGGGCACAGGGAGAGGGATCCGGAAAGAAAGAACCCACCTCCCCCAAGGGCTTCCCGGACAGAGGCATCCCTCAGTTTCAACCTACTGTGCCAGCCCAAATCGGATGGTGATTTCCCAAGCGCTTAGCAAAGACGAGGCTCTAATGAGGATCTCTTTGAGGACATCCATAGGATTCTATCTGGGTTGCACCAGCAGCAGCTTCACGGCACCCTTCCTTGCACGGACTCTGAAATGAGAAGCTTCTAACTCAAGTAAAAGCTGCTGGCTGTGCAGGGCCAGCCCCCCCCCCCCGGCGAGGCAAAACTCTTCTCAAGTATTATGCCAGGCTCCCACTGTTCTGAATTCATCACAGGTGACTGATTCCACCACAGGTGACCGCAAGGATGCCACTGCTTCCAACGGAGGGAGGGGAGGGTGGGAGGGCGAGAAAGTCCAGGTGATAGCCACAACTCTGTACTCAAAGCCGTGCCCTATTCTGACCAGCTGGACTTTTTTTGGGCACCCACCCCAACCCCCTGGCTAAATACTCTAGAGCAGAACCATAAACACCTGTTAGTTCGTATTGCTCCAAGTCCTCAGAGGTATTCTAGAGAAAACTGCATTCTAACTTCAAACCAAGTTTTTGGATAAAAGATGAAATAGCATGTCCTCCAAATCAGACGGCCATGATGTTCAAGCAAGCAGTCAATATTGCCTTTACGTTTGAACACGCCAGGACACGTCCTGCTACATGCCAGCTAAAGACGGGGGGGAGGGGAGGCTTCCAATGTTAAAAGAATATAGCCAGGTGGCCTCTTAAAATAGCCTGAGCAAGCCAGGCTGATACTGCATAAAACTGACAAATTTAGTAAAATTAGCCCTATGGTTTAAAATCCTGCTTCCAGGTTCAGGTCAAATGACGCTGCACAAAAAACTCTTCTGAAACCAGCCCTTTGTGATGCTCTTCTGACTCTGGTTAGGCCTACTGGGTACAATTCAGAAACAAACACACAATTCAGCTGTGCTAAAACAAAACCTAAAAGGCGGCCCATCTTCCCTCTCTCTCACTTCAGGTTCTCCGGAGGTGCTCAGAACAGGAGCTCAGAGCGTTTTGTTTCCATCTGCAGCCTGGTCAAACAGCTTCCCTGGACCTTCCACTTAAAAGAAAGCATCCTAGCATCTCCCAACCATTTCAAGGAACCGAAAGAAATTCTTTATTCTTCAACTCTTCCTCTGCATAAACGATTACGCTATTGAGCTGCCCTCTCTCCTCAACTTCAAAGGCTTGCAAGAGAAATTCCCCAGGAGCCGGCAAGGATGGGGCCCCTGCAAGCAGCGTTGCTCCTGGCCAGGCCCTGCAGCCCTCGGAGAACCAACAAATCCTTCCGAAAAGAGAAATGCAGAAACTCAGCCCTGCGTGATAAACCATCTCAGATCCTCCTTCGACCCCACGGCTACAGAGCAGGGAAGGGGTGCCTAATTACTGTTTGGAGATTCCCCAAAAGCTTCACCGTGTTAGGACATCCACCGATATTCACCTTTTGAGCAAGCTCAAAAGGGACCCGTTTGGGGCCATCCTGCAAGGCCATCCTGCGAGGTCTGGAACCAGCGACGTTAGCCTGAAGCAGCCAATGTCAAGTTCTTGGGATTTATACCCATTTTAAGAGTATTCAGAGGCTGCTCGCTGCACCGACTCTGACCCTGGGGAAGGCAGCTCCCCTTGGGGGCCCTGAGATAAGCTTGGGGGAGGGGGGAACTCAACTCTTTTTATGTATCCATGTTCAAAGGCAACCCATTTATGGGAAGCCATGCATCTCCATGCGGCTGGGGGGCTGGATGTTCTCAAGGAAGTGGAGGTTTATTATTTGGGCAATCCGGAGGAGCAGAGGAGAGAGGGAAGGCCCTACAGGCTTTTCAGGGTGGGTGCCTGAGGAAACCACCCCAAGGGACCGACGCTGCTGCTTGCAGGCAGCTGCAAAAGGAAAAAAGAAACTGTGCCTATTTTTAACAGAGAACCGAGAAAGTCAACGGAGGTCCCTGCTGTGAATCTGCCTCTTCCTTGCTATTCTTTCTCAAGGCAGGCAAATAAAACCCCTTTCCTGCCAAACTGCCGGAGGCCATGAATCCTTCCACCATCCGAGGACCGTTTTGTCGCCTCTTCCCACTTGAGCGGTGACACGGGCTGGTTACAGGTCACACACAGGAATGTTGTTCTGTCCGAGTTGACACACAATGTATAAGCTGGCTTTATTCTAGGATCTACTTGGTCTACATCTTCCCGTGGCTGAACTGTTTACGAGATGTTTGTCATCGGCTTGTGCTTGGTCAGCCTGGTCCACTCGCCGGTTGCGTAATTCATTTCAAAGATGGTGTCCACCAGCATGGTGGTGCTCCCGGTCCCGTCGGGGTTCGGCAAGACCTCGGTGTGCTCGCTCAGCTTGATCTGGATGACGTCGCCCTGCTCTTGGCAGGGGTTTTCTGGAGAGGAGAAATCACGGATTTCAGAGGGATTGAGTCGGACCAGAACGATCACTCGGGACAAAAGCTGGGAAGGGAGCTGCATTCCTCCCTGGTCTCTGCATGGTGCATTTTCCTTCCCATCCCAGGACGGGCTGCCTGCCTCTGAGGACGGGCCCTGAAGCGAATCTCTCCTCAGTGGAGACAGCCTGACCTCCTTAACCTTATTTAAACTGAATTTGTACGTTAGGGATTGCATGGCCTCTGTAGACGCCATATTCTGAATCAAAGAAAACCTTCTTAACTGCTAAGGGCCAATTCTTTGCCTGAAAAACTCTGGTAACTAAACCGTCTTCTCAGTGATGTTCGTTTAGCACAAATCCAGGAGACAGGCTGGCCGCTTGCGTTTCAGTAGACCAGGGGTTCTCAACCTTGGCCACTTTAAGACTTGTGGAGTTGAAGTTAAAGTTGAAGTTAAAGTTAAAGTTAAAGTCCACAAGTCTTAAAGTGGCCAAGGTTGAGAACCCCTGCAGTAGACGAAGGCCTTGTCTGAAAAGGGATCAAAATGCTCTATAATAAATTGGTTTATAAAACCACTATCATTTTTCTTATCTATACCTACATCTAAAAGTTGAACAAAAAGACCACTAAATATTATTCTAGATAAAGTTACAGATTATCCTGATTCCCAATCAATCAAATTACTCGGCAGTTGGCCAGTCTTGGACTTCAGAGTTTAGTGGCCGAATATCCCCCTTTAGTGACAGGTGGTGACTGGCGCTGCTGGCGGACTGGAGGTGGACAAGAGGCAGCGCAGACGAGGAGAGCCCAGAAGAGGAGCTACTGAGCTGGGCCAGGATGGTCATGGAGCTGAGTTCGAGGCCTCCCTTGGGCACTCCCAACATCCACCCACTAAGCATGCCTGCCACTGACATCCACAAACTTCCTAACGACGTCAACAAGGAAGAAGTCCGAGGCTTAATAAAGCTTAGTCGTTCTGCATCCCACATCAAGGGCCTTAACCCAAAAGCAGGACCAACCACGAATCACACTCTCTCACACACACAGACACACACAGACACACACAGACACACACACACAGGGTAAATCAGAAACTTACTTGGAAAAGAACCCAATTAGGACTCAGCCAAACCCAACGCAACAAAATCAGAAACCGGCACTCCAAAAATAGCCCAAACGGCCCAGTCGGCCGTGAAAGCCTGCACTGGTGTCCACTCAGCAATCCTCTGGAGAGGAGTGTCGGATACCCACCTCTGGATCCTGCCATAAATCCAAGGATGAGAGACTTCTCGGGCCTCGTAACTTTGTTGGCCATCTGGAATATTTCGTGGGCTGCAAACAACTGCTCCTTCTGCAATGAGTTTCAAGAATATATCCCGTTGAAAACAACAGTAGAGAAATTACTTCCGCATTGCTGAAATCCTCACTTGTCTCTTGTCTCTTCCGGTGTCCTTCGCCCACCGGCAGCCCTGGCGGCGCTGCCTGTTTTCCTGTAAACTGGGGGGACACTTCAATACTTCTCCAATGGCCCTGGGCAGCTGGTAATGCAGCCCCACAAGATAAAAGGTATCAAAAATTAAGTGAGGTTTGTTATTTATATGTATTAAATACACAATGTATTTTATATGCGGCCCAAGACAATTCCTCTTCGCTCAATACAGCCGGGGCAAGCCAAAAGGTTGGACAACCACGACTTAGTGGAAAGTAACTGCTCCCAATTGCTTTTCCTCAACAAACCCATCAGCTGAAGGGGGTGGCAAACAACCACCTTTTGTGACAGACACGCCCTCCGTCCACGACATCTTTATAGGCGTAATTTTAAAGAAGAGAAGCCTCTGGACAGGCCTACAATACATAAAATTATTTATTAATCTGTTTCCTTGCTTTATTTGCTGGAATTGGGTATGTCTAGTTTAATGAAGAGAAGGACGAGGGGGGTCAGGATAGCGGTGTTTCAATATCTCAGGGGCTGCCCCAAAGAAGAGGGAGTCAAGCTATTCTCCAAGGCGCCTAAAAGCAGGACAAGAAGCAAAGGGTGGAAACTAATCAAGGAGAGAAGCAACCTAGAACTAAGGAGAAACTTCCTGACAGGGAGAACAATCAACCAGTGCAACAGAAGTTGCCTCCAGAAGCTGTGGGTGCTCCATCACTAGAGGCTTTTAAGAAGAGACTGGACAGCCACATGTCCGAAATGGTGTAGGGTTTCCTGCCTGAGCAGGGGGTTGGACTTGATGACCTTCAAGGTCCCTTCCAACTACTACTACTATTACTACTACTACTACTACTACTACTAATTATTATTATTATTATCGATCATCGCACAGTCAGCCAGATGTTCAGACTGGATTTGGCATTTTGTCTACCTATCGAGTCCTTACCCAGGACGTGGGATAGGCAGATGTGGATGTTTGATGGTATTACAGATATCGTCGCAGGATGGAAGCAGTTCCTAATAAGGCTGCCTTTTGCAATTGACTAATAGCGAATTTGTCAATGCCAATGGTGTTCAAGTGGTGCTCCAGTTGTTTTGGGATTGCACCCAAGGAGCCTATGACTATTGGTACTACCCTTGCTTGCTTTTGCCACAGTCTTTCTATTTCTATTTGTAGGTCTTTGTATTTTGTTATCTTCTCCAGTTCTTTCTCTTCTATTCTGCTATCATTATTATTATTATTATTATTATTATTATTATTATTATTATTATTATTATTCTGCCTGTCCAGAGGGACTCTGGGTGGCTTAATAATGCTGCCATACGTGAAAAAAACAGGAATTATTAAGCTCTGCTGGGCCACAAATTCTGCCACTCTGGCTAAATTAATCATCGGTGTTTGTATTACGGTCAGACCTAAACCGTGAGACCCCCCCCCACCCCAAACAGCGACAAAGCAATATGCGGACAAGCCTGGTGATGTGACCCGTGCCTTCCCGTTTCTTACTCCATCTGCCCTGATCCCCACCTGCGACCGGGGGCTGGGGGGGAGGTCTGGATGCTTACTGTGAGAGAGAGACACTTCTTGACAGGGACATCCTGGGGAACGCCGGGTGGTCCCTGCGTTGCTGGAGCGGTGACCGGAGGAGGCGCTGGAGACTCGGGGGCCGGTGCTGCCGCCGCCGCTGCCACCGTGGGGGCCATTAGGTTCAAGTGGCTATTGTACATGGGCGTCCGCTGCTTAAACTGGGCCACGGGGAGAGCAGTGGCGGTCGTGGTGGTGGTGGTGGCTGAAGCAGCTTCTTCTTTAGCTTGCAGGGGGTCCCAGATGGAGCCAGCTGGATGTCAGGACAAACAGGCTGTGAGAGTAGAAGGGCTCATTAAGGCATACCTGTTGTATCCCCTTCCTCCTCCTCCTCCTCCTCCTTCTACCAAGCTTCGTAGAGCGAGGTTATATTCGCTTCTTGTTCAGCACAAAAAGTCCACGGCCACCAGAGGGCCTTCAAAAAGCGTCACGTGGGGTTGTTTTTCCTTAATCTGAATTCCCGGGCCAGGACTTGGTTCAGCACAGAATTCTAAGCTGCAAACAGCTGCAGGGAACTAGGAACAAATCTACAGAAAATCATTGACACGAATTCAGACTCATACACTAAGGGTGCGAGAAAGAAAGAGGCACGAGGAAGGAATTAAGTCTAGGAGTGTAAGAGCGTTTCGAAACGGTGACACCTTCCCCAAGAAATGAGGCCATCTTCAGCCTGGATCCAGACTGTCACTCAAGAGTCTGCCTCATTTACCTTCCCCAAGTTCTGCTTCTTCCTCAAATTTTATTTTCATCATATCTGAGCTTTCCGCTTTGGGACAGAAGGCTCTTCAAGCACAGCGGGGCCTTCACACGTTCACCAAGCCCAACTCTGCAATCGCTTCATACCCCCCCCCATGTGTGTTTATACTGCCACTCTGAAATGTGCCCTGGAATCATCTAACCCAGATGCCGAAGACAGAGGGGGTCACTGACCTGGCTGGGGGTCAGAGCCCGGGACGTAGGAGGAGGAGGGCACTGCGCTGGGCGCTGCAGGCAGGTAACTCGTAGAAGCGAGCGCGGCTGGGTCGTTGTTCAGGGAAGCCAGTTTCTGCAAGAGGACCACACACACAACCCCGTGGGGGAGGGGGGCTTTCAGAGAGGGGGAAGGGCACCTTTGCTACCCTCCTTCATCCACCTGTTCCAGTGGCTGGACCACGGCAAAAAGTCACAGCGACGACACCGGTCCTCCTCAAAACTCTTAAATTTAAAAGTCATTTGAACCAATACAAAGAATCCCGTCTGGCAAAAGCCAGATTTAAAAACAGTGAAAACCTAAAATAGAAAGGAAAGACCCAAACACGTCAAAGGGCCTCAAGTGCTGAAAGTAGCCCAAGAGGACTTTGTGTCCCTCCGCAAACAGGCCAGGAAAGTGGGTTCCAGGGAGGCCCCCCCCAGGCCCTTCGGAGAGAGGCCCTTGGCCAGCCAAGGACCCAAATCCTCCTATAAACTTTTCTGTCTGAAGTTACACGTTGACTCCGTTATTTGGGGCGTAACTTAAAGAGACTTTTTTTAAAGTTCCAACATATTAAAAAAAAAAACACTTCAGATGAAAAGCGTACCTGGGTTGAGCCCAGCCCAGCCGCGTAATCCGGGGTGGCGTTTTCTACCACCGTCTCCTCCTTCGCCTGCTTTGCGACCACGTCCGTATCTGCGGGAGGGAGAAGGCGGAGGAGGGTTCAGGAGGCCCCCTGCTCCCACCCAGGGACCCCCCTCCTCCTCCTCCTGGGAAAGCCCATGGGGAGAGGGGCTCTCTCGGCAGCCTTTCCCCGACCTTCGGCAGAAGCCAGGTTCCCAACCAACACCGTGAATACAGGCGGTCCTCAACTTACAACGGTTCACTTAGTGACCAAAGTTACAGCAGCACTGGAAAAAAGTGACTTAGGGCCGTTTTTCACATTTACGACCGCTGCAGCATCCCCCTCCTGGTCACCTGATTTACATTTATGACGGTTGCAATGTGTCCCTGGGGGGGGGGGGAGGTGGGTCACGTGATCCCCTTTTGCGACCTTCTGACAAGCCAAGTCAATGGGGGAAGCCGGATTCCACTTAACGACCGGGTGACTGACTTCATTGCCGTGATTCACTCAACAACCGTGGGGAGAAAGCTGGTGAAATGGGGCAGAACTCACTTAACCAATGTCTCCCCCTGGCAACAGGAATTCTGGGCTCAATTCTGGTCGTAAGTTGAGGACTGCCTGTATTTTACACGACCGCACTCTGATCTGCAACATTTCTATGCCCTGCATTCCTAACGGGATAGATCCATCCTTTTCTTTCTTTCTTTCTTTCTTTCTTTCTTTCTTTCTTTCTTTCTTTCTTTCTTTCTTTCTTTCTTTCTTTCTTTCTTTCTTTCTTCCTTCCTTCCTTCCTTTCTTTCTCTTTTTCTTTCTTTCCTCCCTCCCTCCTCCTTCCTTCCTTCCCTTTCTTTCTTTCTTTTTCTTTCCTCCCTCCCTCCCCTTCCTTCCTTTCTTTCCTTCCTTCCTTCCTTCCTTCCTTCCTTCCTTCCTTCCTTCCTTCCTTCCTTCCTTCCTTCCTTCCTTCCTCCCTCAGGGGACACTCTTTGCAGCATCTCCCCTCTGCTCCTCTGAAACAGGGGCCGGGTGAGAGGCTGCCTCCCCATTTCTGGAGAGCCCCCTCCCCCAGGAGCAGCAGCCCCTCCCCTCCCCCACCCCAATTCCTCCGAGATTCCTGCCCCTGGACTGCTGAGGGGGAGGGGGGGCGATGGGAGGGAAGGGGCAGCCCCACGCACCCAAAGTCTTTCTCCTCCGTTTGGCTTCCCGGGCAGAGTCCACAGCTTTCAGCTCTTTGAGGTCCAGGTACTACAAATACACAACGAAAATCTTTACTTTCCCACTCGTGGCACAAATCCCCAGGGTTTCCTGCATCATGGATTTCACAAAACAGCTTCGATGTCTGTTCTTTATCATGTCTGGCTAAAAATTACAACGCTTGGAGAGTTTCAGCCTGTGCATTAATCTTCCACTTTACTGAGCAACATCCAAGAACGTTTTTGTGTTGTCATAAACCTAAAAAATAACAACTATCCGGGGGGGGGGGAAGGGTTTGCGTTCTCTTTTAACAGTTTATCAGTCTATTAAGTAACTTCTTCATTTTCTAAACTTTTTTCTCCTGTGGCCAGACTTTTTCCCCAGTCCGCCAACACCGTGGAACACGTGCCACACGTTCTGTTTGGAGTGCTTATTTTTATAAACATCCACTGTTAAATTTGACGCATTTAAATATAGCATTTGCACATATAGAATTTCACCACTGTCTTTTCAGGAGGTGTTGGGGATGAGGCACATCAAAACTGCACACTGTTGCCTAACTTACAAGATGCACCAAGTCTCTTTTATAAATTGTTATCGGTCTCAAAATGACACAGACGAGAAAACTGATTTTAGCAAGCAAGAACGTAGAAGCCTGAAAACAAAAGACAAACAGTTCCCTCTATAGATGATCGGCAGGCAGGCAGCTTGCTCTCAAAAATGCACACATACATAACACACATTTAAAGTACTCCAAAGATAAAGGCATCCCTTAATTACTTTTAGGGGTGCTTCTTCAATTATCTCTTTCTAAATGTAAACATTTTTGCACGCTAATCCTGAACTGCACGGAAGGCTATCCAGACAGATTACTAAACAATTCTGCCACATTATTAGGCACAAGTGAGCTACAGTGAAATGCCGAATGAGATCGTTGCCATGTCCTGTACTTGAAACAACCCAACGGAGAAGCTTCTAAAAGGGCAACCGACAAGACCGTCACTAGGCGTTTGTGAGCAGAAGCAACACAACCCAGGAAGGTTTACTGGCCCGTTTCTGAATCCAACTGACAGGAAAAGCCCTTCGCTTCTACAGGGGAAGAAGAGGAATACGCTTGCTGTGAGATACCTTTACGCCCCTCTCCTTGCACAGGGGCACTGTGGAGGATAGAATGGGGGTCCGGTTCCCCGTCGGGCTGAAGACAATCGGAGCGGTGGGATTCCTGAAAGGAGCTTGCTTTGGTATCCCTTTGAGTGGAGCTGCAAAGAGAACAAGGGACAATTAAAGACAAAATCCTCGCCCTTGGGGATAAGGCCCTTTCCAATGAAGACTAGTAAAATCTTTAAAACATTACTAAAACCCCTACAGGCTTTTCGAGCCATCGTTTTTAAGACTCAGAGCAAAAGGCCAAGGTTGTCACGAAATGTACTGGAAGTTCCAGATGTGTTTCACGCGTCTCTGAAGTTAGATTCCCTCTAACGGTCACGGAACCTCAGCAGATCCCCGGGGGCTGCCAAGAGGAGCCTGTGAATAAAATGCAAACTCTGGACAGAAGCGCTGCAGCTCCTAAGCCTCCAGAGGCCTTGGACATCAACTCTACGTGCTTCCAGGAAGCCGCTTGCTGCATGAAGAACTCTGCCGGGAGGAACATCCCGATAGGTGGAGCGCTCGTCTCTTCCAACGTGCTTGTGTTAATGTCCGATGAGAGGCCATCTTACAAGAACTCCCTGCGAGGGGCTTCTTCCTCGTGCAGCGACACCCCCCCCCACATACATTGACCTCCAGTTATCAGTTCTGGTCAGGAGAAGCCATTAGGACCACCACCCTCGGTCTGAGGCTGGCTGCCTCCTGAAGTCTGCTAGTCCAGGGCTTTTCAACCTTTTCACCCACTGTACCCCTTTTAGGAGATGGCAACATCCGAGGACCACCAGTCGCCTAGCAAGGGGTCAAAAACTTGATGACCCCCCACAAAAAAAGAAAGGAAAAAAGTGATAAAAGTACAGGTAGTCCTTGACTTACAACAGTTCGCTTACTGATTGTTCGAAGTTACAAGTAGCCCCCAAGCCACAGTTGAGTAAGACACCTGCCTGCCCACCTGGCGGTGCTCTTCCTCCTGTCTGAGGTTTTCATTGTTGTGAGCATTTCTGTTGAGGATTGGCAGCGGGGGTGGGGTGGGGGGTGTCTGGTTTTTATTCCCCCTGTCTGCTGGGTGGTTGCAGCAGGTTTTGGTCACTTCACATGACCCTGGGACACTGCGACCGTCATAAATATGAATCGGTTGCCAAGCATCTGAATGTAAATCACAAGACCCTGGAGAGGCTGCAGCATTCCAGCTGATCGGCGCTTCTTCAGCGGAAGCACCAGGATCACCACTGAGCTCCAGCTGGAGCCTGGCGCTGATCCTGGTGCTTCCCCTGAGCCCTGACAGCCCCGAAGCGCCAATCAGCTGGAAAGCAGCACTGATCCTGGTGCTTCTGCTGAGCCCTGACAGCCCTGCAGCTCCAGCCGTCTCTCGTTCAGGCTTGTGTGGTGCTGCCACCAGTTCAGCTCATTCCCCTCCCCCACTCCCACTTTTCTAGGATGGTTGCGTACCACCTGCCAGGTGCCAATGGACCACAGGTGGTACCCGTCCCACTGGTGGAAAAGCCCTGTAGCGGTTATACTATTCAATCCAGATGGGCAAACCCCCCCCAAAAGAAAAAAATTCAAATATTAGCATTTGTGCTCATCATTCAAAGCTGTAAAGTTATAACTTCTGAGATTTGTTGTTTGGAAGCCCCTTTCTCCTCCCCCCCCCTCTTCTGTGAGAACAGAAACAGATGGCAAAGCACCTGAGAAGCTCTCTCAGAAGGTGCTTGCTATCCTTGTGGTCTTCCTTCTCTGGATCTGAAGGTACCATAGACCTCGTGGTTGCAGGATGAGAACCGACTGAGATGGAACTTCCCCAGCACCCGGCTCCTGGCCAGCTCCTCCAAAGGGAGATGCTTTGGATCTAAGCTGTGGCAAGGTAGGCGCCCGTCAAGTCTTCTGCCCCAATGGACAGCTTTGACTGTGACCAAATATCCTCCAGGATAGTTCTGGCCCCTCCTACAAAAGTGTTTGTGGGAGGCTCTGCAAGTAAATCAGGCAAAAGGTTCCTTCTTCTGACAGGCTGACGTAGTGAAGATGAATTCAGATGTCCAAAAATTGACTTTTTAAGTCCAGTTGTTGCTTGCAGAAGAGGCTGGTCTCCCTTCTGCAGAATTAGCACTGTTTAGAAGTGCTAGAAGAGAAAAAAGAAATGCCAGGCCATCTACCTTCAACCCATCAGAATGGAGCTGGAAGGGACCTTGGAGGTCTTCTAGTCCAACCCCCTGCTCAAGCAGGAGATGCTATCGCATTTCCGACAAGTGGCTGTCCAGGCTTTTCTTAGAAAGCTCCAGTGATGAAACACCTGCAATTTCTAGAGGCAGGTGGTTCCACTGGTTAATTGTTCTCACTGTCAGGAAGTTTCTCCTTAGTTCTAGGTTGCTTCTCTCCTTGATTAGTTTCCATCCGTTGCTTCTTGTCCTGCCTTCAGGTGCTGTAGAAGATAGGTGGACCCCCCTCTTCTTTGGGGCAGGCCCTCAAACACTGGAAGACTGGCTATCCTGTCCCCCCACCGGTCCTCCTTTTCTCTCGACTGGCCAGACCCAGTTCCTGCAACCCTCCTTCGTAGGTTGTTGTGCTGAGCTGTTATTTTCTTTCTTGGGGAACCTGGCCTGGAAGCCCCCTCTCCCCGGGACTGCTTGGGAAAGAAGAGGCTGGCAACCACGGGCGTCTTGTCTCCCATCCGGTTTTCCCTCTGGGCGACAGGAGCTCACTTGATGGCACAGCGAGAACATTTCTGGCCACAAAGCTTGACTTCCTCGCAGCCGGCTGTGCTCAACGTTGCTCCTCTCTCCGCAGAAAGCAGGAATTTGAGCTGGCAGACTCGGTGAGGGCCCCAACTTCCTCCAGAGAGCGTCTTTCTGCACCAACCTTGCACGTAAACCTAACAGCCTTTGTGATATCCATCCGGGAACAGCTGAATGGCATTTTTTGGTATCCCCAGTTTATCTTAAGGCTCAAAGTGGTTACATATAAAACGAGAGAAAAATGAAAACCTACTTGTTGTGTCAATTTTCTTAACCAATCCTCTCCCTTTGGCGTGAAAAGCTACTCCAGCAGTCTTCTTCAGCTGTTGCGCAGTTTCTGCCGCTAAAAAAAAAAAAATAACACAAACCTATTTAGTATCCAACTTTAAAAGAAAAAAAAAAAAGGTCACACACTAATTTTAAAGAAAGCTTTTAATGCAGTGTTAAACTTGAGTCTATCCCAGGGGTAGGCAACCTTGGCACTTAGTTTTTTTTTCCACATTACGTTTTTTTTTTTTTACAGTTAACGTAACTTCACACAACACAACAAACACAGCACAACACAACGCAACACACTACTTTCTAGGATGGCCAGATGCAAACGAGGGAGAATTTCTTTACTTACGAAGTTTTGTAAAACAAATAAAAAATTCCTACAGGTGACACAGTTGGTTAAGGAATCCGGCTTCCCCCGCGGACTTTGCTCGTCAGAAGCTCCCAAAAGGGGGATCACCTGACCTCGGGACGCTGCGACCGTCATAAATACGAGTTAGCTGCCAAGGGTTTGAATTTTGACCACGTGACCACGGGGATGCCGCAACGGTCGTTAAGTGTGAAACGCGGTCATAAGTCCCTTTTCTTAATTCCACTGTGACTTCGAACGGTCACTAAGTGAACCGTTGTTAAGTGGGGGGACTGGCTGTGGTTCGAGAGCTTGCCCCTCTTCTCCCCCTCCCCCCCCGGGGGGGTGAGCTACTTACACTTCTGCAGGAGCTCCGCTCGGAGCGTGGCGCTCTTGGGCTTCCGCTTCAGCTGGAAGTGCTTCACGGGGGGCGTGAAGGGGCCAGCCAGGGTGGTCAAGGCGTTCTTGTTCAGGTACTGGCACTCCAAAGGCAACATGGCTGAGGACTCACAATCGCTCACTAGGCAGAGAAACAGAGACTTTGTCAGTCAATTTTTTTTTTTTTTAGATAGAAAACTTGCATTTTTAATTCACAGATTTTTTAGTACATTTCAACTGAAGAAAAGACAGACACACAATGAGTATAGGATTACATATATATAACAATATGCCTTGCTATAATACAACTATGGTTGCATGATAAAAATAACTGATAAAATCCCAACTCATCAGAGGTGCTGTCAAATGGAACATTAAATGCATTTTGAACATAAGCACTAATGTTTAATTTCAACTTATTAAAATTAGATCTTGGCTTAAAAAAAAAAAGTTAAGATTAAGCTATTTAAATAACTGAATAGGATTGGATATAGAAATGCTTTTCTCCAGCTTTCAGAGTGGAGGGGCAGAATATATCTGCAATATATATAGGCTAAAATCCATGTTCTCTAGAAACAAATATTTTCAAAGGAATTGTGTTTGGTAAGCTGCCTTTTGCATGACAGCAAGCAACATGGGATAATCTTATGCAAAAATATTTTTTTCAAACTGTTTAACTGAAAACTATAGGCATGTCATTATAAAAATCTAAATATATCAGAAGCTCTCAACATTTCAGCTACACTGATTTTTTTTCTAAATTGTAAAGGAGAAACAAATGGACAAATAAAAAGAGTAAGTTACCTAAGCTTTGTGTTCTAACCAAACTACTTATAGTTATTTCAATGGCTTATGGCCAAGGTGATACATCACAATTTTGAACACCTTTGCAATAATGTTATTTTGAACCTCTCCAGAAGACAGACAGCAAGAGAGAGGAGTCTGCAAAGCAGGGAGGAAGGGGGGGGGGTGTTTGATGCATGGTGGGAGATGCCTGAAGGACCTGAAAGAAGGTTTGGAGGTGGGTGGGTGGGTGGGTGGGTGGGCAGGCTGCATCGGGTGGGCACTGCCAAGGGGCCGGTTTTCAGGGGGCGAGAGGGACTGGCCGTTGCCCCGGGCTGGCTGGCTGGACTGGGCCCGCTGTAGGGGAAGGCCGGGCTCTAGGGCTGCTGCAGAAACGCCTGGCCTATTGTGGGCATGGCGAGGGGGTGGAGGGGGCTGGAATTAGACTCCAGAAACAGGGAGGCTGGGCTCCCATGGAGCTTGAGATGGGGAGGGGGAGGTGTGGCGGGGTCCCCTGGGGTGACTGTTACAGGAGACCAGGTCCCGGAGCCTCCCTGGACAGCAGGGGCCACCCTCATTTGGCATCCCCTTCCCTCCCAAGAATCACAGGGCCCCAGCCCTGCTGGCCTTTTGCCAACAAATCAGAGACTTTTTCTTTAACTGGGAGACTGGCGGATAAAACATACAAAGAACAGTTGCTGAAATTGGGTATGGCCAGTCTAAAGAAGAGGGGGGACAGGATAGCCAGTGTTCCAGTCTCTCAGGGGCTGCCCCCAAGAAGAAAAGGGAGTCAAGCTCTTCTCCAAAGCGCCTGAAGGCAGGACAAGAAGCAACGGATGGAAACAACCTAGAACTAAGCAGAGAAGCAACCTAGAACTAAGGAGAAACTTCCTGACAGGGAGAACAATTAACCAGTGGAACCACCTGCCTCCAGAAGCGGTGAATGCTCCAACACTGGAAGTTTTTAAGAGACTGGACAGCCATTTGTCCGAAATGGTATAGGGTTACTTGCCTGAGCAGGGGTTGGACTAGATGACCTCCAAGGTCCCTTCCAACTCTGTTTTTCTATTCTATTCTGTTCTGTTCTGTTCTGTTCCATTCCATTCTGTTCTATTCCATTCCATTCCATTCTGCATTCTATTCTATTCTAAACAGGACTGCTGAGAGGGAGAAACGCTTTTCCCTTCCTCTCGAGCAATTCTTGCGCACACTGGGCACAATAAATTCCAGGCACGTGTCCTGCTACGGGAGGGTCTGCCAGCCTCCTGCTCACTCACTCCCTCGTTCCAAACAGGCTCTCTGGCATCCCCTCCATCCCTTGCTCCAGAGGCCGCTGGGGAAGACTGCTGGACTGGGGGAAGCTGTTTGTCCCAGTAGGAGACGCTCTCCGGTAACCCAGCCAAGGTCTGCAGTGGAGAGCCATGCTGGGAGAGCAGCTTTCTCAGCCGGAGGGCCTGTTCCAGAAGCCCCCCTGAAGCTGCCTCCTCAATGGCCGCACCGGAGGGAGGGAGGCAGCTTAAGGCACAGTGGACCGTTCGGGCAGTGGAGGGAATCAGCCAGAGATCAGAGGCCGCTTGCTTCTGCTGCTTTACACGCTGCTGAACAAACCCAATCTGTTCCAAAACTATTTGTAAATGATAAACTCTGTATCTTAGCTTCGGTTTATAGTCCACAGAAATTCCGTCCCAAAGCCATGGTTTGTGTAAAGACAGCTCCACCGCAGCAAGGCGAGGGAAAGAGGCTTACCCTTTTCTCGCAATTCTGCTAAGATATCCTGAACGTTGGGGTTCTGCTCTTCCAGATCCAGGTTAAGGGAGCCAATATCCGGAAAGGATTTTAAGATATCCGCCACCATTAAGACCCAGGGGTCTGGATCCAACGTAGCCAGCTGGATAATTTCAGTCAGGGCACCATTCATCTAGCAAGACAGAGGAGGGGAAAAAAACTAAGAGTGGGACGTTCAAAATAAATCGGAACTTTGTTTCGGAAGCCCTCCAGAACAGACCTCGCCTTGTCCCCCAAGGGGTTGTAAACAAGACCGTGGGCTTTTCATCCACCCCCTCCCACCCACCCACCCCCAGCTCCACCCTGTCCGTCCTCAGCCTCCACGCCGCGGACACGAGGGGCCCTTGCAAAGGAACTTCCTCTGCAGAAGCCCCTGCGCCCCAATGAGGCTTCTCTCTGATGGGATCGCCAACGTTTTTAACCTGTTACTGTCCTATGGGAAAAACAGCTTTATAACGGAGCTGCCGTCTGTCTGTGTTCAAAGTAACGGACCCCGGAGGCTGCATAAAATCCATGAAAGCGCTTGGAGTCCTTTCTGTCTGGCTGCAGGAGCCCAGAGCCCTAACCAGGTCCGTCTTCCATGGTTGGCACCCCCTCCTCGAGGTCCAAGAATTGGATCTGAGAGGTTTTTTTAGTGAATGATGCTCTTTATCTATCTGCCATCAAATGTGATGCGAAGGCTGTGAGAAGGCCAGAAGAGCGAGCGTGTATTCGCTTAAAGGACAGACAGTATAACTTGCAGCTGGTGGAAACCGCCACCTGCAAGTTTCCCAGATCAACAGAACAGGATCACATGAGATATGAAACACTTGAAAACCACCATCGGGCAGTCCCTCACTAGCGTCACCACTGCAATTCATGAAAATGAAATTTAGCTTTTTATAGCTGTCCTGTTTTGGCAGGTAAGCAAGAAAATCCATCTCAAGAGAGGAGGATCAACTGGCCTTCGTCCAACTCTTTGACTGAGGCAAATCAAGGAGGTGGAAGTGATCCAAATCCTTAGGAGAGATCTGCTCCTCCTGGACAAATGCTTGTTACGGTGTAATAATTATTAGGTTTAGCTACCTGCCAAACGTCATTTTTATTCCCGTATTTTACTGATTTTTTCCCCAATTCATATGGATAAATGCATATTCAGCATCTATTTAATCCAGGGGTAGGCCACCTTGGCTCTTTTATGACTCGTGGACTTCAACTCCCAGAATTCCTGAGCCAGCCATGTTGAGGGGAAAGGGAGAGGTTTCCATGCTGAGCCATGCTGGCTCAGGAATTCTGGGAGTTGAAGTCCACGAGTCATGAGAGGGGCCATAGTTCCCCCATGCTGGCTTAGGAATTCTGGGAGCTGAAGTCCACCAGTCATAAAAGAGCCAAGGTGGCCTACCCCTGTCCTATACCATATATACCCTATACCAGGGGTAGGCCACCTTGGCTCTTTTATGACTGGTGGACTCCAACTCCCAGAATTCCTGAGCAAGCCATGCTGAGGGGAAAGGGAGAGGTTTCCATACTGAGCCAGGCTGGCTGAGGAATTCTGGGAATTAAAGTCCATGAGTCATGAGAGGGCCATAGTTCCCCCATGCTGGCTCAGGAATTCTGGGAGTTGAAGTCCACCAGTCATAAAAGGGCTAAGGTTGCCTACCCCTGGTTTAATCTATCCTTTCAAACAAGTTTTATTCTTTAACTATCTTCCGCCTCTTCCTTTATCTCTCCCAAGTTATCATTTATCTTCCAGTACATACTTTGGAGAAAGCAGCAGGGGGATCTACCATGGTAATCAAAACTATCTTCTTTTTTTTTTAAGAGAATGAAGCAACTGCCAAGGCACAAATTAAAAAGCTGCTTTTCCCAAAACAACTGAAGGTGAAACAGATTACGTGCTTTCTCCACTTTGGCTACAAATACAGTTGACAATAATGTCACAACACCAAGAAGGAAAATGTAAACAAGGTCCAGTTGAGAATAGAGTTCATTCTAGAATATTTTACAATCCCACAGAAAAGTAAAGAACACAATATTTCAATTTCTACTCTTAGAGCAGTCCAACCTCATCTCGTAGGACAGAAGTAGTTGAGTAGTTGGAAATAAAACCCACACCATCACAATGAAATTTTTTATCTGAGCCGAATCTCTTTTTAAACATAAACAATACAGAATTTGGCGGAGCCTTCACACAAAACTCTACAAATAGCTTGTTATTTGGCTAGAGGTGACAATGAACACTTAACAGGAAGTACGAAAATAACATTACTGTCTTTTACAATGAATAATTTGAATAATTATTATTCAAATAATAATTTGAAAAGGAAGATGTTCTTACTTATTTACTGTACAGCATGGCGTAATCAGTAAGTTTATATAATTGTAGCGTAATGGATAATTATTTTCCAGTTTGCAGTTGCAATTAAGATTATTCAGTTATTTCCTTCCCATTTCCCAAAATTTGCAGAAAAAAATTTGTTGCTCCAGAATTTTAAACGTCTATGGAGATTCTCCATTATCTACATCACGGTTGTCCCAAAGATGCTTTTCCAAAAGGCAACTGGACTTTCTTGGGTTTTTCTTTGAAAACATTTCGCCTCTCACCCAAGAAGCTTCTTCAGTTCTATTCAGTTCTTCAGTTCTGAAAAACGAAATGTTTTCAAAGGGAAAAAAAAACAAAGTCCACTTGCCTTTTGAAAAATCACCTTTGGGATTCCTGAATTTTAGTTACTACCTTAAGAAACCATTCATATAATCTGAATATGCGATGAATATACAGCCTCTCCCAATTTGGTTTCAAGGTTCTAAGCTTCACAATATTGGCTGCCAACAAAATATGATTAGTCTATAATTTTATTCATCTGATATATAAAGCGTCTCATACTGTACACCACCCTGGGCAGCTTTCAATAAAAGATATAAAAAACAAGTAACACACACAATGTAAAACTCACAGCTGTTGAGCATCATAAAATAATCATCAACAAAGCCAAGAGACGGGCTGCGTCACCTTTCCGTGGCCTGGCAGAAACCCAATTTTCAGGGCCTCGCAAAAGACTGGCAGATCCGGAGCTGACCTAATCACGGAGGGAATTAAGTTATTAGGACACCCTGCGGGCGAGATTTAAGCAGGCTGGTCAGAAATTCTGGGCCTTCTATTCAAAGACATCCAGCACATGCCGCCTCTGGAGTGGGTTATAGCGAGGACCCCCTGAAGGAGTCCAGCTTATATTCTGATAAAATGGGAGTGATACATGGGAATACATCTCATCACCCAACTAGGTAACATCATCAGTGAGACCGGCTGCGGGGTTTGGTCCTGGTAGCTTGCTCTGCCAGTGTCGGTGGGCGTGGGCCTTTCTCCTTGGCAGTTCCTCGATTAGGATATTGTTTCCTGCTTGGCCGCCCGTCTGGCGTCAATCCCTGCTTATCTGGCTGCCGGCGCGGGAGTGTTCCGGTTTTTATGTTCCTTAGTGGTTGCTTTTTTAATTGGCTATTTTGAATAGTGCATAAATGTGGTTTATCTGTACGTGCCGATTGATGGTGATGCGTCCGAGTGCCAGGGTTCCAGGAATCCTCTGGCTTTTGGGACTTGGCTTGGTCTAGGACAGGGGTAGGCAACCTCGGCTTTTTTATTATGGTGAAGGTGTCCCCTACATAACGGACCCAGAGCGTCGGTTACATTTCTGGGAGCGCCACAGTTTCTAGTCCAACGTTTCTCAACCTTGGCAACTTTAAGAGGCCCAAACTTCAACTCCTAGAATTCTTGCCAAGTTCCTCTAAGTATCTGCTACTCTTAGGGGGCCACCTTTATCCTTCTTGGGGTCTTCCCACACACCTGGACAACAGCCGACGCCCTGCCTTCCTAGGAGACCTCCCTATCCTCACTTTCTTTAGTGAGCGCTATTCTGCATTCTTAGAAGCTGGCTTGCAGTCTTTCCCCCGATCCGTCAGCGAGGGAGACAAGATTTCAAGCGTAATGTATGTAAAAAGCATAATTCCAAGGGAGAAAATATACAGTACACGTCTACCTTGAGGTTCCTACCCCTAGCAGGGCATGAGGATGGTTTGCTTCTCCTTCTGCTAAACCAGGGGTTCTCAACCTTGGCAACTTTTAAGACTTGTGGACTTCAACTTCCATAATTCCTCAGCCAGCTTTGCTGGCTGAGGAATTCTGGGAATTGAAGTCCACAAGTCTTAAAGTTGCCAAGGTTGAGAACCCCTGTGCTAAACCCTCACTCCACGCCTCTTAGCTCTCCTTTTCCCTCCCTGCCCGGCCTTTTGCCAAAGAATGCAGTTTGAGCTACCTTGGGAATGTGGCTTGTGCACCGGATGAATCAGCTGCCCTTGCGTAAAGCCCCTCCTGCTACACACACCATGTGGCTCAGCAAACATCTTCCCTGGGGAAAAGTCACACAATTCTTCTCAGTCAAGCCTAACAGCCCTTCCCCAGAGCCAGAAGACCAGCTCCACAGCTCCTTCAGATCACGAGAACGGAACTCCCTTCCTTTGCCTACATGTCAGATTCCCATTTGGAAAGGAAAGCGCTCACTGGGACTCTTATCTTTAATCTTTCCGCTAGTAAAACTTACTACTCTGAGCTCAGAAAGTTTGGTTCCCTGGGCCGATGGTTTCCAGGCCAGGTTTGTGCCAGAAAAGTTGGACACAAAGTGCATCTACTGATCTGCAACTCATCAGGTAGGAAAGAAACAAGGTATTCTCAATATTTTTTTCAAGAGTCACTTAGCTGAACTTGCCATGTTTATATTCTACATTCCCTCTGTGGAATTCTGGATGATAAACAATGGAGGCTACAACAGAATTCCCAGGCACATACTCCTCCACCAAGTGTCCCAAGGGCATCTAGACTAGCCTCCCCTAACCCAGGCCCCATCAAGAGCAATACTGCAGATAACTACCCTCATTTTCCCAAACCAGCACATCAATTATCACGAAGACTCGGACTGTGATGCCAACAAATACAAATGATTTTAAGGAGGCAGTTTTAAGCCTGGGGCGGTCTTATTAATCTGCCTAAGGTCCAAAGCAGGGATGGATGCTGAAACAGGAGAAAGAAGTAGACAAGATCGATTGCTAACAAATGGTTTTTCTGGAAGGCAAAGTAAAAGTGAAGGGCTGTATGACCACCCAGGCGTATCCCTATCACTTCTGTGCCAACAGTTCCAAAGTGGTTTGCCAGCAGAGATGTGCGGAATTTATCTGGCCGTCTTGTTCCAGGCTGAGTAAACACAAAGGGGCAAGTTGCAGCTGGTGCACCTGTGGCCGGCAAAGCCAAAGGTAGGAGGAACGCTGCTTTTGGCAGACTCACACATGCGTGGAAATACACAAAGACGTGATATCGTTTTGCCACCCAGGTGCAGCTAACCAGGAATCCAGTCCAGAGCCACAGCTAAGGGAGCCCAGGTGGGGCTGCTGCTAGAAGGCCAGCGCAGCACCACTTCAAAAGAGGGCGAGGCAGAGAGGCAAGCGGGACTGGTGACACTCCGGTACAGGCCGTCCTCGACTTACGACCACAAGCGAGCCCAAAATTACTGTTGCTAAGTGAGACATTTGTGAAGTGAATTTTGCCCCATTTTATGACCTTTCCTGCCACACTTGTTGAGTGAATCACTGCAATTGTTAGCAACGCAGTTAAGTGAATCTGGCTTCCCCCACTGACTTTGCTTGCCAGAAGGTCACAAAAGCAGATCACGTGAAACACACACACGCACACACCAGACACGGCAACCTTCATAAACGTGAGCCAGTTGCCAAGCATCTGAATTTTGATCACGTGACCAGGGGGATGCCGCAACGGTCTGTAAAGTGTGAAAAATAGTCTTAAGTCACTTTTTCCAGTGCCGTTGTAACTTGGAACAGGCGCTAAATGAACCGCTTGAAGTTGAGAACTACCAGTAGCCAACTGACAGAGAGTTTCCTAGTCTGGCCTGGGCTGCACCACTGAGGATGGCAGGAGGTGAGGATGCGGGAAGGGAAGACCGACAGCAGAGAGGGCCTCCAGCAGAGGCCCGGGGGGGTGTGTGTGTGTGTGTGTGTGTCTCCAGAGGCCACTTCAAGTAGCCCAGCCACGGGGGGGGGGGGTGTCTAATCGGGGGGGCACCGACGTCTTTTGGGCTGCCGGAGGAATACAGCGGGTCTCCTTGGTTTTGCTCTCTGAAGCTGCTTCCCCATCTCGGAAATGGACGTCCTGCCAGGATCCGGACTCTCCTCCGCCGAGTCCTTGCGATTCCCAGCACTGAGCCAGTCGCCTGGGCCCGCAGATCTCGGGCTCCTCAGCCAGGCAGCCGGATGGATCGCAGCCCTCCAGGGTCTCCGAGAGGTCCCGTGGGCTGACATCGGCACCGTCTGTAGCGGCCCGACAGAAAGATTTCTTTCTGCGGCGGTCACCGAGGAGAGTGCAGGGATGGCAAAATATTCATTCGAGTTCAGCAGGTGTGACTGAAGCCGCAGCAAGATACAAAAGTTTTGCCAGCCCCTTTTCTGCGCCCGTGCAATTTTATCCTGGGGTGATTTCTCAGCATCCTGGTCTAACTGTACAGCCCTTGGGCATTTCCTAGTGGCCTCCCCTCTACGAGGCCCTGGGGTCCAGCCCTCAGGAGCGTCTCCAAAATCAAGGGAAATAGGCATGGCCCCCACCGGCTGCACCCGGCAGGTTCCCTGCTCAAAGCTTCCTCCTCTGCAGAGGGAATCATCCCACAAACCGAGGGCGTTTATATGGGCAGTCCTCGACTTAGGACCAGAACCAAGCCCAAACTTTCTGTTGCTAAGCGAGACAGTTGTGGAGTGAACTTTGCCCCACCGTATGACTTTTCTTGCCAGGGTCGTTATGTCGTTATGCGAATCGCTGCGGTTAATAACCAGGTTGTTCAGTTTATCAGGCTCCCCCGCTGACTTGGCTGGTCAGAAGGTGGCCAGGAGGGGAGGGAGGGACCCCCGGGACGCCGCGACCCTCCTCACAAACCCGGGTCGGTGGCCAAGGGCCTGGGCCTTTGATCACGTGACCGTCACGCGGGCGCCGCCGGGGCCGTTAAGGGTGGGCAACGGTCCCCGGCCCTTCCTCTCGGCACCGTCCCAACTTCCCACGGTCACTAAGCGGACGGTCGTAAGCCGAGGACTCCTAGCGTACATCCTCCGCCCCAGACCCCAAAGCGGAGGGTCCGGGGCCAGGCCGCCGCCCAACCGGGAAGGCTGGGCCGAACGTCCCCCCCATCTGAGGCCACGGCCGGGGGGGGGAACCCCTCGGCCCCCCAAGGAAAGGTGAAGCCCCGCGGGGGGGGTCGACGGGTGACCTTGCCGGGCCCCTCCCCCCCCAACGGCCACCCGCAACGGCCCTCCCCACCCCCGGCGGCGGCGGAGGGGGGGGGTCGGAGGGGGGTCTGGGGCGGCCCCGCCCGGCGGCCTCACCTCGTCGACGGCGCGGCGGGGCAGGTGGAGGATGCCCAGGAGCAGCTTGAGCTTGACGGGCGAGGAGAGGCCGTGGAAGCAGAGGCGGATGTTGTCGATGACCGAGGCGGTGAGCAGCGAGGCGATGCTCGGCGGCGCCCACAGCTCGTCGGCCGAGCCCAGCTTGTTGTGCAGCCACAGGCCGGTGTCGCTCTCCCGCATCGACGCCATCTTGGGGCCCAGCCGAGGCGCGCGGCCGGCATTTCACGAAGACACCTAAAAGAGCGGGCGGAGGGGGGACGAGCGAGCGAGCGAGCGAGGCCCCGGCCCTCCAGGGGAGGACGCCTCCCTCCCAGCCTCCCTCCCTTCGCACCGCCGTCCGTAACACAAGATGGCGGCGCGCGGGAGGGCCGGCGGGAAATGGCCGCGGAGGGGAGGGAGGGGCGAAGGCGTCGCGCGCGCGTTTGTCGTACGTCAAGATGGCGGACCCCGCTTCGTCCGTCTTCTCCTCAGCGGTCGCTACTCGGCCAAAGCGGCTCCTGCGGGGATGCAGACGAGGCGGGTTCGCGGAAGGACTGAGCTGGGGAACGAGGAGGCGGGAGGGTCGCTTATTCGCCGAAAGAGACTCGCCGTGTGTCTGTCTGGAGGGAAATGGCGTCGCTTCTCGGCTTGGCCTGCCACCATCGCGGCTTTGCATCGCTTCTCTGAGGGCAGGCCGGCAGGAGGAGAGCGCCCAGGAGAAGGGAAGCAGCCAGCGAAGTCTCCCCAAGGCCAGCCACGGCCCCCTTCGGGATGAAGGCCTGTGGAAGCACCGCCATCACCGCCCTCCTCTTCCTCCTCCTCATCCTGGGAGGAAGGAGGAGTTGGGAGCAGGAAAACAGGAGGAATCGGGGATTAGATGGGGGGTGGAAGGGACGCCAAACTTTTAAGACTTGGGTTCCCCAGCCAGCCAACTTTACAAAAACTATCATGGGATGGTGCAGTCTGAATCTGTCACACTTCCTGACTTCCAGCAATCGGGTGATTGAAAAATCTGCAGAAGAATAAAATAACACAGGTGGTCCTCAACTTAGTGACAGTTCGTTTAGTGGCCGTTCAAAGTTACAACGGCACTGAAAAATGTCACAACAGTTTATCATAGTTATGACCTTTGCAGCATCCCCATGGTCACGTGATCAAAATCCGGATGCTTGGCATCTGACCCGTATTTATGACGGTTGCAGTGTCCCTGGGGAGTCACGTGATCCCCTTTTGCAACCTTCTGACAAACAAAGTCACTGGGGAAGCCAGATCCACTTAACAACTAGATTAATAACTTATCAACTGCAGTGATTCACTTAGCAACTGTAGCAAGAAAAGTTGTAACATGGGGTAAAACCCACTTAACAACTGTCTCAACAACAGAAATGTTGGGCTCAGTTGTGGGCATAAGTCAGGGACTACCTATCTAGTGATTAAAACAAAGAATAAAAGATGACACAAACCGGACAACAAGCAACGCTAACAACCCACAGTGCCAGAAGGGGCCCTTGTCAAAGGCCCGGGGGAAGAGGCAGGTTGTCAAGCTCTCCAGAGTACAGCACAGAGAGAGGGAGAGAGAGAGAGACATCTCGGGAGGGCAGGTGCTGCCAAAGGGAAGGGGTGTTTCTGCGGTCTTATTGAAAGATGACGCTCAATTGAAGGAACCCAGACACGCCAACCTTGCCAGATCAAAATAGTTAGGCAGCTCCTATGGGAAACAGGCAGTCCTCAACTAACCGGGCCCTATGCCATCTACGGCTTTATGGGTAATAATCCCACCTTAAATTAAACCAGGAAGCAATCTGGCAGCCAGCACAGTTCGAAGAGCAGGCATGGGCCTAAGAAAGCAAGCCCATCGCCCCCCGCAGTGCTGGATTCTGGACCAGTTCAAGCTTCCAGATGCAGCAAGTCCGGATGCTAATTCTGGCCCCGTATCTATTATGGCAATGTGATTGCATGACCTCATCTGCAAGAATGAAGCATACATGCCTGCTTGCTGGTCCTTATCTGCCTCTTCATGTCGGGAAATCACATTCAAAAGAATAAAAAAAAATTAGAATTTGTAGGTCCAAAATCCACAGTGAGAACTTTTAGACTCCTCCAGTCATTCTGTCATCAAGTGGCTATTGTTTTGAAAAGGATATCTTACGATAATTTCACTGAAAAACAGGTGAATTGGAATTTAGTTGGAGCTGTAATGGAGTTTAAAAAAGGATACTTATCACGTCATGTGACATTTTAATCAGGCCAAGAATGTCTCATTGAACTAAGCTAATCTCCAATGTGAGCTATAGGTAACTCCTCATGTCTTCCTTTCCCCATCAGTAACAATACTCAATTTCCTTTGCATCTGAAGAAGGGATCTCTCGCAGAGGTGTATGTATCGTGCACATGTTCATGTTTCCCGTGCCACAATTTTATTTTATGCTGTGCACTAAAAGACTTGGGAACGTCCTAAAAGCTGTGCCTTTCCTGCCACAACGGGGAAAGCAAGGCCATTGTTTCATGAGTCTGGGGCTCGGCATGGTTGCCATGGCAGATCCTTTGAGAAAGGATAAAGAGCAGCTGTGCGCCTGCTCCGAGGCAGCACCGCACATCTTGCGCTAACCAGCCGCGGCAGCCATTCAAAGCAGCCACTGCAAAGACAAGGGAGAGAGAGAGAGAGCAGGTATTTCTATCTTTGCTTTGTTGGAATTTCCTGAGGGACGATCTAGATGCAAAGCAGCCGTGCCCTGCATTACGGCCACTGGTCGTCTGCCCGACTGGGGTGCACGGTTTGCACCCCATACAGCAGCCACCAGACCCTGGGTGGAGAACAGATGATTTCTCCAGCCCCTTTCTGGACCAGAGGCTGTTCTGAGCAATGGCCTGGGGGTGGGGGTGGGGGGGATAAGGCAGGACTTTGGTTTGGGGAAAGAGAAGTCCTGATGTCGCTTGAGCCAGAAGGAAGCTTCTGGCAGCTGTCAGAAGGAGATGGGGGACTTTCCGCTTCCATGGTTACTACAAGGGCAGAAATGTATCTGGTCCAACCTTTTTAAGTGGATTTAAAAACATTCTGATCGCCACATCGGAATACGGGGTTCACATGTGGATAATATGGAGGAAATGGAAAGATGGGTGTTAAGACCTTTTATTTTTCAGCAGAAAACGGTTTTGCTTTTATTGAAGCTTTGGTAAACACACCTGCTATGGGATCGAGGGCAAAAGATGTTTTGTTCAGGTATCATGATTTTGATTGACTTTTGAGAGACAAAATAGTGTCCCCCCTTGGTTATTTAGCCTGCATTCTTACGTAATTTCTTTAGTTCACTGCATACAAACATCCTGACTCTTCCTAGCAATGCTTCATGGTTTATGACTATGAAACCCCACAGCTACGTAATCTCCCTTCCTTACTGGGATCAAGAACAGTTGCTTGATCGTATCTAAAAGCTTGCAATTATGGGATTGATGTCACATTATCTTGAGAACATCATAAGATGTCACAGCATCCTGCTGAAATTCTGGGGTTAGATGGCTTGATGTATATCGTTACTCCCCTGGTATTTTTACTCTGCTCACTGTTGCAGCCTATTCTAAAGTTGTAGAACCAAATAAGAGATCAACATAAATGATGATGTTGACCAGAAATACTTTGCAATAGAGGTTCTGCTTTCTGGCCCATCTCTTTCGAGCCAAGACCAGCTTTGGGGTTGAGGCGTGGTTTTTGTCTCTGTGTGGGAAGTTACACAGCACGGACTAGAAAATAAGTAAGGATCAGGAGCTTTCTTGAGGGTATGGAGGATAGAAAAGGTGAAGAAGGCAGCTTCAGCTGCACCTTCCCAGCCCTACCTCTGGTCCCCTTTGTCTCACATGTGATAGACATAAAACTGAGGCAGACCTTCGATACTGCAGGCACGGTGGCCATCTTGACTTTTTTGACCACGTCGCTGTGGATGTTCCTGAGACACTGCTGGTCTTAGAAGGACCTGGAGCATTACAACTTAAAATTATCCCTTCCCTTGCCAGTCACATCCGTATATATGTAGAGAGAGTGTAAAAGAGACATTACAGTCCTAAGGAAAGTACTTCGCCATTTTTCTTTTAAGAAACCTCTTGGTGTTATTACTTCTTACTTCTGTTGTTACTACTTACTTTTATTTAATAACATTATTGTTGTTACTTCTGTTTCTACCAATTGCACAGATTTCATGAGAAAAGGTGTAGCTAAAGATGACAACTTAATTAGTTGTGTCAGATAGCAAGAATGTGATATTGATTTATGAATTTTTAATTTTGTAGTTCTGACTCATGTGGATTGCTGAAGGGAAAAAAACCACATTCAGCCAAACTATGTACTTCAAAAGGTCTCTGTTGTCCATAACCTTTCCTATTTTCTCCTGGGAAGGAGGAAGGCTTCACTAGCAGGATGCTCGCAGTTTGCACGAAGAAGATGATACTTTTGGCTCCTTTACTCCTGATGATGGGGCTGATTTCTACAAAGGCCGCTACGGCTGAGGAAGAATCGGGAACAGCGATTCCTGCTGAAAGTAAGTGTCAGCTGGCTGTCGGGAGCCAGGCGGTGTGTAGCGGCCCTGCCGGTTCCCCACCGACGTCCAGATGCCGACCCGACTCCCAGCTGACTGTCGGGAGTCGGGCGGTGCTCATGGCCCCATGCAGATGTCGGCCAGCTGCTGGCTGCGTCCTCCCCATCTCCCGGCTCATGGCAAGGCCAGGGTCTTGATAGTAAGCATTAAATTTCCTCTGTCCTCTCAAATCAACACCTCGGCAGGTATACCTGTATGCGGTTCTGAGGTTATTTATGCACACACAAACCTTCTGGGTGGGACTGAAATCTTTGATCTCCAGGTGGATCACAAAGGGCAGTTGCCTTGCGCGCAATATAATTTTGTTCGGCTGCAAAAGATGAAACCAGCACTTTTCAACCCAAAATCACATCCAGCAGTATGTGTCCCTCTCGGATAGGCTCCTTGCAACTGTGTTTATTGTACACATACTTTTCTATATAGTTGTGATTTGGTGTGTGTGTGCTCTGGACTAATACACCTACAAGATTTTTAGTTGCATTCTAAAAGTATGGTTTTGCTAGTTTAGTATCATAATAAACTACATAGTATACTGTATATGCTGTATATACATATATGTATGTTTTGGGAAGCATGAATTGAATATGTTCACATTATAATACGGCCCAACCAAATTCCTACAGTTACTCCTTGCCTTACAAGCAGGATTGAGCCAAAAATTTCTGTTACTAAGTAAAACAGTTTCTCAGTGAGTTTTGCCCTATTTTATGAACTTTCTTGCCAAAGTCGTTAAGCTAATCATTGCAGTTGTTAAGTTAGTAACAGAGTTGTGAAGAGAATTGGGTTTTTCCCTATGACTTTGCCTGTCTGAAAGTCACAAAAGGTAACCACGTGACCCTGGGACACTGCAACCGTCATAAGTACATGCCAGTTGCCAAGCAGGTGACAACGGGGATGCTGCAACGGTCATAAACATGAAAAACGGTCCTAAGTCGCTTTCCTGAGTGCCGTTGTAACTTTGAATGGTCACTAAATGAACTGTTATAAGTCAAGGACTTGAATCAGAGTCAGCAGAGGGCAAAGGAAAGCTCGCTTGTGCCACTTTGGAAACTTACTTGTGCTCTGCAGAGCAGTGTTTCTGAAGCTCGGCAGTTTTAAGGTGTGTGGACATCGATTCCCAGAGTTCCCTGGCCTTGTTGGCTAGGGAGTTCTGGGAATTGAAATCTGCACCTTGTAAAATTGCCGCGTTAGAGGAAGACCAGTCTGCCTCCTGAAACATCAGACGGTGTTCACTAAAGCTCAAACTGGAGGCCATCCCTGGTTAAAGCGTTTTTAGCGCAAGGCATCTACTTGTGTTAATTTTTAGCCAATGTTACTTCCTATCCTTCTAAGCACCCTCGATCAAAGGAAAGATGTAAATTAGCCTTCCAAGGTTTTGCTGTTATAAATTTGGAAGCTAATTAAATATATGCATTGAATTTTTTTTCATTACAACTTTTTAAATCTCTCGGGAAAGCCAAAGAAGAATGCTCCAGGTTCTTGGCATGATTTTTCTGCTTCATAGTTTTTTGTTTTTGTTTTAATTAATGCAATGATTATGGATTGCCACCAGAGGCACTAATTTGATTGCGAGCCACTTCCAGCACAATTTAAAAATATTTTGATTAGTATAATGCACCATCAAAGAAATATTGTACCATCTGTGAATTATTTCTATAATTATTTCCTGATGACATGCTCAGGTGGATTGACAGGCAGTTTTATGGCATAAAAAGCAGAGTCACAAATTCAGAATCCAAATTGAAAGACTCTTAGGAAAGCGGGTATCGTAGAAGAAAGAATGTTGCATAATATGTTTGAAATTGTAGCAAAACATTCTTTCATTCCTGTTTAATTTCTTGCTTGATAAAATAATAAAAGGTTGGAACTTGTGGGCAATTGTTCACCGAAATGTATTCATCCAAGATGCCTTTCCCATCAGGAATCAAGTCCCTCATTTACAGTATGTAAGTCTCCATCTTCCCGTTCTTTTTCCCGGCCATATTTATCCCCCCCCCCCAAAAAAGCTAACTTTTTTAGGCTTTTCTGTCTAGTAGAGATGCATGCTTATTCTGGTCTTCTCCAGGCATTGTATAGCTTTCCCTCTTTTTGATAGTCTCTGTCTCCAAATGGCTGTAATATTTAACTTTGCAGAAATATGTTTACCGGTTTTATTCTTTAGCTTTGATTGTGATGTTTTATGGGAACTTTTAAAACAAAAATTCTACCAAAGATACTGTAATTCTTTTCACATATTAAGCCAAAGACTCTTTCCAGAATTTGGGAGAAACAGCTTTTGGGCACTGCACAGACAGGGAAGTTAAAGAGAACTGCATTGGTGCTGCTTCTGGCAATGTGGCCCTGGCTGCCAAGTGCAAGTTCCAACCAAGAGGTCTCTTCTGAGCCTCTCCAGCCTTTTTGAGGGGGGTCTTAACCCTTTGGAGAATGAAAGTGAACCATAACATAAAGATGGGGAAATTGTGGTCCAGGGATGAGTTCATTTGCTCTTTCCAAAGCCTTTTTCTGCCTCATCTCTTCTGACCTCCAACTTTCCTGGGTGCAGAAAAAGGATTGGAAAAGTCCCTCCCTCCCTCTCCTTCCTTCCTTCCTCCCTCCCTCCATTTTCCTTCCTTCCTTCCTTCCTTCCTTCCTTCCTTCCTTCCTTCCTTCCTTCCTTCCTTCCTTCCTTCCTTTAGAAGAAAACATGATCTTCTTGTCAGAACGAAGGCTGGAGCCTCGTTCCACCTTCTTCTGATTCAGAGATGGGCACAATACTGCCCCCTTGAAAGCCGATGGACTGACTTCCTGTGCTTGCCGTAGACGCTTGCATGTGTTCTGTAATATTTCATGTTCTTGAAGTGTCCCTATTAAAATCCCCTTCCAGGTCGACCGTGCGTGGACTGCCATGCCTTTGAATTCATGCAGAGGGCTTTGCAAGATTTAAAGAAGACGGCGTACAACTTAGATTCCCGAGTATGACATTTATTTTTTTAATTCATTTACCACCCATCTTGTTTCGAAGTGACGAAGGGAGCAAGCCATATATTTTTGCAGCCTCTGTGTAGTTCAGTAGGTGTGAATGGTCGCACAGAGCTGTTTCTGAAGGGAGAGCTCACCCTCTGCTGGGAAAACATTTGCTTGTGTCCGATTATAGCCGGCTGAGAGGTTAGGGAGACTGAGGAGGGGCCTGCGATGAAATGGGGAGGGGTCTCCCAATGTGTCACAGAGTTCCCTCTTGATTCACCCCCCCCCGTCCCTTCCCTGCCTCATGACTATCAGCCTGGCAACTTGAAAGCCGATTCAGGCCCCCATACTGGGCATGACTTGGCCAATCCCCCCCCCCCTTGGATTCTGTCATTCTTGTTGGCCGGTGATGTCGTGGGACGGAATCTGCCGATCATCGTCCTTAAATTGTCCCACCCATTAGAGTCACAAGGACACCGGGAAGCTCCCTCGCTGGCACTTGACCCTCCTTCCCTTCCCACTCAGGGTCTAGAGGAGGGCCCACGGACGTGGCCATTGGGCTGTGGTCTTGTGTGGTTCCTGATTATTCAGAAGAGCAACACTCTCGGCCTCTCTGGATACTTTCAAATAAAACTGGACAGCCGAAGGGCCCAGGGGTTCTTCTAAGTCAGTGATTAGAAGAAGACTGGCGGGAGGGACGCTTAGCTTTTTAAGCACCTTCCCACCCCAAGAGGAAGATAGCAATGAGTTGGTAGTTCTGCTGCATTGTTAGATAACCATCGTTAAAATAAGGACAAGCCACATTTTTGTGTTGTAAGATTTGTCTTAAACCAAGCATAAATCAGAATTTGAAAATCATGTTCCGTGCCATTTTTTTTGTTGTTCATCTCAGTCTTTTATTTCTTTTTTTTATTGTAAATATTTATTAAGTTTTTAAAATTTTACAAAAACAAAACAACCCATCCCCAAACTGCCCCAACCCTCCCATTCCCTCCCCCGACCTTCCCAGAGCTAAACATAGGCTTAATTAAAATTTCTTCAAATAATCTAAAAAAAATATAAACCATGAATAAATCTAAATATTGAATACATTAATTAAACAAACTATAAGATAATTAACAATAATATATATATATATATAAAAAACATAAATACCAGAAAAATAATACTTGAGAAAAAAAAACTAAAGAAAAAGAAAAAAGAGAAAGATAAAAGAAAGTATAAAAGAAAAGAAAAGGGATAAAATCTATAAAATATTTTAAATTTTAAATATAAGTTATTGAAAAACTAAATAGTATTTTTTAATATCCAACTTATATTGTATAAAATCTATCCATTTTTTCCATACGGCAAAATACTTCTCCTGCGATTGATCCTTCAAGAAAGCCGAAATCTTTGCCATTTCCGCCAGATAAGAAACTTTAAAAATCCACCCTTGCAAAGTAGGCAAAGATTCCTTCTTCCAACATTGCCCTACTAACAGCCTTGCGGCTGTAATTAAATTTAACATCAATGTGATCTCTTTAATATCACAATCAGTAACAATACCTAATAAAAACAATTGTGGGGTAAATTTTACCCTCCTTCTAAAAATTCTTTGAATATTCCACCATATCTTAATCCAAAAGGCTTTTATATTTTTACACGACCACCATTTATTTACTTTGCATTTGTAACAAGGAGAGACTGTGATGAGAAATTGACTAACCTGCTTTGTCCCCTGCTGCCTCTCCCCCCCCCCCCCGCGCTTCCTGCAGACGGAGACCTTGCTTTTCAAAGTGGAGAAGAGAAGCTTATGCGACTGTTTAGCCGCCAATGGCCTGAACTGAGTCCTGGAGGGGCCCCTTCCTCAGAGGACCTTCCGCGGCGCTTCTCAAACGGCTGTTAGGAAAGTAAATAACGCCAGCATGTGAATCCGGCGGCTTCTGAAATTAAGGGCAGAACGTTGGTATGAGAGTGTCGTGCCTGAATTCAGAGTGTTTTTGTCTTCGTGTCCACCCTCAGGAGCTGCAAGGTAATTCCCAGAGAAATGGGGAAAAAATGGGAGGGACAATGATGGACTTTTGCAAAACATGAAAAGCTTTGTCGTCAGAAGCCTTCTTTTTCAATATTATAACCCTCCCTCCCCTGCCATTAAAGTTAAAATTAAAGAGTGAAGACCCTAACAAGGATTCTAGGGAGCTTTTGTTGGGATGCTTCTTCTCCTGAGTGCTTCTAGAAGGAATTGGACGTTTATACCAAATAATGTGTACAAGGCAGACTTTGATCGTAGGCAAAATATGATTTTGATAGTGTGCAAAAGATGTAAAATGAAACAGAATCAAGTTGGGGGCCGAGTCATTAAACAATTTAATTAAGAATATTCATTAACTGAACAGTTCATGGGGAAGAGTTTCAGAAATGATCAGTCATGAGATCGAACGTCTCCTTGACGTGAAGGAAGAAGGTTTCGCTGAGGTAAAAATCCTAAATTGGGTAGGCAACCTTAGCTCTTTTATGACTTGTGGACTTCAACTCCCAGAATTCCTCAGCCAGCAAAGCTGGCTGAGGAATTCTGGGAGTTGAAGTCCACAAGTCATAAAAGAGCCAAGGTTGCCTACCCGTCCTAGATGCTCCTGAACGAGGCTCTGAAGGTGGCCCATTTTTATCTTTTCCTCACAGATCAGCGGGAGTGCCTCTCTCTCCATGCCCTCTTCTTCCTGCAGTGGATGCCCTGAGTAATTTGTAATTCATCCGTTATCTCTTAACCATTTTAGCTGAACACTGTTCTTCCATTATCAGTGTATCGTAGACATTATCTGTGCATCGTTTCTTTTCGAAGAAATGGGTTTTTGTGAGTGTGTGTGTGTGTGTGTGTGTGTGTATAAATGTACAAATGCTCTAGTACTGGGGAAATATACTTTTTGAAATAAAGTTCTGAGATCCTGACCTTGGATTGCTATATTCCAATTCATAGGGGGTTTTTTTTAGAACCATAGATATTTTATGAATTCTTAATATTTCTACGGTAATGTTTATTGACCTGATTCTGGCATTAGCAATCTTTTCAGACTGTGCTTCGCTCTTCTATTATTACTACAGTATTCTCAAAAGACACAACTTCAGGTGAATGTCCACTTTAACTTATGAAGGTTAAAAAATAGTATGCGGCTGATTGCCGAAAAAGCTTGAAAGCATGCCATAAATGAAAGTTGCATTTCAGAAATTAGATTTCAGGTACCCTAGCGCTACTCCATCAGGTCTGCAAAGATCCTGGGATCCAAATACCACTATTTTATTTTGGCCACCAATCCAGATATAGCTTTCCTAATCTTTTTTATTTATTTTTAATCCTCTGTAATAATCTGCATTTGCTTGTATCTGCAATATAAAATTCCCATTTTCATGAGGAACTGGAAAGAGGCTGTGGGGCTCTATACAACGGCATTCTGTTTTTAGAAATAGAGAGGAAAGATTAAATACTTGGATAATTATGGCTTCTGTGCAAGAAGGGGGGGGGGAAACAGGCCCAGCGTGCTGGAATGCCGGAATCATCAGCAGGAGAAAGTCTGGATCAGGACTCAAACCTTTTAGCTACTCTTTGGAGAAATGGCAGGAGATTGTGGTATGGTTAAAAATAGAAGAGCGGGCTCCTTCTTCCCCCCCTCCCAATAATTCAACTACTGAGGGGTTGAAGAGCACTTTTTTTTCCCCCTATAACAATGCTGCAGCTGTTAAAAGAGCAGGAACCACATCCTTGTTTAAGGAATCTTAATGCATTTATGTAAAACATCGCCAGAAAAGTAACTGTTGCTAAGTTGGCTCATCTCTTAGATGGGTTCAGGTTTCTTCACTTAACTGGATTCAATGCAACACTGATGTGTGTGTATGTGTGTGTGCCCGTGTGCAGATGGATGGATGAGGCTGATGGGTGTGTATGCACATACATATGTGTGGGGAGTTTTAAAGGGGTTTTAAAATTACATCTGCCTAGCAGGTGAGTGAATTAATCCTTCACCTCCGTCACGGGAGAGGGGAAACTGTCTCACCCAGGCTTCACTAGCTGGCTAGTCAACATGTTATGGAGTATTTTAGAATAGAATACAGCTGGAAGGGACCTTGGAGATCTTCTAGTCCAGCCCCCTGCTCAAACAGGAGAATCTATACCAGACAAATGGCTGTCCAGTCTCTTCTTAAAAATCTCCAGTGATGGAGCTCCCACGATTTCTGAAGGCAACTTCTGTTCCACTGGTTGATTGTCCTCGCTGTCAGGAAGTTTCTCCTTAATTCCAGGTTGCTTTTCCCATTGGTCAGTTTCCAACCATTGTTTCTTGTCCTGCCCTCTGGTGCTTTGGAGAATAGTTTGGCCCCTCCTCTTCTTTGTGCAGCCCCTCAAATACTGGAATACTGGCTATCTTTTAGACTGGCCAAACCCAAGTTCCGCAGCCGTTCTTCGCATGTTTTGGTCTGCAGGCCTTGGATCCTCTTAGTTGCTCTTCTCTGAACTTTTTCCAAACTCTCAACCTCTTTTTTGTGATATGGTGACCAAAACTGGCTGCAGTATTCCAGGTGTGGCCTCACCAGGGTTTTACAAAGTGGTACAAATACCTCGCATGTTGTTGAATATTTGGCTGGAATGGCAATACAGTATATCACACCCACGGATTCTCCAATCTACTAAACATGCCTAATTTTAAGAAATAGCGAGAGCAAGGAGGTCTCTTCTGGAACAGCCCAGGCTGGTTTCTGGTAGTCGCCCCTGGTTTTCAAGCGTGGCCGTCACTGAACGAGGACCGGCCATTTGGGAAGGTCAGGGCGAGGCGGGTTCTCTACTGGCGCCCGAGCCCTCCCCGCTTCTTCCGGATCTTCACAGATGATACGATAACAGAAAGACTCTGCCAGAGGGCCCTGTGGTTCTCTCCCAGCCTCGTCTGATCCCAGAGCAATAAAACGTAAAATAAAATGGCACGGTGTTCCTTGATCCTGTCTCTATTGATCCTGAGCATCAACCCAGCCACTTTCTCTCGCTCCTTGCAGCGTAATTTTTTTGTAAAAGAACGAGCAAAATAAGAGGTGAGTCATTCTGCCTTTTTCGGTTCCATGCTCGCATTTTGCCATCTTCATTAAGCCGATTCTTTATTTGGAAGTTCTAAAAAAACAACCAGTTTGGGCTTTTCTTAGCCTCTGCTAACCTCCCTTCGTTCTGAGCTTTAGCTTTTTAAAAAAAAAACACACAGGCAGTCCTCGACGTACGACCACAATTGAGCCCAAGATTTTTGTTGCTAAGTGAGACATTTGTTAAGTGAATTTTGCCCCATTTTTATGACCTCGCTTGCCACAGTTGTTAAGTGAATCACGGCAGTTGCTAAGATAGGCACACGGTTGTTAAGGGAATCCGGCTTCTCCCCCCCCCCACCCCTGCATCGACTTTGCTCATTAGGAGGTCGCAAAAACAGATCACGTGACCCTGCAACCGTCATAAATAGGAGTCAGTTGCCAAGCGTCTGAATGTTGATCACGTGACCCTGGGGGAGACTGCGATGGTCGTGTGAAAAACGGTCGTAGGTCACTTTTTCCAATGCCGTTGTAACTTTGTCACTAAACGAACTGTTGTGAGTCGTGGACCCCATGTCGTCTCTGCAGGATGTCTCTTTTGCGGGAGACCTGGACACCCTCTCGTCTCCCCCTCTAGCCAGAGGGGCCTGGGGGGGAGGGGTTTGGCCACCTGAGCTTCGCCAGAGGTCATCCCAACTCTCAACTGAGTTGCGCTACCCCTGAGGGGGTCCACTGAGGCTGGCAATTCCTGCTAGGGGAGAAAGTGGCAGCCCTGGCAAGGGAGGGGAGCTTTTGTGCGGGTTCTTCTCGCTCACACTCTCCCGTGTAGCAGCCCCACGGGTGATCTGCTTCACGGCTACGGGGGAAATGTGGTCACACGATGTTTTGCTTAATGTCCACATTGCTTAGCGATGGAATGGCCGGTCCCAGTTGTGGGTTGTTAAGTGAGCACTACCTGATAAACGGCGGGTGACCAAATTCTTTCCAATCTTTGGTGAGAAGATCTCTCCGAGCCGTAAAGCAGGTCGGTCAGAGAAGAGAATCGGTCTGCCTGTCTTTTAGGAAACGGACTTCACTCTATAGAAGTCTCAGTCGGATCTTGACTCAAATGTTCCTGATGAAATGAGAACTTGCAGTAGATTAGCGGTCCCATACTGCAAATAAATTATTTCTGGAACTGGTAGTCGTCCTTTTACAAGCTGTTGGGACTGGAATTGTAGTCACTAAGCGACACGGCATAAATGCGTGGCGTCATGTAACTGCACTGCTCAGTACCAGCAATCCCGTTTGCCATCATTAAGTGAAGACCGCGCCGGTCATTAAGTGGGGCCATCACATGATAATGGCTTCTGACTTCCTGCCGGCTTCCCCATTGACTTTGCTGATGGGGAGCCTGGCTGGGAATGTCAGAATTCTTGACCATCTGACTGCAGGGATGCCGCAGCCAGGAGTCTGAGAAGTGGTCATAACTCCCTCACCTTCAACGCCATTATAAGGTTAAATGGTCGCTGAACAAGTGGTTGTAACCCGAGCACCACCTGTAGATGTTCTGTAAACGGAGGCCGCCACACCGGCTCCGCGTCGTGCGGCTGAGCATACATAATTCAGCTTTTCCAGTTCAGAGGTGCAAGTCGGGACTTAGGGAGCTGGCCTGCCCTGGCAGTCATTCAATCCAACAGATTTCAAGGAAATAGAAGTCTATTCATCCTCTTAACCATCATTAACAGGAGAAAAAAAAAACTCATTGCCTGAATTGCTGCTGGCTAGGGATGTCATTTAGGGAAAGCGGAAATAAGAATATATACCAGGTATTCCATCCTCCGTCACCCGATGTCAGAAGAGCAGGGCTGTTGGTGCAAAGGAAACATTTGAAATGATCTCAGTTTAAATGCTTCGATCCAAAACAGCAGCGACCTTTACACGACACGTGCTCTGCCTCCGAGGAGGACCAGATTTAATTTAATCCGTTGATTAATACAAATTTCCCATTTGAAACACTTTGGGCCACTGTTCGATAGCACTTTCCAGTCACTTGTATCGTACATAAATTAAACTTCTCCTGCCCCGAGCGCTCGTTAGTCTCCGTGTCATTTCAGAAGCTCCAGCACAAATTATCCTATTGAATAGTTGGACCCAATCATTTCACAGCCGGTTAAATCCTGAGTTCCCTCCGGGGAAAAACCGATCTAAGCATCGCTTGATGGTCAGTTGTCTGCAACTTCCACTATTCACGTAGGCGGAATAAGTTGGTGGCCTGGGATGTAGCTGGCTATTGGCTGTTATCTATGGTCAGATGCAAACGATCACGTCCAATTAAACTGGTTTATTGCTAAACAGCCCATGCACAGGAACTTTCTCAACTAACAGTTGGCACCTGCTTGGAATTAGATAAAGGGTTTGGGGCTGAGCTGCGGGATAGAATCAAGATCACCAGATGTGATGGTACCACTTTATACCGCACTATTGAGGCCACCCTTGGAATTCTGCATCCAATTCTGGTCACCGTGATAGGAAAGAACACAGAGAAGAGCAACAAAGATGATCAGAGGGCTGGAGGCAAAACTCTACGATGAACAGTTAACGGAGCTAGATATAAACCAGTCTCAAAGCGTAGCAAGGAATGCCAGGGCTGTGTGACCCACATCTCCCTGTCAAACTCTGCTTTGCCATCTGTATCTCTCCATCCTCGCTACAAAGGGTGGGGCTGGTTTTCCGGGTGAAAGTGTTCCCCCCCCCACAAGGCAATATCACCACCTGTTCTTGAATTGTCCACTTTCGTGGAATCTGGAATGGCCAGAACAAAGGATTCTTCCTTCTGAAGACTTCGCTTCCGTCTAAGTGGGCCCCGTGTTCGTCCTTTAAGCAGCAGTTTCAGAGCCCCCATCGCTGGATTATAAATTTGGCTATTAATCTGCGTGAGACACTTTGGACATTTTTTTTTCAATTGAGCAACTGGTTAAATGTTTCTGAAATAAACAAAACAATGTTTTATTTAAACCAAATAACACAGGAGTTCTTCTGCAAATCCCTTGGGGCCAGTTTGGTCCAATGGTTAAGGCCCCAGGCTAGAAACCAGATGGAGAGTTCTGGTAGTAGTAGTAGTAGTAGTAGTAGTAGTAGTAGTAGTAGTAGTAGTAATAGTAAAGTTGGAAGGGACCTTGGAGGTCATCTAGTCCAACCCCCTACTCAGGCAGGAAACCCTACAACATTTCGGACAAATGGCTGTCCAGTCTGTAGTCTCGCCTTAGTCAGGTGACTTTAGGCCAGTCTCTCTCTCTCAGCCCAGCCCACCTCAGAGGGTTGTTGTGGGGAAAATAAGAAGAGAAAGGTGTGTTGGTGGATATGTTCTCTGTCTTGAGTTATTTATAAAATAATAAATACAGGATAAAAAATAAAAGTAAATAATTTGAGACTCCAGATTAATTACAGCCTACATCTCATCCCATTCATTATTCAATTGTTGACAGAATTTGCTGTAAAACCAGAACATGTAGAATATACTAAAAGTTCCCAAACAATGAAGCAACCGGCCATTTATCCTTGATGAACTACGGCCGTCACAGGGACGTGCCTGAACTTCTCTATATATCATATTTTGTGCTTTCAAAATACGCACAACCGTTTGGCCAAATCCCTGTAATTTTCTCAGCATCCTTTCTTTCTCTAGAGTGGTTTTTCCCCTGCTTCCTTCTTCCTAAAGCCGAGAGAGTAACTGGCCCTAAGTCCCCAGGCTGGCTTTTCCCTTAAGGCAAAAGTAGAACTCCCAGTTTACAGTACGAATCGAGCATAAAATGCATCATGTAAATTAACTCAACATACTTTTTACATTGTTCTGCTTTCGATAATCATCCGTTGCTCTGTGAAGGCAATGGGCAGCTTCTAAGTGTGCATGTGTGTGTGAGAGAGGGTGCGAGGGAGAGGCAGTCAGAAATAAATATAGTGGATGGATGTAGAGACAGATAATGTATGTGTCATATACGTGGATAGAGGGACAGAGATGAGGATGAAAAAGAGGAAAGACTTCACTCCTTCTCTTTCTGCCTTCTGAGCCTCGCTGCTATACTTCCAGGGGATCTTCGCCCTTTCCCGTCTGCCCTTTTCCCAAGGCCTCCTGGAAGGAAAGCATCCTTTTTACCGGGTGGGAACCTGAGCTGAGTGGCGAGGGAGGGGCGGGGGAGCGCTGAGTACGAGCCCCCCCCCCGCACACTGACCCTCCGCAGGGAGGATTTCTTCCCCCCTGCCCTAAACTCGCACGGAGACCCGCTTTTGTAGCCAGAGCCACAAAGGGGGGGGGTCATAGGGGCAAGAGTCGCCCTTCCACCTTGCCCGGGAGGGACCCCCGGAGGGGGAGGGGCGGGCGCACCCGTCGCAATTCGAAAGGGCCGCTCCCCCTCCCCCATAGAACTCGGGGGGGGGGAATCCCGGCGCAAGGGAAGCGACCGGGCCGGTGGGAAAGGCCGCCGCTGCCCTGGGGGGCTCCCCGGGACCCGGGCTAAGGTTGGAGGGCCGGGCCGGCCGGCTTAGCAGGCCGCCCCTCCTGCAAGGCGGATTGGAGACTCGGGCGCCGCGGCCTTCCCGGCCTTCGGCTCCGCGAGGAGCTCAGCCCAGCCGGTCCCTGGGCCCGCCTCTGCCGCGACCCCCGCCCGCCGCCCTCACGGCACAGACTCCGCCCGGGGAGGGGGCGCCGGTCCCCGCGGGGAGGCCCTCCGCCCGATCGGCCTTCCTCGGGGTGGGGAGGAGCCTCCGCAACCTGCTTCGCCGCAGCTGTCGAGCCGGCCCTCTCCCCCCTCCCTGGTCCGGGGGGGGGCAATAGCCCCGGCCGCGATTGGCCAGCGTCGGCCCAATGGCGGAGTTGCTCTAGCCCCCCCCCGCCGCCGACCATCCTGAGACGCCCCCCCGCCCCGTCCCCTGCTCTCCGGGGGGGGGGCTGGGGCTGCTGCCCCGGGCTGCCCGAAGGGGAGGCCGACGCCTGGGCTGATGGGGGCGGGGGGACCCGAAGGTTGGGCCGTCCCGTCTGCTCCAGAGGCTGCGAGCGAAGCGAGGGCCGGCCTGGGTCCCGCTTCCTTCCTCCCCTGGGAGCGTCCCAGCCCCCCCTTCCCTCGGGCATCGGGGCTCCCGGTGGGCAGCGGGGCATAATTGGGGGGACGGCCCCCCCTCCCCGGGGAAGGAGGCCGGACACGCGGTTCCCTGGCCGGCCAGGACCAACTTTTTCGCCCCCCCCCTCCCGCGCCCGCTGCCCCGCTGCAGCAGACGGAGCGGCGCTCCCTCCGGTCGGTAGACGGCACCAAGCCCGGGATGAGCCGCACCTCGGTCTCACTCCGGTCCCGGCGCTCGAACGCCGCACCTCCGGCTTCCTCGGTCGAGAGGCGCACGTCGGGCTTCTCTAAAGGCTGGAGCGATCCCGCGGAGATCCCCGATGCTTCGGGGGGGGGGAGGGAGAGCGCTGGGGTTACGCAGTTTTGCCAGCTGCGAGGACCGGAACCCTGTGGAGCTTTTTGGGTCCCGCCCGCTGCCTCCCCCCCCGGAGCCGTCTTGGGGGGGCGCCGCGCTCTGCAGTTCGGCCGGACCGGAGCAAGGGCGGCGGGGGGGGGGGCTCTGGCGGAGCAGAGGGGGCTGGGTGGCCCCTGCGCAACTACCGCAGTGGGGAAATGACTCAGCCGGCCCCGGGGAGGGAGGGGAGGCGGGGCGGGGGCGCCGGAGTGGGGCCCGGGGGCGCGCGGCCTGCCAGGGCCCGGGTTCCAAGGAAGCTGCGTAGAGTTGCGGCGTCCAGAAAGCAAAACTTTCTGCCGTGTCATCCTGAGGCGGCAAAGGCCGAGCCAGCGCCGTCGGCTGCCCGGGAGCCCTGGCGGGGCTGGGCTGGAGAGGGCAAGGCGCCCGTCAGAGGGCCGCCTCCCCGCCCTGCCTGTCACCCTCGGCCGCCTCGCTTTGCCCAGTCACCGTCCCCTGCGGGCGTTCAGCGCCCCGTTTGGCGAGGGCAGAGCGGAGAAGCGCCCCGAGGCGGAGAGGGAAGCCGCGGCCGCCCAGCCGGGAGCTCCTGCGGGAGAGCCGGGAGCCGCGCGGGCGTTGCACAAAGGGCAACCGGCCCACGTGCGCCACAGGGCGGACCGCCTCGGCCACGCCCCGGTCTGGAATCGCCGCCAGCAACGGCGCCGCCCCCCCTCCGGGCGAGCCGAGGCCGCCCGGCCGCGCGGAAGGAGCCCCCGCCATTGGCCGGGAGGGCGCGAGGGGGCGGGTCCCGGGGCCCCCGCCGAGCGCCTCCCCCCGTCTGGCCGGCGAACCAGCGAGCGCGCGGGGGCCGCTCGGGCCAATGAGCGGGGCGCTAGGACCCGGGGGGAGCGCGGGCCCGACTGCAGCGCCGCGGCTGCCTTATAAATTCCCCCAAAATGCGGCGGAGCTCTTTTCTGCCGCCGCCGCCGCCGCCTCGCCTGCCCGCCCGCCCGCCGCCCCCGCGCCAGCCCCGCCGCCGCTCCCGCCGCGGTCCTTCTGCAGCGCCCGCGCTCCGCCCGCGGCCCGTTTGCATGAATTGTCCGCCCGCCGAGATGGTTTGCGAGACCAAGATCGTGGCGGACGAGCGCGAGTCGCTCGGCGGGGCCGCCGCCAAGGAGAGCCGCCTGCTGGCCGCCCCCGCCGCTGCCGCCGCCGCGCAGATGTGGCCGCCCGGGGCCGCCGCCGCCGCCGCCGCCGCGTCCGGGGCCGGTCCGGGGGAGAGGGCGTCGGCGGCGGGGGCGGCGGGGCTGGGCATCCGGCCCTTCCACCCGGCGGAGAGCGAGGCGGTGCGGCGCATCTTCTACGAGGGCATCCTGGAGCGCATCCCCAACACCGCCTTCCGCGGCCTCAAGGACCAGCCGCTGGCCCAGCTGCTCTACGCCGCCGTGGCCGGTGAGTGGGCCGGGCGGGGGCGGCGGCGGGCCGGGACGGCGCTGGGGGCGCCCGCCGGGAAAGCGCCGAGGCCGGGCCGGTCGGCTGGTGGGGGGCGCGGCGCCGCGGGGTCCTCCGGGGCTGCCTCCGCCTCGCCCGCTCAGCCCCCGGCGCCTCTCTGGCGGACGAGCCCGGGAAGACTTCGCACTGCGGCGGGCGGGCGGCCCGGGCGAGGTTTGGAAGGCGGAGCCGCCGGCGGGGCTCCACGTGCCGGTCGGGGACAAGGCGGCCTGGCTGGCGCGGGGCGGGGCGCGACAGGCGGGCGGGAGGGAGGCAGGCGGGCGGTCGGCGCCGGGTCGGTGGGCGAGCGACCTCCGGGCCGGCGGCGAGGACGGCTGGTCCGGCGCCGGGGGGCTCCTCTGGCCGAGCAGTTGCGGCGCCCGGCCGGCTTTCCCCGCCGCCTCCCGCCTCGGCGCGGCAAGGCCGGAGCGGGGCCGTCGGGCTCAGCACCCTGGACAGCGGCGGAGCGGAGCGGGCGGGCGCAGGCGCATTGGCCGGGCCGGCTGGGGAAGGAAGGCCGGAGCCGGAGTTGCCGTGGTTGACTAGCCCCGATTCACCGCAGAGGCGGATTCAGGGAGGCGGAAGCTCTCCCGGCTGCGGTGAAGGCGCCTCCGGGCGTTCAACTTCGGCAACTTCAGGACTCGTGGACTCCAACTTCCAGAATTCCCCAGCCAGCCGGAAGTCTTGAAGTCGCCAAGGCTGGACCCCCCGGCGGAGCATCGCTTCTCAAGCTCAGCCAGCTCAGGACGGGCGGGAGCGGAAGGTCAACCGTCTCCCACTCGCGGAGGTTGAGAAACGATGCTCTGGAGCCCAGCGGAGCTTATGCCGGAGAAGTTGACATTGTGCCGGAAGCCCCAGTCGAACCGTGCTGCCAGTCATAAACGCTTGGACCGATGCACGTTACTTAATGGGCAGGGAAAGATTGTGAATGGTTACCAGTTTAAAAATTATATGTGGGTGGTACGGTTTGTTGACGTAGTGCAATGTTTCCCAAACTTGACCATTTTAAGGCATGTGGACTTCAACTCCCAGAATTCCACAGCCAGCATTGCTGGCTGTGGAATTCTGGGAGTTGAAGTCCTCATGCCTTAAAATGGTCAAGTTTGGGAAACACTGACGTAGTGCATCGTCTGTGTGCTACTTCAGGGTCCCGTGAAGTGAAGTAAAGTCTTCGCACTTCAGAAAGTCCAAGATTTTATCTAGCTTCGTTTTATTATTTATTATCAGGACAGTTTTCCGTGCGTTCTGCTAACAGGTAGCAAGTAAATTATGTAGGGATTTGGCACGGGTCCTCCATTTCAAGAAAAGGAAAAGAAATTAAAAATGAACTTTTTTATTTTGTTTTCTTAAGCAACAGAGTTTGCAGGCCAGAAGGGTACGTAGTACTCCAGAGCAGTGGTTCTCAACCTTTCTAAGGCCGCGACCCCATAATACAGTTCCCCATGTTGTGGTGACCCCCAACCACTTATACATCACCGGGTGCCAGGGGCGTGGCCAAAGAAAAGGGGGAAAAAATGGCGGACAGCCTTGTTTGGCGACCCCCGTGAAATGGTCGTTCGACCCCAAATGGGGTCCCGACCCACAGGTTGAGAACCACTGCTCCAGAGGGTTTTTTCTGAAATAAATGACATTTGAAGGAAAGAGCCAGAACTCTCAAATATTGTCCTGAACTCTTTTTGTAACTTTAGCATAAGTGAGTGAACTGTTTAAAGTAATCGGTTAAAGATCTTAGAAGGTTACGGAGCTTGTGCAAACGGTTTAAAATGGATTCCACCAGGATGGAAAGAAGTAGCCGCAGCTACATGAAGCTTCTGTGCAGCAGCTTTGAAGTCCTCCTTCTGGGCAAGTCAGTCCCCTGTGCTAACCCTAAGAAAGATGCCCAGGAGAGGTTTGGGTTGATGATCAAAATAGCCATGCTGAGCCTTCACGCTTTGGGTTGGCTTTGTAGCCATAGAAAGGGAAGTCTGCATTGGTGCCAACGTGGAATGATAAAAAATCACTAAGCAACAAGCCGCTTATCAGCCAGAATTGAAGATTTCTTCGCTAAATCTAGATGCTGTGGTTGTGATGGTCATTAAATTAAATGGTTGATTGGAGGCAGAATTCATGGATGATAAAAGGATAAAGAAAAGGGTATTCTCTATTTCAAATAAGTATTTTGCACTTCGGCAGCAAGCCACACTGTTCGTGTAGGAACGTTGTTTGGGGATGTTTTTGTTACAAGAGGGATAGGTTTCCTAGCTTGTTCTTGAGCTCAAGCCTGGGTTCTTGAGAAGGGTGTTTTTGGACTTTCCCTTGGCAGAGTCTCTGTTTTGAGGATCTGTTCTGCTTTCCTTCCGCCTCTTCAAATGAATTGGCAAGCCAAACAACTGTGAGGCACCCCAAAGGCTGTTTGGCTAAGAAGGTCTAATTAAGTTTCAGCAACAGTTGCTGCATGACTGCTCTGATTCGGAGCTGGGCTCTCTGTTTTGGATTTGAATGGAACCTTGTCCTGTTGGGGCTGCTTGGATTTTGTGATTCTGTTATTGCCGTTTTAACTATCCATCTACACCTACCTAGAGTATATGGAAGCAGGTACCAAACAAGCCCCTTGTAATAAATGATTATATAAATAATTTCCCCCTGAATTAGTCCACTTCGCTGCGTTCCTCACAGGCAAACTGCCACAACGCCTCTGCTTTACACAAAGCCCCTCTTCTCTGCAAAATTTAACCTGATCAAGAGAGATAGAAGGGGCTTTACAGCCACTAAAAGACAGACTTAAAAACCAATCAGGGATAAAATAAACATTATAATGCCAAATGAACTGACCTTTGGAAATTCACTGAATTTCTGTCATAGCAAACCGAGCAAGTTTTATAATGAATCTGTCCAAATGCGGCTTGCAGCTTATTTAACCAGCTACTGTGTGGCTGTGATGCAGCAGAATGAGCTTCACACTTTTGTGTCTATCTAGACTGGGTTGTTAAAGAGAATGTTTGCATACACAGGCCAGTTTTGCAGAGTATACTGCAAGGTAAATAATTAGGATTCATTCTGATGGATGTTAGCAGCTGGTTGCATGATTGGCAGTTTCAGAATTTTATTTTGACCAGTTTCCTAATACGAAACGCTGCTGGTGCCAGCCTTCTCCACTGTCTGCATATATATGCCTGCGCTGATACTCAAAGAACGATCTGGGCTTTTTAGAAAATTAACTCAAAATGAGCATTGACATTCTTGAAAGGGCGGGCATGTATTATATAGACATACACAGCAGCAGCAGAAGGAAGTGCTGACAAGGATGATGCAGTGAAAAAAAAGCTGAAGAATAGAATGAAGATTACAGGGAAAAAAACTTTTCTGCATTACCAGGAAAAATAGGAACTATGAGAGAAACAGAGGACATTTGGATTGATCAATTTAGACAGGGAGGTTTTAGTTTTGCTGCTGGAGTGTTAAGAAGGTGATGATGTACCAGTTTCAAATACTTTAATGACTTTGGGCCTTTTGGCTGTAAATAAAATTTATTTCAGTCACTTTTGAAATAAAATACTTTAATGCAGCTGGCTGAGGAATTCTGGGAGTTGAAGTCCATAGAACTTAAAGTTAGTGAGGTTGAGATACTTTATTTTTATTGTTTTGATTTAAGAAATATTTTTGCTTTTAGACAGAATTTAATTTTTTTTTAAAAAGCCTTGGTTGCTTAGATTACTATAAGGGGGATTATGAATGAAGCCAAAGGCCCATATTATCCAATATTTTGTGTTACCAATGGCCAGTCAGATACATTTAGGTGGGCTAAGCTTATTTATTAGCTTAGATTGTCTTGCAGGAGCTCAAGATGGTAACTTCTGTTGTTGTTGTTGTTTAAAAAATCACAAGTTCTGTGAAGTAGTTGAGGCTGAGACCTTGTGATTTCTCCAAAATCATCCAGTGAGCCTCCATTGGTGATCCAGTTTCAGTCTGAATTTCCCCAGTCCTAGCCAGCTCTTTAACCAATAGGCCTGGCTGCCTCTTTCACAGTGTCCTGGTTGTGGTTCAGGAGATTAGCAGGGACCGAAATCCCAAAGTTCCAGAAATTTAACCAGTTACAGGTTAGTCCACAACTTGCAACAGTTCCAGTTACAAAGTTAAAAGTTTCACACTTATGACGGTTGCAGCATCCCCAGGGTCACGTGAACAAGATTCAGACGCTTGGCCACCGACTCACATTTACGATGGCTGCAGCATCCCAGAGTCACGGGATCCCCTTTTGCGACCTTCGGACATGCAAATCCCACGGGGGAAGCCAGATTCACTTAACAACTGCGTTACTAACTTAAAACAACTGCAGTGATTCATTTAACAACCGTCTCACTTGGCAACAGGAATTTTGGGGCTCAATGGTGGTGATAAGTTGAGGACTATCTATATTTGGCTGGCATCTGGCAGTTGACCATATCTTGCGTGTGTAGGAAATACGTCTTTTAATGATAATCAGTCCGGAATCTCGCCAGGTTTACTTTTAATGGACCCCTTTGAATTTAGCAGCGCCTGAGAAGAAAAACATGACTCCGTCCACTCCTTCGCTATTGTCCCTACTTGGTGTATTTTGAACCCGCCCCTCACACGCCCTCCCCCCTTGCTCCCGAGGGCTAAAGACTTCCCTTTTTGTAGCGCTGCTCTGCCCCATAAGCCCCCGTTTTTGGGCTTTCTGGCACGGACTTCGTAGGTGGAGACGGGGCTGGAGACGAGGGTTAACCTTGTTTCTCTGCCCTTGCATACTTTGCCTGCGACACCACAACCCAAGCGTGAAAGGACACGGCTTGAATCGCAACTGATGTTTCGGCGGTTTGGCCTTGATTTGGCTGGGAATGAGGGCTTATGCTCTGGTAAGATCTGGAGCTCTAAAACTGCTCCCATCGTTGCTGAAGGCGGGTCGGACTGGCACAAGGTGGAGAACATCCTCCATTAAAGCAGCCTTGGGTGGAAAACAATGT